ACCACTTGCGGAGTAGAAGGTCTTGCCGAAGTGCGACGACGTGTGGTACGAGGACCCCGGTGCAGCGGAAGATCTGGATTTGGATTTTTCGTGTTGCTTTAGCTTGTTTCCTCGCGTTGACGGTATTATCGGCTTGTGTCGTGGTCCCCCCGCTGAGGACTTGACTGTGTTGAAAGACGCTGCTTGCACGAACGAGGTTGGGGATGTGTTCGCTTGTTGCTCATCTTCATCGCCTGTTGACTCGAGGTCCTGTTCATCTTCTTCTTCTGCTGATGGGGTTGATGGTTCTTCAGGTTCTTCACTTCCACTTTCTTCCTCTTCCATTTTCCCGTGCGTATGAGTGAAAACCAACTTCGCTGTCGCACTGACGGCTTTGGCTTTCGCGGTTGCAGCGTCGTAACTCGTAGCGGCCGCTTTGTTGCTGACCACGCCACCATCCGTTTGCAGAATCCTATCTCTGCCTTCCGCCGCAGAGGCCGGGCAGGCTCCTTTTATCTTTCCCAAATTTCCTCCCATCACGATCAGCTGGGTTGGCGCGTGGGTGAGTAGCTGCTCGTCGTACTCGGCACAGGAAATGACTTGTAAACAGCACGGCGTCATCAACTCCCCGTAACCGATGCGGAAACAGCACTCACTCTGCTTATTCTCCGGCGCAAAAGGATCGTGTTGGAGTTCGATTTTCACCTGCTTTGCACTCGCTTTCGCGGCTGCTGGGTCTTGATCTAGTGAAAATAAACCGACTTCATTTGTTTTTGAAGGTAAAAGTGCTGACTTTTTTGCAGCGGATGTTGACTTCTTTCCACCACCACGAGAAGCACTACTTGCTCTTATCTTTACCTTCTTTTTCTTGCTACTTCTAGCAGTCTGACTTTTCGTTTCAACCGTCGCTCTCCTCTTCTCTTCTACTTTCAACTCGCTTTTATTTGTCGTCTTCTTCTTCCCCATAGTACCTTTCTCCACCACCGACTATCCTGAGTAAAAACGTCCCCACACCAGAGTCAGGATGGGGATTTTGCAACACAAACCTAGGAGTTTTGGGAGTCACGCATGACAAATTGCATTCCGCAGTGTAGTGCTGGTTAGCAAGTGCAGCCGCGTCACAGATTCATCTGCTCATCCTGTTCACAACATCACAAATTCGAAGACACGATTGGAAATGGCTCTCATGGGGATGCGCATTACAAGTCTTCCTGTCTTTGCAAATCTGCACTACAACTCTGGTGTGGGTACGTTTTTATTCAGGATACCGACGCCGGTTCGATCACACTGTTCACCTGCAACAGAGAAACCACATCGTAGGCCTGCGGGCGCCACTGCGGCACCTGCAGTGGCTGTCCCGCGACCCGCACGTGGTGCCAGGCCTGCACCAGCGCTTTCGGCATCTGGTCCGAATCGGAGGCGGTGCCGTAGCTCGCCTGGAACACCTTTTGCAGGTATCTCGTCAAGGTCGGCGCGGTGACTCGGTTGATTCTGTCGTCGATTTTCTGCACAATCGCTGCGGCGTTCGGGTCTATCGTCCAGGCGGGGTCGGTGATGCGGAAGTCCACGCGCAGGGTTTTCAAGCCCAAATGCGTCAAGCCCCAAGCGGACCCCTTCCGTCGCATCCGGTTGATGGCCTCTTCCGGGATGGTGTTCTCGAGCACCTATCCTGAGTAAAAACGTACCCACACCAGAGTCAAGATGGGGAATCGGCTAGACAAATCCACAAGTTTTGTCTGTTTTGCATGACAAATTTGGATTCGTAGTATAGTTCTGTTTGAGCTAGCTCAGCAGCATCACAGATCTAGCATACCATGCTGATTGGAGCATAACAAGTTGCAAAACACGACTAGAAAGTGCTTCTCATGGAGCTCCGCATGAGAAACATTTTCAGCATGCAGATTTGCATTACAACTCTGGTGTGGGTACGTTTTTGCTCAGGATAGCACCGACACGTTGTTCACAGAAATCTTCGCTTTTGGTACTTTGATATCAAATGCAAAAAATGTCTGGGTCTGGAAGAGTGCAAACTTGTCATGCATATTTTCCATGCCCCCTGAGGTCTGGAATGCAGGAGCTAGCATGGCAGACTCTGCGAAGTCATTATCAAGCCTATCCTGCATGAGAGACTCCCGCTCAGGTTGGTCAAAACTGGGCAACTTTTGGTGATCACGCAAGACAGATTTTTGTGTGACCCACAGGACGCATCACAAGTTCCATCCATCCAGACCCAGACACTTTTGCATTTGATATTTGAACGCTTTGGCGAGTGCTTTTTCGAACCCCTGTTTCTTCAAATTGTAGTCCTCCGGGAGGATTTTTCCCCCCACTTTGACCCAGCCACGCACCTCCGTCGTCGCTGGTAGAAGATTCCCTAAAAAATTGCTCTTCGCCTGCTCGGCTCGACCTAAGTCCCTCGTTCGGCAGATCCCGACGCCACCGAAGTCCTGGGCGCCTAGACCGGTAATGCCGCGAAGGTTAAAAACGGATTCCCAAAAATCGCGGTTGGTGTCGAGGGGCCGGACCGAGCAGCCGTAGGCGTAGTCAGAACGATCTTCGCGGACCTGAAGAGTTTAACAATCGTTGCAACATGCAAAATACGACACACGATATCTACAAAGTCGATTCACATGTTCGTTTTACAACGCGATCATAAAAAGAGAGCCAAAAAATGAAACACTTTATACCGTCCTGGCCACTTTTCTTTTCACCCCGATTTTCCGCACTGCCATATCGCACTCGAGTAAACTACTCAAATGCTCGTCTGGCGTCATGCAGTCGTCGAGAAAGTACCGGGGGCTGAGCATGTATTTTCCCTGCAGCTCTCCCGTAATTCCACCGGGCGCCGGCATCCCGGGGAAGTAGTTGAACGGATACTTCTGCCAAGAGTAAATCTCGCTGTCCGGCACTTGGTTGGTCGTCGCATGCCACTGACTTGACGATGATGCTGATGCTATCCTGAGTAAAAACATCGCCACACCAGAGTCAAGATGGGGACTTTGCAACACAAACCTAGAACTTTTGGGGGTCACGCATCACAAGTTGCAGTCCGTAGTGTAGTGCAGGTTCGCAAGGCCAGCTGCATCAGAAATCCGTCTGCTTCTGCTCATCCTGTTTACAGCATTACAAATTCCAAAAAACGACTAAAAATGCCTCTCCTGGCGATGCGCATTACAAATGTTCCTGTCATTGCAAATCTGCATGACAACTCTGGTGTGGGGACGTTTTTACTCAGGATAGATGTTCCCCCGCTCGTTGTATCGTTCCACGGTAAGTCGAAAGCGTCCCGCTGCGGCTTGTACGTTGCGTCGCTGGGCCGGAGCATTTCTCGGTTGTTTCCCGGGTCCCACCTGCTATCTGTATTTGCCCGCGGATCCGAGAAGAGCTTTTTAACATTCGGGTCGAGGCCGCCGGTCGGGGAAAAGTCAAGCGGCTGGTCCTTGCCCGCCTTGGTCGCGTCGTACAGATCCGGCTGCATTCCCGCGGTGGAAGTATCGGCTGGGGGTTCCTGCTTCGGGTCTTGCTGAGAGCGAGATCTGGAGGAGAGGGCGGTGGCGAATGGTCCACCTGTGGAAGTTGTTGAAAAGGGGGATTGGAAAGCGCTGGTGTCTGTACCTCCTCTAGCGGATAACCCTGAAGACCCACGACCCTTGTTCTCCACTCCTGCGTCGTCCTCGGAAGATAAAAAGGTGTTCCTAGTATTTTCCTGCCGCTGGTCCTCCATGGCAGCACGACCTCGCCAAACGCTAGTATCTTTATTTCGCTTGGTGTGTAGTAATGACCCGAGTAACTTCTCCTCTTCGCTCTTTGCCGGGATATTTCGCTCCTTCTGTCTATCGAAGACAAACTCTTGATACAGGTTGTTTTGCTTTTCCCTAACACCCTCCTTCTCTTCTGCTTGGTGCAGCTGAAACCTCCGGTTGATGATATTCGCAGTGTTCTCCTTCTGGTAGGACTTGACAACCTTTTCAAATAGCCTCTGCTCGAAAGGTGGGTCGCCCGCAGCTTCATCTGTGGCGGTTTCTTCTCGTCCCGTGTCGCCAAGAAAACCGTTCTGGTCTTGTCCATCTGCTCCGTCGGCCACCACCCGCTCCCACGGTACCTGCAGCTCATACTGGGCGGTAGGATCTTCATCTTCGTTGGCTCCGCCTCCTGCTGTTCCGCCGCCTCCCTTCTTGGTACCGGGAGTTTGACGCGCCGGCGCGGAGGAGCTCGATGTTGAGCCCCCTCCCTTCGTCCCACCATAAGGTGGTGGTTGGTCTTTTGTCTTGCCTGCTCGACCGGCGGCACTGCTTCTAGGATTGGCAGACCCGCTGCGCGAACTGGAGCTGCTAGAAGTTGTACTTGACTGCCTGGACAACTTTGGAGTGCCGGCACTATCCAGGTTTCGCTCCTGCTCGAGGAGGACGGGAAGGTCCAGGTCGTCCTGCAAGGCTGCATTATATCTCGATGTGGACGACGAGGAAGACGAGGACACAGCTGGCGTGGCGCGGCCGCAGTAGTCGGAAGTCCTAAGGATGAGCGCTCCCGCAAAAATTCCCTTCATACTGCTGCAAGCGACCCATCATATCAGTAGCAGAAGTAGAAGTCGTCGTGCCCTCACATGCGATTTCAGCATCCGCTGGCCCCTCGTCCTCGAAGAAGTGCAACACTCTCTGTGCCTGTTTGCGGTCAGTTCTAGTTCTGTCTGATGTGGCACCTTGCTTGTCTACGTGGTTTTGGGTGGAGATCGCGATCATACATCCAGCCACGAGCATTTAAACGGGCTGGCGTAGCGCAGATGTAGTAAAAAGTAGAGGATGAAATCATACGCCATGCACGTCGTAATTAAAGACCTGCTTCCGCTCCTCTTCTCACACTCGAAAAAAAGCGGGCGCTCCTTCATAAAAGACAAGAGACATAATTTCGGTGAACATTATGTCCCCGCTCTCCATCCTCCCGAAGTGCAGCAAAAATGGGTCACCTCCACTTTGAACAATGAGTGTGAAGATTTAGATTTTTTTTTCACCTTCACGGTTTGTATATTTATCAAAGTTTTCATCATTTTCAATCTAATAGTCCTCAGACCATTTCTAGCCCAGAAAATGGGGCATTAGAACCCGTTGTCTGCAAAAAGAGCTGCAACCAAAATTTTCTCCGGTACGAAACGTAAGCACCTCCACTTGTTAGTTGTCTTCTAGCTGTAAGCCGTCTGAAACTTTGACAGCGCTCCTCGCACTCTACCTCTAGTACGTCAGGTGCAGGAAATCACACACACACGTCCTGTCGCCACATCCACTCGAGGTTCTTTCTTGCAGCCGCGCGGGGATGGGGACCAAAAAACAAGATGGTCGCCACCAGCATTGCAGCAAACGTTTAGTCCACTAGCGCCCACTTTTTTTCCTCCATGGCCCGTTGAAGTGCTCGCATGCCGATAAAACTCCCGGCGTGACTCGGCAGTCCGCAATCTTCTTTGAACTTTATCCTCCAAGAGACCTGTCGTGTGTTAGATTCCTTCTCCTCGATCTCGGGTGTAGAATAAAAAAACGAAAACATACTCACGATCTTTGCAGGGCGAAACGAAAATAGTACTAGATCTCCAAATAGAATACCATATCTAAGCACGTGGCGCGTTTCGCGAACTGCTCCGGCAAATCCTCGAACGCTGAATCAATTTTCGTGATCGCCGGCCCACATCCATACTCGTACAACGCCTCGCGGAACACTTTTGCGTCCAGCAGCTTCTCCTGGTTCTTTCCTGCCGAGGCGGAGGAACTGCCGGCCCCGATCTCGTCTGCTCTCTCGAGCTCGGCCAGCAGAACCAAAGCGGCTTTCACGGCGTTGTCGCACTCGTACCGCGTCCAAAAGTGGAAGAACGTAGGGATTTTTTGCCGCATCTGGTACTGCAGTCTGGGAACCAAAACCTGCTTTCGAATAGCGGGGCTTCTGACGAGTAGGGACAAGAACTCGTTCGTGTCATAGTCGCAACCGCTCTCGTTCGTGTTGTACTTCGCGATGGCGAGGATTTCCAGGCAAGACAACATCGTCCTTCGCCGTGTGCGGTCGTAAGAAACGGACTCGCGAAGCATTCGCAGACCGGTTCTGTTACAGGAAAGAGCCAGAACTTCTACGGGCTCGTCGACGACCCCGTGGTCCTCATCATCATCTGAATCGCGGCTAGTAACTTCGTCTGTTCCAGCACCTTCCGATGCACGATCAGCTCCTGTTGGCGCAGAAGATGCTCTTGTGGGATTTTTGACTGCAGGACGTTCCTGTTTGTTTGTTCCGAACGTTTTCCAAATTTTCCGCGCCTCCTCAACCAGCCCATACCGGCAGCAGAGCAGGAAAATGCTTTTCCCCCAATTGTCCGTCACGACATACCCATGCTCCGGATCGGAACGCGGAAGCAGACTGATATGCACTCTGCAGAAGTGTAGTCGTAGATTCCCTCGTACTACTCGCAATCATGAATGGCAAATCTGGTTCCCTGCCTGAATAAAGGTTCTTTTTGAGATGAAGATTTGATTGTCATGCGATAATCTGAATTTCAAATTTCTACGAGGGAGCACCGGATACAACTTTTTCTTCATGCTGATAACACGACCGCAGTACCCAGTCGATGGGCGGGAGAGACAATTCGCACGGGTTCAGACCCACGCCCACGCGTGACAGCAGGACCTGGCGGGCGGCTTTCGCTGCAGCTTTCGATTCCGCGTCGGATTCCGGTTTTGTGCCGTACCTGTAGTCGAAAAGCGCATCGGAAATCGCGGTGGCCGCCCGGCCGCGCCAAGTTTCGCGGTGATTTGCAACGCAGAAAAGGGAACGGACCTTGGTCGAGGCTTCCGAGGTCGGCATGGTTGTTTGGGTTTATTTTCCGACTCATTGACGCAACTGGGCTCGAGCGACTTGCTGGTTCTCTGTTTACTTTTCGAATAATCCTCCCGTGCATCAATATATATCCCCAGCCCCGGTCCTGTCACACATGCATAAAAAATTCTCTCCGAAGGGAACAAGACAGCACTGCTATTCTTAAGTGCATCTGCATTCTTGTTCTCCGAGGTCAGTAATGAGAAGGTCGTCAGGTACTCTACGTTACCCTCCTTCTCCAAAACATGCTATATTTGAATTTGTTCGAAACAAGGTAAAAAATCATTATATGTGGGCGCTGGTTATTCTCATGGTGAACTTGCAAAATTTCCTCTGAGACCACGAAGCGGCGCTCTTGTACTAATCATGGAAACTACACAATTATCTTTGGTGCTATCATTGGAAACAAACTCTTTGACATTGAAACGGTTCTTGGAATTAACGTTGTGTTTTTAGCTTCTACCAAAACCTGCATGCTTACCCTGAAGCAAGAAGTACTCTCTGCTACCTGTACCTGGCTAACGCAGCCTAAGCCTAACGAAAATCAACATACTGATATTAATACGTTGGTTGCGAGGGGACGAACAGAGGCGTTACGATTAGATTCAACAAAAAGACCGTACTTAAATTGCAATACTATTTTCATAACATTCTCCCCGTCTCCATCCAGGCCAACATCTTCACCTCCACGATGAAAATAAACCTCTCGTGGTCACCTACTGAAAATAAACCTCTCGCTGCTCAGGGAGGGCGGCGCACTCTCGTCACCTACAGGAGGCGCAAATCACTGCTGTCAGTGATCTATGTATTTGCACACCTCGGGAGTGCCCTGCTAGCATACGCGGCGCAACCCGAAGGAGCGTCGCTCCTTCCGATGGCTTCGAATCTTTGCGCCGGCGAAGGCCGGCGGCCTTCGTCGTCCTAACGCCTACCAGCACCAGCTGACGAAGGTGTGGACTGTGCAACCAACAACGAGGGCTGGATGACGCACACGGGGTCGGCGCTGGAATTCACCAGCGGCCGCGCTGACTTCAGTGCCTGCGAGCAGGTCACTGCGCTATATTTGGAAGGCATTCGCCGACCAGTTCACTGCGCTCGCACAGCAGGAGTTCACCTGCCTGCGATCTCGCGCACTTAGGCAATAGAAGCATTCGCCCCTATGCCATCTTGACAATCAGGCATTCGCCGTCATGTACTTCGGGCTCGGACGGCATTCGCCGCCAGGCCTTTTACCTGGAAGGCATCTGCCCCCCAGTTTTATTTTTAGTGCTCGCATGGAAGGCATTGCCCCCCAGCGATCTCGCGCACTTTAGTGCTCGCATGGAAGGCATTGCCCCCCAGCGATCTCGCGCACTTTGACAATGGAAGCAATTTGCCCCCATGTCTTTGCTTTTGACAATGATGGCGCTCGCCATCATGCCAATGTCTCGGAGGGCTTGCGCCGACCAAGATGTTATTTTGATTTTTGAGCCGCTTCATTTTCATCCGCGCATTTTATTGAGTTCATCTTTTTGCAATTTTTTGGAGCCAAGGGCAGCGATTGCTATATTGATCCGACTGATCTTAATGCGGATCATTGCGGTAACCCCCAGAGGGCGAGTTCAATCGGGCTTCAGCAAAGTAGCGCACGCTCTTCGAGCGTCAACGCTTGCTATCTTCTGCATGTTTGCAGATTTCTCGCCCGCCATTCGGCGGGGCGCGTTTCGTGGAGGCGTTTGCCTTACCACGATCGATCTCGCCGACTAAGAAATTAACCAAAATTTAACAAGTGAAATTGACAATGAAAATAAACCTCTCGTGGTCACCTACTGACCATTTTGGCCCCCGGCACCATCAATTTCGGCGTACTCTTCCACACCACGTTCAACGGTATTGTTTGCGTGACGCCCTGGCTCATCGCGGTTTGCGCCGCCTGCTTTTCCGACACCGTTTCGAAGTTGATTTCCTCCCGCGGCCCGGGCAGCTTCACGTCGATGGTTACCGGCGCGGCGCTTTGCGGCACCGCGCCGTATTGAAAGGCTTTGGGTATGGTCACCCCCTCCGTGACCGCCGGGATGTGCAACGCACCGCCGCCCGTGGAGCTGGCCGAGTCCAGCGCCGCGCTGGACGTGCCGCTCGGATCCTCCACGTCCATCTGGCCGTCGATCATGATCCCGCGCAAATCCGCCCCGTTCAGCACGTTAATCCCGGAAACCAGTTCTGGCGTGGCAAACGAATCCCGGACCTCCTGGGCCTTTTCAAAGGGCATGTGCACGGTGAAGTCCACGAAGTAGGACCTGGAGGCTTCGAATTCGGCGATGTGCGTTACCGTGCCCACCATCGAGGTTTCGTAGCTGTCCTCCATGCACATGTCGTACAGCATTATGGCCTGCTCAAACGTTACAATCTCAAACGTTACAATAGATATAGAATCTGGAATTTGTCTTGCATAATGGGCATGACAGACTCGCAGCCCACTCCACTTTCTGCAACGGAAATTTCGGCAGATTGTAGTGCGGTTTGGGACTCCGGAACTTGTCATGCGCAGTCCTATGAGACTTGGCTAGATCATGCACTTCTTGCATCACAGATTTCCAAGCTCTATTGTAACGTTCGAGGTTGTAACACCTGAGAAGGTTATAAGCATCGCCGCCCACTTCTTGTCTGCGAGCATGTCGTGGTCCGCATAGGAACCGAGAAAAACCTCCTTCAGTGTGTCGTCGCACCCGCCCGGCGGGAAAAAGGACTGCTGCGCGGAAAGATCCGGGAACAGCCCGCCGCGGGAGGAAGAGCTTTGCATCATCTGATAGATCATGTGATGTGGATGGTTGTAGATAAAATTCATATTTTGCCAATGACATGACTCCTTTATGCGACGTTCTTCGCGAAACACGACGACGACGACGCCCTCCTGGTGTCACCATTTCATCAATGCTCCTGCATCGTGAAGAAGAAGATATAGGAAAAAGCAAAAAAATTCTGTACCTGGTTGCAGATGGAGCACTCGTTCGCTGGCATTCCCAACGCGTCCCGTATGTACTTGTCGCTTGCGTCGTCAATCAAGTCGGACCTCATGCTCGTCGTGTTTGAGGCTAACTCCACGAGTAAGAAAAACTGGTTTCCTATCCTGAGTAAAAACGTCCCAACCCCAGAGTTGTCATGCAAATGTGCGATGACAGGGACATTTGTAATGCGCAGCTCCATGTGAGGCATTTCCAACTGTGTTTTGGAATTTGTAATGCTGTCAACAGGATGAGAAAATGGCTTTCTCATGCGGCTTCCCTTGCCAACACCCAGCACTACACTGCAGAAAGAAACTTGTCATGCACAGCTCCCAAAACTTGGAGATTTGTGTTGCTAGATTCCCAACTTGACTATGGGGTGGAGACGTTTTTCCTTTCAATATTTCCCCCGTACCCGGTCCGCGCCGCGGTCTTCACGTACGCTTTGATCCCTTCCACACCGGTAGACTGCGCCACGACGGTTTCGAATAACCGTTTGAAAAACCAGTCCACGAAGCCAAACTGCCCCTTCGTCTCCTCCGTTTCCGGTATCCGGGCCATTTCCACCAAAAACAAGTAGTTCGCTTTGTACTATCAAATGCAAAAATGTCTGGGTCTGGAAGATTCTGAGACTTGTCATGCTAGTCTGGCATGACTCTAAACTCTGTATTGCGTGCCCGCGAAGAGGTCCTCTACTTCTCTGTCATGCAAAAACGCGGTTTCTCATGCGGAGTACGCAACGGAGAAGCACCGAAAAACGTGTCATGCTGGGGAGCGCATCATAGTGTGCTCGCTATTTCCTTCCTTGCATCACAGGTTTCCAGACCCAGACATTTTTGCAATCCATATGTACCGGGAGGACACCACCATCTCGTCCGCAATCAACTTCGCTCCTGGGTCAGTGGCCGGCGGCTTCCCCGACGGGGTGGGGTTCTGCGCCGCTAACTTGTTGACCATCTGCCCGGCGCCGTTGTAGAGGGTAGCGGACCCCTTCGCGTAGTTGTAGCCGGAGGAGAATTTCTTCTGTTCCATGGTCATCGCCGCCAGTCCCCGGCCCCCCTGCCAGTTGAAGTTCACGTTCCCGTCCGCGGACTGGAACTCGCCGGAGCTGTCCATCCAGTTGAAATTTTGCTGCATCGTGGTGACGTCCAGCCCGAAGGTGCCCTTGAACTTCGTGTCTTCGTAATTTTGGATCATCATGATGTGCTCGATCTTCGTCACGTTTGCGTTGATTCCGTCTTTTGTCGTGGCGTTGTCTTTGAACAGTGGAAACGCGTCGCGCATGTCGGTGGTGAGCGGGACGTATTTCACCAAATCGATAAACTTGTCGGCTTTGTACAGGATGCCGTAAAATTCATCCTTGTCAAACTCGGGGTCCGTCATGCGCCAGTTAATCACCATAAACGTACCGTTCACAAAGCCGCCGGCGCTGGGGAGCGGCGGGATCTGATGTTATATTTTACGTACATTTTTGCCGTGCATCAAGCAAAAGCAAAAATGGCAATACAGCTACAGCGAACAATGTCATTCGCATTTTACAGATAGACACAGATCATGCAACTTGTCATGAATACGTGCGCCTTTACAGTAGAAAAGCAACACCCACGAAAAATTCGTCCACATCCATATATACCGTTCCGACGTTTTGCACGGTCGACGCGGCGTTCGTGATCACGCCTTTCCCTTTGTACGCTCCGACCGCTGTTCCCGTCCCGCTGAACCCGACATCATACCTCCCCTGGTCTAACGCCAAAGGCCCGGTCAAGGGCGTAATCTCCGTGATTCGCAAGTTTCCCGGCTGCGCGCGAAAGGTGTCCTGCAGCACCGTGGTCATGGCGGAGAGCAGCGCCTTGAACTCGGCCGACTTCGTGTCCGCAAACTCCTTTGGGTAACGCTCGACTTGCAGGTACACCTTCCCCTGAATCCGGGTCCGCCCCTCTTTCGCGGACACAAACGCCGGGGTTTGCGGCATCGCCGGCATTTGCGTGGAACCCGCGCCGATCTGGATCCGGACGACGGACGGACGGAGGGGGAGGCAACCCCGCAAACTGTTGCAGTCGGGAAAGGCGACCCTGCGAACCAAACCCGGGACGGAGACCAATCTCGGCCAGTCGAGTTCCCAGGTTGCGAAATTTTTGTGCAAGTTATCAAAAGAAAAAATGCCCCCACGACTCAAAAACTTGTGATGCAAAGTTTCCAAATGAAAACTTTTTGTCTTGCGTGAAAGGACTATGAATCTTTCTGATGCAGAATCTAGCTCTAGGCAAGGCGAGTAAGGCGTCTTTTACATGACAGGCCCGGCTGCTGCTGGGCTCTTGCGCAACACAAATTTTAGCTGTTCCGCATTGAAAATTTGTGATGCTGAAATATGCAAGACGGGGAATGTTTCTAGTGGAAAGGTTTGCAAGACAAACTTGCCAAGTTCTGGGGTGGGGACATTTTTCATTGTAATACAAGTAGTTCGCTAAGGCGTCCTCCAGCGCGTGGCCGTCGAAAGTCGCCCCGGTGCGGATTAAGACGAAGGAACCGGTGAGTCTTTGGGTGGACCCTAAAGCGTTTGCGCGGATGTTTATCGAGACCGCATGGACGTAGGCTTTTGGCGTGGTGGTGGTCGTGGTGGTCGGTTTCTCTATGGCCTCGAACTCACACGCCTTTACCTTGTCCAGGCCGGGAACGGCGCTTAAGCCGAGGTACGCGGCGGTTGAGACGGCCTGTGATAGAACAGAAAATCAAGGGAGCCTTTTTGCGCACTCCTGCAAGATGAATCGATATTGCTCCTGCGAAGGAACAGGAGCTCATCTGCAAGAACTCATCTACGTGCATAATCATGTTCAAATCGGAAGACTGACACCAAATACTGTAAAAAATTTCCCAATACGTTTTTCACGCTCTCGCTTTCGAACTTGTTCACTCTGATGGTCTGTTTTTGGTAATTTTCGCGCCGAATTGCCAGCTTTACGAGCTCGTCGTCTAGCTTCCACAGCGAATCCGTCAAGGTCTTCACGTTTTCCATGGACCACCACCCACCAAGTCGATCGGAAAGCTCTTTCGAGTAATCCGCCAAATCGGCCGCCGCGGTCGGGGAGGATTTCTTCTGATGTAAATGTTTTGATGTAAATGTTTTTGTTTCGCTCACAAACTGCTATGCAGTACAAGGTAAAAGGTTTCAAAGATGAGGATTGACACATGATGATCTTCATGAGGATAAGCACAAAAAGAAATTACTACACCAAGGACCTTAATGTTGTCAGTATGCCCCTGCCAATACCTTCACCGCATTTGCCATATCCCGCAGTTTCCAGAGCATCTTGCTCAAGCTCGCCAACGCTCGCATATCCAACGCGAGCTTCCGTCTCTGCTTCTCCAGTACAAACACGTCCCTTAGCTCATTCGCGAGGCCAATCGCCTGCGGTTTCAGTGCCTGCGCGCGATTGCGCATGGAATCTGGCGTGAAAATGCGGGAGCCGCGCAGAAGAATTTTTTCCGTGATGTGCATCAAAGTGTTCATCTGCTGGGACGCGACGCCTAGGTCGTACGTGTAGTCCGCTTTCCCGGTCTCCGGGGCCACTTCGAGAGCCAGGGCGTAGAGAAGCTATTTTTTTCGTTTGTGATAGTCAGAGTGTACCAGTTCTTGTTGCAACATCGGACCAATCGAACTACTCTGCCGTTCTAGTTCTTTCAGTTGTGGTACAAAACAATAGGGGGAAGCATGAGGTAGATCAAGATCTTCAAAACGAGCAGGCACAGTTCAAGTTCAATACACTGACACTCCCCCTTCCGTTATCCTGAGTAAAAACGTACCCACACCAGAGTCAGGATGAGGATTTTGCAACACAAGCCTAGGAGTTTTGTGAGTCACGCATGACAAGTTGCGCTATGCAGTATAGTGCAGGTTAGCAAGTGCAGCCGCATCACAGATTCATCTGCTCATCCTGTTCACAGCATCACAAATTCCAAAATACGATTGGAAATGGCTCGTCTCATGCGGATGCGCATTACAAGTCTTCCTGTCTTTGCAAATCTGCATTACAACTCTGGTGTGGGTACGTTTTTACTCAGGATATCCGTTCGCCTCCGTCATATTCAAATTCGCCGCCTTCGCCGCAATCATCTATGAGAGCGCACAACTCCCCCTCCCCCTAATTTGTATGGCATGAACAGCAAGACAAACACCAGCACACATGGAGGCTGTGCAAGACAAATCTATAATGTGCCTCATGTAGTACTATTTGGGCTTCCGGAATTTCTCTTGCAAACAGTGCCACAAGGCAGCGACTGGATTTGGGATTTTGCATGACAAATGAGGGGGAGGGGGAGTTGTGCACTGTCATATCATCCTGGGTTGAAACACGAAGCTCGCCGCTCCCTGCTGCGAAAACGCGCCGTACTGCGCGACGGACGTGATCAAATCTGTGATAGAACCGAGCGGCTCCACGGTGTTCTCGAAAAACGCATTTATTCTCGTCACATCGAAGGAAAAAGCCCTAGTCACAACCACGGCGTTCAATTTTCCCTCCGCCGCTTTGATCGCCTTGGAAAACGGTCCGTTATCCGGATCTAGTAACTTCTGCTCCGCAACTTGGTTTTTCAGTTTTATGCTCGCGGTAAGCTGCGAGTTGCTGGAGAGCTTCAGAATCTTGTCGAGCTTTTCCGTCATCTCGTTGAGCCAGGTGTCTGCGGAGGGTGTACCGTCGAGGTAGACTTCGGTTTGCAGAAAGATTTTGTAGTTGATGGTAATGTCATAGTCGAGGGAGATCTGTTTTGATACATAGATGCGATTTGAAGTAAATCGAAGTTCTCGTCGTAGGGTAAGACGATACGTGGAATGAGCAACTTCCAAGCCAAATCTACGTTGTTGTAAACGAAAAGCACAACAATGCGTGCAATTCACACAGAATCATCGGTTGTTCAACTTTGCGTGCAACCTTCACAGACGCAAAAAACATATAACAAAGATGCAAATCAACAGAATCTGCAAGCAAAAGCAAAGATTGATTTGCAATACGATCGGCATCGGATCCTCATCGGACACGGAACAGCTCAGCAACGGTTCCTGGTCCATCTGCTGCTCGGTCGCAATCAGGGAAACTCCGCCGGTGGACTGTGACCTCGACAGAACGCCGTTCTGAACGTTCTGCAAAGAACTTGAAGTTGACCCCTGCTTCTCCTGCGAAGACAGCCCAGCGTCTTCCTCCTGCTTGTTCCTCTGGATTTCCCCCAGAGATAGTAACCTCAGTTCATCATCGTCGTTGCCAGTATCTTTTGACGCAGCTCCACTTTCTATCCTCTGCGACGGGTGGCCGTCGATCAGAATTGTTTCGTGGTCGTCCAAATCTAGTGGGTTTTTCCGCTCCGCTGGCTTCACCGTTCGTGACATCAGAGGCGACGTCCTGGCCGCAGCCGCGTACCCATTGTTACTGCCCAACTCGAGTCCTTGCAACGGGAGGTGCTTCTGCGGCAGAAGATTTCGATTTTTCATCCCCGCTGCTCGCACGTCCTGCTGGAGGAAAAAAGGTGAGGAAGAAGATGTGGTGTTTTTGAACCTCCGGTGGTACGACTCCGCCTCAATCAAAGTCACGTCGTTCGCACTCACGTTGTTCGACGCGGCTTCCGCGATGGTTTCCCGGATCGCCATCAGGAAATCCATCGTTCCGAGCATCAAATATCAAATGCAAAAATGTCTGGGTCTGGAATGTTGCCGGGTTTGTCATGCATATTTTCCATGACCCAGGATGTCTGTAATGCACGACCTAGCATCACAGATTTTTAGAGGGCTTCCTGATGCCTACTCCGCATGACAAATGCCCTCCCCGCGTAGCACAAACTAGACTTCTCTTGCTGGTCATGCAATACAGATTTTTTCAGAGTCCAAAGTTAGCATGACAAGTTCCAACCTTTCAGACCCAGACATTTTTGCATTTGATATCAAAGACGGGTGTCTGATTTGCTCAATCGTTAAATTTCCGGAGTAGAACCCGCGTGCCCCGCGCAACAGCGCGTCCGTCTTGTTCAATTCCTCGGGTGGGGTCTTGCAAATCGCGAAAAACCGTGCTTGCAAAGGGGGCATGTCGCCCTGGTTCTCCTTGTGCAGAACTAGGGTGTACTTTTCCAGCCCGGGTAGGAGAGCGCGGTAACACCCCTCCGGCCAGCCGTCCGCGTCGGTTTTGCGGCTGGCGATGAGCTGCTCGCCGCCCATGCCGAGTTTTCGGGAGGCGAAAGCGCACTCTTCGGGGTCGAGGATGACCTCGCCGTCGGGCTTGCATTGCCAGGGGATCCGGTCGCCGCCGTCGCGTGTGAAAAAGACGGCTTGTGTGGCTTGCGCGGCGACTTCTCGAGTGTTCAGCGCGGTCGTCAGAAAAAGCAGCACGCAAGAGAGAAACGCAGCCATCATGGATTGGCCGTTGTGAAGATGATCAGCGCAAAAGCGCGCAGACGAGGACGAAAAAGAAGTTCTTCGTATTCTGCTTTTCTTCGTGAAGTAAAGCTCTAGGGCGCAAGAACGACCGTGGCGAAAGCTACTGCATAGCGCATTCAATATCCTGCCGCACCCTTCCTTCAACATCAGCCTGCAGAGCATGCCTGCCGTGGAGCGCGCCCGAACACGATTGCCGCCGCGCTGCTTTATCTTCTCCGTTAACGAAGTTGTGCTTCTGCGTGCAGTATATGCAGTGCTTCTGGTTCTGAAGCATGAGCTAACATTCCGGGACGCTGGTGGGGACTGAAAATTTCTTCGACGAAGTTTGTGGAACGGGGTCCCTCTGCTCCGCACCTCTGTCGCACTTTTACCACGACCGCTTTCTGTACTGGAGTGTGGTGTGTGCAACGCCCGGCGCTCGCGTATATCTGGGGGCCTACGTCGCGATAGAGCGTCTTGAAACTTCATCTTTTGTGCAGTATCAGCTGGGCGCATACAAATGCAAGGGGGCTTACCTGTGATATCCGCATGCGCCTCGTGATCATCAGGCGAGCGCTGTGGGCGTGCCTCAACAGGTGCATCTAGTGCTGCGAGAAATTCACGCTCGCAACCGAGATTGCCGCTCTCTGAAGTTGCTCCTCTAAGCGGAAGACAATCGGCCTTGGCCGCTCTGTCTGTGTCTTCTCAACTTCTAGAGAAATAATCCTGCCGATTCTCAACACACTCGTGTTTTTCATACAGCACACCCCTGAGATAAAGGCAGCACAGCTCTTACTTTCTCCGTGCAAGGGGCAGTGCCTCCTCCACCACATCCCGTGCGAAGGTAGATATTAAGGATGCCAGGGGCTCCTTCGAGTGGAATTTTGGATGTGGAGGTCCAATCGTGACACAGGCCGATATTGCACTTAGCATCGGGCACCAGAAACAACACAACGCGCCAAGCGATGGATTGCAGAAAATTGCTACAGAAGCCGTCTGGCTACGGCACGCAGCCCGACGTGGCCGGCCGCGCCCGCTCGGCACCCGATCCCGCTGCCTGACCGCTGCGTTCGGTTGGGCGCGCAGGCGCGCAGAGGCGCTGAAGGGGGGCCTACTGTAAGGGGGGCCCGGCCGGCTGCCGGGCAGAGGCGATACACCCCCGATGACTTATCTGCCGGGCCGGGCTCTTCGCTACGCGGCCCGCGGGCGCGCGCAGCGCGGACAGACCGGCCCCCCGCGCGCCCCACCCTTTGTTTCCCGAAGGCGGCGCGGGGGGCGCAAGCATGCGCGCAACCACCAGGGCGGCGCGGGCAGGCTTCATACATGCACGGCGCCCGCTTCGCGAGGTTTTTCGCCGCATGGACCAAGCCGAACACGTCGGGCATGGTGGCCTTGAGATCGGCCTCTGCTCGGTCGCCATACGCGTCCCGGCCTGGGTGGGCGCTGGCCCTTTGGCTTTCCCAGATGCACCATCGTGACCAGGGCCGTCTCAAATACCGGTCGCGCCTTCCGCGCCACGTCGCCCACCTGCTGGAAGAGGTTCGGCAGCGCCATCCAGCACACCCAAAAAACCGCCCCCGGCCGGCGCAATGCTCACACCGGAAGGGGGCGGGGGGCGTACATCGCGACCGGGGGCGGGCGGGCGCCCTTTGCCGGCGGTCCATGGCTTGGAACGGTCGCTGCGCAGGCTAGGGCAGCGGCTTAATGGGGTGGCTGCCGGCAGGCTTGCCACGGCGTCCGTTCCAGATCTGCGCCCAACCGGCCGGAGTTTTTCCTGCCTGGTCCTACGCAATGGCTACGGGCCAGCAAGCGTCCCCGGGCGATTAATTTCCTTGCGGATAACAAACGCACCCCGGAGCCTGCGGTATACTGAACGTCGTTGGCCACAACGTCTCCGCCTCCTGGCAAAATAAATGCCCTCGACTGTTCCTGACGCAGTGCTTGAAACCGGGCGCCCACCTTGCCTTGGCCTCCGCTTGATTCTCCTCTTGACATTGCACCGGGATGCTGTGCACAGGCCCAACATGGCCGGGCGCGGGCTGTCGCAATTAAATAATTGCCGGGCGGCGGGGCGCCCCGCCGCTAAGGCGCGGACGGGCGCTCCCGCCAGGCCGCCGCTCCTGATCGGCGGGCGCCCTCAGCATGTCACTACGAAGGAACGCCCAACCCCCCAGACAGCCGCGCTTCTTCCCGGCCGCGCCTCCCCCGGGCCGCGCCTCCCTCTCAGCGCGCGCTGCCTCCTGTTGCTTGGTGGCCGTTTGCTACTTGTGGCGCGGCGCCGATGCGCCACGCAGAACGGACGCGAAACGGCTCGCGGCGAACAAGGAACGCGTAACACGGCGCGCGAACTTTTTCCAAACGTCTCAAACGCAGGGCCCCCGTCGATGATTCCGCGCGGCTACGCCCCTGTAAAGGTAGTCGCCCCAGGGGGCCCTTAGTTAACACTTCGGCAGCGCTCCCGTGCATACCTCTCACTCAGGCATCAGAAAAAACACCGCAAACACACAACAACCTGAATGAGGGTCGGGCCTGCAGCTCTCAGCCACCGCCAATCTGCAACCCTTGCAGCGTTTCCTTGAGATCGAGTTCTTGGTTGTCGTATTCATTGTCGTGAGCTGCTGAGTTATTACATCATTGTCTGTAGTTCGATGTCTTCAGGTACATTCTTGGTGAAACAGGTCCTGCTTCTTCTTATTGTGATCATAGAAACATAGACACGGAAGAGCGGCTAGCGTGTTTTTCGCACTTGGTGCGTTGCTGAGAGCCATATGACCTAAACCAAAATGTTTTTGATATGCTTTTGGGTATTTTGAAACGTAAAGCAATCCTACCTGAACTTTGTGAAAAAAAGTCTCCTGGTCCATAACCTTGCCTATTCCATTTCTCGTTCTCCGTTGGCTTTGGCAACTTACTCCACAAAAAATGGCTGCATTAAAACTAAAACCGACATCATCCTCACCCATCCTTTCTGTTCCCACCGCCAAACACATCCGCGTTTCTGGCTACGGTGCCGCGGTCACGGGTGGCGCCACGACCGGCGACGCCCGAATCCTGCACTCCGGCTCGGGGTGGGGCCACACTTTTGAAGCGTAGGCCGAGCGGAAGTTGTGCAGCCAGGTTTTCCGCGACCCGCTCTCCTTATCGCTGTCCGAGAAAAAGGAGAACACGTCCCCGCCACCCATGATCAAAGTCTCGTCCCTTTTTCCGCCAAAGAAGAAGAAGATCGCCGCCTGGTTCTCCGGTTTTTCCTTCTCCGGCACCGGGAACAAACCTCCAGGTCTCGCCACGTACCCGACGCAGTTCTTGTCCGCCGAGCAAGTCCTCCGCGCGAACGTGTCATCCACCTTGGTCGCCGCGTCCGCGTCTCCCTGGAAGTCCAAACACCCGGCGTTGCTGTTACACGTGGCGGTTTTGTCCGACGTGAGAATCGGGATCTGTCGGTAGGCCAGGGGTGCACCGTTGATCGCGCGACAGAGGCCTCGTTCACTGTGGTAGAAATCCTCGGAGACCGTGGCGCCGATGATTCGGTCCGGCGGATTTTCGTTGGTGTTTGGCAGCAAGCCGTCGGGGGACTCGTAGGAGGGGTCGGTAGCCTGTGGTAGAAAGCTTTGGTTTTTTGATATTTTCGGATGCTGCACTTTTGATTTTCCTGTTCGTTGCAACACTACAACGAACTCATGATCAGCGAGTTCTGAAAAGGAGTAACGAGCCAACGCAAATTATCCACCAGCTCGTAGCTATATCCAATACCTTTTTCCTTGCACACGTTTCCGTGAGCCCCAAGACCTTCGCTCCGCTGTCCTTTCCCATTGGGTAAACGATGGTGCACGGGTCGAAGAAGGGCAGCGGCGGGACGGAGGCCGCATTGAAGTTCGTGACGTCGCGCTGCTCTTGGCACACCAGCCGCGCCCGTTCCGGCCGGGCGGCGGAGGACTGGATGTCCTTCGGCTGTAAGTTTAGGTACATGAACAGATGCCCTTGACCAACCTGCACGACGGGCTGGTACATGTAACACCCCGCTGGGTATAGGTGGTCCCGTTCCACGCGCAGAAACTTTCCGTTCAACGCGTTGGAGGCGGACAAGCAGTGTGACAACTGACTCGCCAGGCCGGGGATGGTCATCTGGGTCGACGGGTTTTCGCAATTCCCGTTCCGGTCCGCGAAAGAATACGTGTAGGCCAGGTAGCTACTCGCGCCAATCTTCTGCTGCGCGATCTTCGGGGTCGCCTCAATGTCCTTCTCATCCAAAGTCGCCCCCGTCGCGGCGATCTCGGGGGAATCCGCTAACCCGGTCTTGATCGCGTCGGTAAATTGGGAAAGCAGAATCTTCGGGCCGGCATCGGCGGGGGAGGCTCCGAGGGATTTCAGCTCCATGTTGAACTCGACGGAAGCGGCCTGGAGCTTCTTCACTTCTTCCTGTTGCCTCGTTATTTCTGTTGTTGATTCTTCTCCGGAGGAAAAAACCCGGGCTAATTCGTTCAGCTTCGTGCTTTCATCGTCCGTCGTGCCACTGTTTGTTGTTGTTCCTCTTTCGGCGTTTTTTGTACCTTCATCTCCAGTCTTGACCGGCGCGGTCGGGACTACTACATCAACAGCAGCTCCTACATTTTTCTCGATGTCGACCTGTTCCAGCTTGCTCAATGCCTCTTCCATCTTCTTTACCGCTTTTACCTTCTTCATCGCACCAGAAGAACCACTCGTAGTACTCGTCCCCAAGAATTCCCTACTTTTTCCAACCAGCAGCGCCGCCTCCGCGTCACCACCACTCTCGCCCAAACAGGTCGCGCCCATAATCTCTACTTTCGAATCCTCCCGCAAATCGCCTGCGTTGATGATGTCGCTGGACAATTTATCCTTCGACAACGCGTCCACCACCGCTCCACAGGTCGTGCTCGACGGAATCTGCAGCTTCGCTACCACTTTGGCACTGATCCTGTATTCCATCGCATCCTGAGTAAAAACGTACCCACACCAGAGTCAGGATGGGGATTTTGCAACACAAACCTAGGAGGTTTGTGAGTCACGCATGACAAGTCGCACGCCGCAGCGCAGTGCAGGTTAGCAAGTGCAGCCGCGTCACAGACTCATCTGCTCATCCTGTTCACAGCATCACAAATTCCAAAACACGATTGGAAATGGCTCTCATGCGGATGCGCATTACAAGTCTTCCTGTCTTTGCAAATCTGCATTACAACTCTGGCGTGGGTACGTTTTTACTCAGGATACATCGGCGGCTTCAACGCTGCCGCCCCGTCGTCCGCAACCTCGGGGTCGAGCGAAACGTCTTTCGGTGCGGGGTTGGGAACGATGATGTTCGGGATGTTCGGCGCCGGGGTTTCGCCGTCGGCCCCCACGATTGGCTCGTCAGAAGTAGATCCGCCTGCTGCGGTCTGGTTATTTCCGCTTGCACTAGCTCCGGTCGTCGCGTTGTTCGCCTGGCTTCCTTGGGTTTGGCCTTGGTCTTGTTGCCCTGGTTTCGTCACATTGAAGTTCGTGACCTGCTTCCCGTCCTGCGTCGCGTTTAGTTTCATCACCTGCGCTGGCGCTCTCTCGTATGCATCGCAAAAGTATCGCACTCGTAGTAAAAGTAATTGCAACTATGCATGAAAAATCAGGTTTTTCGTTTTCTACCTGAATCCGCATGACAGTCTCCAACTTTCCACTTGCCAAAATTTGTCATGCGATTTCTACTAGTACGATAGTTTATTTGCAATGCATATTTCGATGCGGATGTCAATTTTCGTGGGGGCCGCTTTCACGTGAAAGTTCGCGGACGCGGACCGGCTGGCGATTTCCGACTGGATTTTTTTCGACGTGCTGGTGATCACGGTCTTCATGGTTTTTTCCTTGGGTTTATCCTGTGCAAAAGTATCGTACTTGTACTAATAAATCGCAGTCATGCAAGACAAATTTCTTGTTCAAGCTAATTCAGCATGAGAAATTCCATTTGTCGTGCTGAGCGAATTTGTATTGCAATACTACGAGTACGATACATTTGCACTGCATAGGGTTTCAGCTTTATCGAATCGAACGTCTCTTGTCGCGGTGCGGCTGGGACGTCCATGGACTTACTCCCCGCCGTTGCTTCCGCGGCATACGTTTTTGTCGTGGGCGTTGCGTCGGCCTTGAACTTTTCCGAGTCTGGCGTCGCTTCCGTTTTCAATTGCTTCGAATTTGGAGTTACCGAGTCGATTTGGAATTTCTTCGTTTCCGGCTTTACAGACACGCTTCCTGCCTTCTGCACATCGGGGTTCAGATTCACCGTGGCGGACTCCGTGTTCGGTGTTGCCTTCACCGTCATTTTATCCACCGGCTTGGCCTTTGCTTCTGTGTCAAACTGTTTCGTGGTGGGGGTGAGAGTCGGCCCCGTGACCTCGGTCTGCTGCGGAATGATCTTCAACGTCGGGGACGGGGTGTTGGCCATAACGTTGGAAGACATCAATTTCTTCTCCGCGGTAACGCCGACGTCAAAGGTGGTCGCGGACATGGTAGGTGAAGCGGACGCTTTCGACTGGTCGCTTGAAGTGGTTTCCCGCACGTTGTTGAGCTGCACACCTTGTTGAGAGAGTTTTTATTGTTCGTAGTGACTAGAAAGCATAGTCCAAAGAAAAGCAGAATTTGACAGACGGGCAGCCGACGGATCTCAAAAATCAAGGCATAGTACCTTCCTTGGCCGAAACCGTGCCCGCTTCTGGTGTATCCGCAACTTTCCGTCCGAACAGTACTTGTGGCTTCTTTTCCGCTGCTTCTACATCCCGTGCCTCAGCGGCTGACACTGTGTTTTTCTCCCTCGGTACCTCACTGCCCCGCTGACCACCAGCCGACGCCTCTTCTAGCTTGACCATATCCACTTCCCCCGCTGGGATATCATTATCCGCGGCGACATTCCTAGTCAGATCGGCTTCGCTCTTCCGCTCTAATGCGGCTTCGATTTTGGAGGAAGATTTCAATGCAACAGGGTTAGTTCTTGCTGGTGGATTCATCCTCGCTACTTCTACCTCCTGAGTGAACTTTAACGCTTTGATGCCACTTCCCGTACTGGAAATGTCAATCTCCCCCGCTTTTAGCTCCCGCAGATGTTCCAATTGCTTTTCGTCCGCCCCGAATATCGTGTAGCCGACCGTCACCGGTTGCGCGTCCCCGCGGCTTTCCAGCGCTTGCTCCGCACAGGACACCTCCGGATCCACCCTGACCTGGTCCGGGCAGAGGCCGAAGTGCTGCGACAGCTGCTCACGCACCATCATCTGGATTGCGGAGGGGTAGCAGGCTGGCGCCTCCAGTTGTGCACTTCCAGTAATCTTCTGCGCATTCGAAAAACTACCGGTCTGTCATTTATTAAAAAGAACTTTTGCGATGTTGAATAAACCGGTCTGTCATCTGTTGGTAAAAAAAATTTTCAGATTTATTACCAGATAGATGTTCTTGCGCTTTATTTCGTACACGGAACATCAGGAGCACAGAGGTGTTGAGTTCGAAATTCGTGCGCGTGCCCAAAAGCAAAAGTACCAAACGCGCTGATGTATTTACGTTCTTACGTAGTTATGCAAGTTGACAAAACGTGGCTTCACTCACCTCGAAATCCATCTTCTGTGAAGAATCCCACTCGCGACAGGGATCACTTCTGCGTTGGTTTATGTCCCCGTGCAATTCCTGCTGTGATGCGACCTGTGCCTCCCCAGCTTCGTCGGCGTTTTCTGCTTCAGCGGCAGCCTTACTTCTTCGCATGATTTCTGCGTCAGCATCGATATTTTTTTGCTTCCTCCGACTCTGCACTTGCAAAAGAACGACTGGGGGAGCAGGAGGTTCTTGTGTTTTTCTACTCGTCGTACCTTCCGCCAACCTCGAAAAAGTCTGCAAGAAACTCTGCAGCGAGATACCAGTGGAACAGGCCTGAAAGTTCGCGGCTTTCCAATCCTCCCAGGGCCGGTATACTGCTTCCCATTTTGTTTGCTCGCCAACAGGAATCCCTCGTTCCCGCAACAGGAGTTCTGGCTCGCCCATCTTGTACGGCCACTCCAACATGTTGTTCAATATTTGGCCGCCGTCCACAGCGGCTTCCTGGGATGTAGATCATGGGGTTATGAATGGTCGTAGTCTTGAAACCGCCCGCAACTTTGTCTGAACGATCACTTAGTCCGTATGACCACTTCTTCTACACTACGATGACGAGGACCCAAAAAATGTGCAAAGTTATTTCAACCGAGTTCCAATTCTTTCATCAAGATTACAAAACACTTGCCCAACGTCGACACGGTAGGAATATGAATATGAATATGAAAATAAGCATGAAGCCGATAACTATTTGTTTCACGAAAATGTAGTCCTCACAACGCGCAAATAAAAGTCTATACAGTATTGTTCCCTTTCGGATAGTGGCCTATCAACCCAATGGCGTTCTCAAGTGTTACATTCTCAACTGTTACATGATTTGTCATGCAAGATTGCAATCAGAATCGACACGATCAAGGTCAAGCTGCTTCGCATTACAAATTCTCGAAGTTGTAGAGCCCAACAGGCTGAGAATCTGTGCCACATCTGTCACGCAAGACGCGCAAGGTCCCCTCTTTCACTGTTGCCGTTCTTGCATCACAAACCCATGTAGCAGTTGAGGATGTAACAGTTGAGAACGCCATAAACCAGGTATCAAGCTTGTGGCTCTTCGTGACCGTGGCGTCCCGGATGTTCTCCACGAGCTGATATTACAGTGAAAAATGCCCCCACCCCCAAAATTGCAAAAATTTGTGATGCGAAGTTTCGAAATGAAAACTTTTTGTCATGCATGAAAGGAGTATGAATCTTTCTGATGCAGAGTCTAGGCGTGTATGTGTATCGCATCGCTTGCATGACAAGCTCCGCTCTTCCTGGGGTCTTTTGCAATGCAAACTTTTGCTATTCACGATTGGAAACCTGTGATGCTGATAGATGCAAGAGGGCGAATGTTTCATTTGGAAAGGTTTGCAATACAAATGCTCCCAAGTTCGGGGGTGGGGGCATTTTTCATTCTAATAGCTGACACGCGGACTTTAAGGACAAGTGCTGCACCGCGTCCCTGGTTAGTGCGAGCGCATTCTTTCCCTTTACTCTTCCTTCCGCGGTCGCCAAGGCGGCCCCGATTTTCTCCAAGAGGCCCGCGTTAGCCGGTGCTCGCAAGGACAAATCCGCCTGCATCAACTGGATATTGTTGCCGCTTTCTGCCGCGGAAAACCGGGCTTTCGCTTCGTCGAGGGGCGTGTCCGCGATGTCGATGCCGACGTATTGAAAATCCTTCTTGTATTTCCAAACCTCGCGCAAAAAGACCGACGTCCATTCCATGGCCCCACAGGGGACGTCCAGCATTATGTCGATGTTCCTTTCTTTGATGATCGTGTGCAACTGCTCCCGCAGCCCGGCCGTTGCGTTCACGGTGCTGCCCGGACCGGAGCCGCCGCCTGCGCTGCTCCAGTTCTCGTTTTCGTAAATGTTGTTAAACTTCTGCTCCCGCGCATCGTGCGTTGAGTCAGCAGCGTCTCCATCTTTTTGGTCTTCACTAGCAGTTGGAGTTGTACCTCCAGCCGAATCTTTCACAGGTGGCACTATCGGGGCTTTATTTTCGTCCGAAGTTTCGAAGTTGGACTCTTGCTCCGGGACGACATCTTCGTGCGCTGGGTCACCGGCACCTTCAGCGGAATCCGCGTTTGAAAATAGAAGTACTTCATCCGCCTTAATAGCTGGAGGTACTTCTTTTGGATTCGTGTTGTAAAACCAAGTGTTTTTATTTTTGCGGCCCACCAGCATCCTCTCCTTCCTACTGCCCACCTGCAACAGAACGAGCGGCCTTGTGGTTGTTCTACTACTGCTCGATGAAAAGGCCGGAGCTGCATCTATCGCCTTCGAGAAAGTAGATCTTTCGGACGACGAAGAAGATGCTGGAGCTGCAGGAGGGCCCTCTCTTGTTCCTCGTGCAGGTCGTGACGACTCAACGCGGTTCCCTTGCTGCAGAAAACTTGTCGTTGGCAGTGCTATGATATCGTCATTCTTTTTACCATTCCGCTTCAACATCGCGGAGGTACCAGTACCACTGCAGCTCGCTTCGCAAGAGGAGTACCCCCTTGGCAATAGCCCGAGAAACGAGGATATAGAACGAAAAAAGTGTGTCACTGTAAAGATTTTGCAAGTTTTGCATCAAAGGTTTGTTCTGCATGACAGAGAAAATTTGCCATGCGAGATTTCCGAGGGAAAACACAGCTAAAGTTCCATTGTCTTGCACGTGTAGCAAGACAAACACTTACACTTCTGAGATAAATTTTCTGCATTACAAGTTTCCAGTGAAGCAGTTTTTTCTTGCGATAGAGGAGCACAGCGGTCCGCACTTCTCACACTTCGGATACTGCAGGTCCACTTGGTGGCCGCAAAAATACCCATTCGCACAGGGAGTCTCGTCGCACAGGAGACCTAGTTTGCGAAGAAGTAAGCCTGCTTCTAGTTCGTTGCATTCTATTTGTTGAACATGCTTGCACTTGCTCGTCTTCTATCCATCGTACTTATTTCAATCACCCCACATCAACATCATCAAATCTGTCCACTAAAGTGCGTCAAGGTGCAAGGAAACATCAAACTCAATTGCTTTCATCTCGCAGCAGTCACCAAACTATCGGGAAAATACCACACAAAGAATCTTACCTGCGTTTCGCCGGTCTAAATTCTCATCAACATTCGTCCTCGATGCCAGAAACCCGGTCTGCAGTAAGGCCATAGAGGGACGGTTACCTGACGCAGTAGCGGCTCCAGCGGAAGCGGGAAGCAAACTACCGCCGATCATGTTGTCACCCGCATAATCAGGTCGCCCCATCGTGGCTCCTGTTAGCATAGTCGCACTCTGCTCCGGACTCAGGCAAAATTTCTGGCACTGGTTTTCCGCCCACGGAGACATGGCGTTTACGACGAACCCGTGCTGAACCGACGAACTCCCTGTACCGCACCCCGTCGGCATGAAGGGTTCGCACATTCTGCAGTTCCGTACACTTCTGTCCGCGGATTGGAAGCAAAACTGCCCGGTGTTACAGCTCCCGTTAATCCCGCAGTCGTTTCCCAGGGCGGAGTAATGGACTAGGGAGATGTCTTTCGGCTTCACGATCTGCAAAAATTTCTCCACCGACAAATGCGGCTCCGCGTCTTTTCCGGTGGTGACCTTCATGGAAATCTTCGCTTCTCCGCGCCCTTGGACCCGGGCTTCCTTCACCAGGATTTGCTTCTGGTCGTTTTCCTTCTGTTTTCTCTCCACTTCCAGCAAGCTGGTACTCTTTTCGCCATTTTTTGTGCTTGTTGTTCCACCGCTCATCAACCCTTTTCCCTGCAGCAATTCTTGGAGTTGTGCCATCAGCCTATTTTTCTTCCCGGATTCCTCCATGGAAACCAGTTTGGAATCACTATCTACTCCAGTTGAGGATGTTCGTGGTCCTTCGCGAAAATTATTGTTGTTTCCCCTTCCACTCCGGACCGACTCCTGCAGCAAACTCGCTCCAAAGGCGTTTGCTGGCGTGATCCCGCTCGGCCCGGTGACTTGGTCTTCCCGTCTGCAGCTGTCCAAGACCGGATCGTAAACGTACCCGTTCGCCGTGGTCACCGCGGCGATTTGCACCTGCGACGGCGACACCCCGATGGCGGTTGCATAGGCTTTCTTGAAGTCGTCGCGGACGGCAGAACTGCAGACGAACCCGAGTTGGTCCGCCACGTCGAGCGTTAAATCCTGCATCGTCTGCTTGAACTCGCCGCCCGAATTTGCCAGTTTGTGGCAGGTCACCCGGAGATTCTGTGCCGGGATCCCCTGTTCGTCGACGAGAAGCGTTCTCAATTTCTGGATCGCAACTTCATCACCGCAGATCAGGTGCGCTTTGGACGACAAGTCAATGTTCAACACCACATCGTCCTTCAAGTTCGGTAAGCGGTTGTCCGGAAACAGGGTTTTGCAAATCGTTTGGAATCGCAAGTCCAACGCCGGGGTGAATCCGCCGGTCTGCTGCTTCGACAATTGCATCGCGGGGGTTTGGGACCCCACCCCCTGCACGTTGTGCACCACGGCGGTGCCGTTCGTTCCGCCGATGTCCGTGCCGGGGTTGAACAACAGGATTCTCTTCCCCGCGTCGTACAAACACCCAGTCGGAAACCCTAAAGGATCGTCCACCGAGGCCATTTCCGCGACAAAGCTATCCAGTACAAAAGTAATATCGCACTCGTAGACGTAGCAGAAGCAGTTCTTGCTGTCGGGATTTGCAATGAAAAAATTGCATAATTTCCACTTCTACTAGAAACACCAACACGGTTGGAAAAGAAAATAATAGAGTCAAATTGGCCATGCAAGTTTTGCTACCAGGACGAGCGAGGATATGAATTTTCTATCGCATAGAATCTGTCCAGCCCCAGTTTCGTTGCCGCCACGTCGCACTCCTCGGCTGAGGTAACGGTTTCGCGCGAGGGGCATTGCCACCCCATGCCGCGGTTGTAGTACACCATCATGTCCTTCGTTGGGTTCGTCGGGTTGGTCGGCGCTATCAGTGGGTTATTCGCCGCCGCCGCCGCGGCGCCGGTGGGAGCGGCAGCAGCGGTGGCGGCCGGAGCTGTTCCTGCAGCTGCTGTTCCTGCCCCTGCCGCTGCAGCCGGTTGCAGCTGCTGCTGTGCTGCATTCGTTCTCCTGGCACCGAACGTTTTTTCCAGCAATTCTTGGCTTCCTTCCTGTTGTCCGCTTTGCTGTTGTACAGTGCCCCCTCCTTCCAGTGCCAGCGCACCGGTGGACAGCATTTGCGAATTTGCTCCACTGACCGCCTGCTCCAGAGCCGCCGAGCGGGAAACCTGCAGAAGTTCCGTGCCATGCTGCCTCGAAGAGAGATTGTCCTCGTGCGTGGATGTTGTTGTGACTCGTCCAGGAGCTATACTTTGCCGTCCAAAGTACGGATTCGATGACCCATAGTTGTCGTAACCCGTGATAGCAGCAGCACTTCTATCCCCAAGAATTATCGTGGGGCTACTTCTCCGCGCTGCAGCAGAGAAATCAACACCAGCCTCCTGTCTAGTACCAAGATCTTCTCCAAAGTGGTTCTGCACGGCCTGCACAATGCTCTGTTCGTTTTTCTGCAGGTGAACCCTGGCCGCTTGGTCCGGTGCGTTCACGTGTAACGTCGCGAGGTCCCCGAAGTGCGGCGGGACCCATTGTGCGGCTATGGTAGTCCCGTCGAATAACGCTAATGCTGGTGACCACGACAGCAGCAGAGCCGCGCATTCCTGCCGACGCGGAAGCGGCCGCGCGCGCTTCCGCATCCTTGCGTGCTTACTGCAACATCTTGTCATTCAGTGGCACGAGAAGTGGACACAGCGTCGAGCATGGGCCGGCGCGGGAAAATCTTCTGCGACCATAGGATCAACGGCAGAAGAAGGTTTTTTCCCGGGCCGTGGTACTAAGCTTCTTCGATCATAGGCCTTTTCGATGTTTGTTCTTGATCTTGAGTCACGGCAGAAAACAAAAAAAGCAAATGCAAAATCCCGGGAAAAAGGAACGCTTTTAAGAATGCCGCTCCTTAATATTATCTACGAGTTTCAGAACTCGACCCTATCAGCATCTTGATGCTTGTGTTCTTGGAATACGTTCCGTGCCTCTGCATTCGCTCTCTTGTCTCTCCATGCGCTCTGCTCGTGAGGAAGAACATCTTCATGACATGACAGCAACACAGACAAATCTCTTCTCCCGGTCCCAGACAAGCAGGGAACCCACTTCGGCCCCCCCCCCCCAAGAACTCGCCATCCCGCTACGTTTTTTCTGAAATCTTCGAGACGCGGCCAGGAAGGGCTGCATCAACTTTCATGGGATAATTCTGCGTGAGTTGAAATTCTGCGAAGTTTGTGTTCCAGATTTGTTTCGATGGTGCGTTATGAAAAGAGTTGAGCCCGTGTCATGCAGGTGCGACAATGATATGGCAAAAGACCTGGTTATAGGAGCAAAAGGTGCACGTCAACGTTTATCTAAGCCCGTGGAAAAATGCACAGGATTTTCCTTTCAAGGGGGGTTTTATCAAAGCGCCGCCTCCCCATTGCGCGCTGCAAAAGAAAAGGTTTGAAAGTGGAAAATGACTTCGTATACACATGTACAGAGAGGGCTTGTTACGTCAACCAACTACGTACACTGCAGGTGATGCAGAGAACAGGCTTACGTTTATTTTTGCATCATCATCATAAATTTGTTCGAATAGGCTCGAGTATTTCAATGGATTATACTAAAAGTGAGGATTCATTTTCTCTACGAAGCAGAACTTGACATTCAGCTGAAAGTTTTCCGGCACAACGCATCATCTTCGCGTAGTACATTTTTCTTATGTAGTAGAACCAGCGCCGACGTCCGCGACCACACTGTCCTCGTGTAGTACAGCAGCAACTGTGCTTCGTTCTCACACTGTCCTGCGCAGCTTCTTCCCCGCGACGGCAGACAGATTGTTCTCGTCCAGCGGTGCGGTTTTCCAGTTCACACCCTCGCACATGATCTTAATTTTCTCCATCCCATCCGTAAAAACGTTTTCGAACGGCACGGACTCGTAGTCCCCTCGAACGTATGCATCGCAAAAATACAACTTCTACCGCACTTAGCTCCAGTAGTGTAGTACACCGCATAATGTTTACAAATCGTACCGCACGAAGTACTAGAGCATGAAGTTTGTTGTATTGCTGGAAACAAAAGCTACGGTTGAAAAGGAGGCTCGTAGATTGCGGTGTTGCAGGAGTGCCGTATAAAAGTAAGTATACTTTTGCTCAGCATAGCACGCGGATCGGCTCGCTGCCTCGGATGTGGTACTCGCGGGACCGCAGGTTGGGACCCTCTTCGTATTCGGGCAGCCGGTAGACCAACCGCCCTTCTATGAACCGACCCATAAAGGCGGCCCAATCTGAAATAAATTTTGCTAGACATCGGAGATCGAGCATGATTGATTCGATTTGTTCTAAGGGGTGTAGTATGCAAAAGCAAATGTGAGCATAACCATAAGCATAAGCTACAATAATTCCGGCATGATAAAAAACGTGCTAGGTATCTATACTCTCTTGCCAGATGAGCGAGATGTAACCGCGCGCCGCGAGCATCCCGGTTCTGTTCTGCGACGGCGAAACGCTTCGCAGCATGGAGGTCGTTGTGGTACCGCCACCGCCACGTATCCTGAGTAAAAACGTACCCACACCAGAGTTGTAATGCTAAAAGGAATTGCAGCACACTTTGCCCCCCCCTCTGCCCCAGGCCGCAGATGGCTTGACACGCAGGGGGGGTAGGTCAGGCGGACACCGAAGTGCCATCACCATCATCTCCCGGCCGCTCCATACTATACTCGCAAACAACCAACTTTTCGCCACCAACCAACTTTTTTGCCAACCACCAACATTTTTTGCCAACAGTATCAACCTCATTTCCTACCAACTTTGCCAACATACACCAGAGTTGTAAGAGCGGGGTAACAAACTAAATCTGGAACTTCGCGGTTGAGTTCTCATCCGGCCGGTGGCCGGATGAGAACTCAACCTCATCGCCGGCGGACCGGTATCCGGCCGGCCGGCCTGCCGGATCGATCCTCTTCCTCCCTCCTCCATTGGTCCACCCACTCTTCTCCCTCACCCATCCCCGAGCCGTGTTGCTTCACTATGCAAAAAGTCCCACCCTTGTCATGCAAGGACAGCGGAAAGTGCCGAAACCCGTAAAGCAGGCACTTGCGCTTTCATTGATTAGCCTTGATCTGTGCCGCTATTTCATGCAGTTTGCGCTTTCTTTTTTTTTTGCGCTTCTAGGTGTGTGCCCTCTACTTCCATCCGGGGTGGTCGAGTCTCAGGTGGTTCCACCGATAAACCGCTGGCAGCGAGCCGGAAGCCGCTTAAAGCGGAGGAACCGCTGGAAGCGGAGAACCACTGAAAGGCGGCAACCGGTGGCAGCGGGCAGCGGCTGAAAACGCTCAGCCGCTGAAAGAAGGCAAGCCACCGCTGGCAGAAGGCAATCACTGAAAGCGGGCGGCCGCTGAAGGCGGGCAACCGCTGGCAGCGAGCGGGCAACCAATGAAAGTGGGGAGCCCGAGCGGAACACCGCTGAAAGCGGAGGCATGGTTCCCCCCTTTCCGCGTTTCCCCGCTTCCAGCGGTTGCCCGCTTGCTGCCAGGGGTCTACTCGACCACCCCCGACGGCAGCAGCGTGCTGCCGGTGCCGTCTGTCTCCCCATGCTTGTTCCTATGGGGCCCCGCATTTGGACAGAGACAGAAGCGGGCGGCCTACGCCAATAGCCTAGGGCGCGCGAGTGCCAGCGCCGTGGTGTGGTCGATAAAAATGGGGGCTGTCACTGCGCCCCGAAGCTGCGAGAGCCAGAAAAAACGCAGTAGCAGCAAAGTGGTGTCTTCTATTACTTAGTAGTAGTAGCGCGGAAGCAAAGCGCAGTCGCTCCGTTTGCATGGAATAGAGCTTCTGGAGGTACAAACTCAGAAGGACAAAGCAGGAAAAATAGAAAGCACAAACCGCGTGAAATGGTAAGAACACGTGCGGAAATAGCCGCGCAGATAAAGAATAGAAAGCGCACGCGGCTGCTTTTGGGGTTTTGGCGTTTTCCGCTGCCTTTGCCTGCTGCCGCCTACCTTTGCATCACAAAGCTGGGGCTTTTTCCCTAGTGAAACAACTCGGCCCGGGGGCGGACAGGGGAGAAGAGTGGGTCGACCGGTTGAGGACGGGGGAAGAGAACCGGGTCGGCCGGCCGGATTCCGCCGGTGGTGTGGTTGAGTTCTTATCCGGCCGCCGGCCGGATGAGAACTCAACCGCGAAGTTCCAGATTTAGTTTGTTACCTCACTCTAATGCAAATCCGCATGCTGAAAATGTTTCTCATGCGGAGCTCCATGAGAAGCATTTTCTAGTCGTGTTTTGCAAATTGTCATGCTCCAATCAGCATGGTATGCTAGATCTGTGATGCTGCTGAGCTAGCTCAAACAGCACTACACTACGAATCCAAATTTGTCATGCAAAACAGCCAAAACTTGTGGATTTGTCTAGCCGATTCCCCATCTTGACTCTGGTGTGGGTACGTTTTTACTCAGGATACCACGGCCTGTTTGTTCCACGAAAGTGCTACTCGCCGCCACCGAACTCGCCGCTCCCGGCGTGGTTGCAGCTGCACCAGCCAGGGGACCACCCCCAGCTGCACCTCCTGCTGGCGTGCCTACCAATGTTGATCCAGCACCGGCGACCATAACACTGTCTCTGTCCCCTCCCGTTTCGATGTTTGCCACCCGGTCCAAATACGCTTTGGGCACTCGGGACCCGTCGTCGCGCTCGACGATTTCGATGCCGAACTGAAAATCCCCGTACGTCGCGTTAGTTTTGAAGTAGTTCGCGATCTGCTCGTACCCGGACTTCGTTTGCGACCCGCAGCTGTTCTTGTGTTTCCCACTGGTATGGAGCTGGCAAAGGTTCAAATCCAGGGTGCTATTCGTTTTGTCCGCGGGCTTCACCCACCAAAACTCGATAGTGCCACCTGATAGTGATACGAGTAGTTGTGAAGTTCTTTAATGAAGTTCTTCACCGATTTCTTATCTTTTCTTACCAGCATGAGAAAGAAATACAACAAGAAGATCTATCAATACCATGCATAGAAAATTGACGTAGCAACTACGTCGTGGTCGTGATCAAGTAATAAATACGACGAACGAATCACACCTACCGCCAGGTATTCCAGCGGCGACTTCCTTTCCGCCTTTGTTTCCCATCAAGCCCCTGCCCTTGGTCAGGCTGTGCCGCCTGGTGGTTCCGCTCCCGCTCGAGGAGGCGGTTGGAAACTTGTACACGAACAGTATCGCTTGCATCGACTTGGTGATTCCCGATGGGCACGCGCCGGCGAACAGAAACAGGGGGTAACACCCACTGGCGAAGGACTTATTCAACTGCAAATCCACACTCGCGTCGCCCGCGTCGGCGTTTAACACGTCCAGCAGTGGTTTGAGCCATCGGTAATCCAACACCACGTTCGGATTCCCCTGCTTCAGCCGCTTCTCCTGCATTTCCTGCCAAAATCGGAAATTTTTCGCCTTGTCCTCCTTGCTGATCCGTTTCTTCCGGAACCACCGGGCGAACGCGAACTTTCGTCGTTTCTTCTTCACCTCACCAAAACCGAAGTCCTCTTCTTCCCCGGACGAGATGACCGATTGGAGCGTGGCCGTGGTGCTGACCGACTTCGTGACCAGCCCCAAACCCTCTCGGAGCTTCACGGAGAGGGAGCGCCGCCGGGGCGGGTTGTGTAGAAGATTCTGCTGGTGTTCGATCTCCTCCTGCAGTTCCTTATCGCGGTAACTGTAATACAGACTGCTGGGGCTGTTGCTGGGCGAAGACTTATTCGTTGTGCCCGCGATCGAATTAGTATGCAGCTGGGGGTCTAGAAGTACAAATTCCTGGGCTCCTCCTCGTCCTGGTGTAGTTGATCCCCCAGCACCAATACTGGCTGCTCCCGGCGCAGGCGCCTTCTTCTCCCCCGGAAAACCGCTGGCGCTGCTCGCGAGGCTGATACTGTAGCTTCGGTTCGACCGGTTCTCGGCCGTGGCGTTGTTGATAGTACTAGTTGTACCAGCAGCCGCACTACCTTTATTCGTCCCGCCGTCTCTGAAAGAAGCAGAACTAGAACTCGTGGCGCCTTGATAGTAATTTGCTGTTCTTTGCGTGGTTCCGGCGGTAGAGGATGCAGCTCCCGCCCCTGCTGCAGTGTAGAAGGTCTCCTGCTGGCTTTGCTGGTCCACCTCAAGTTGCGTTCCTCCGGGCCGCGTGCCGCGATGCTGCTCCCCGCCGTGCGACGAGGAGGCGCCGGAGGCTGAACTGAAGTGAGACCGCGTCGGCTGGTAGAAAAAAGTGGACGTAGTTGTTTCTTGCCGTAGGTGTCCTGCTGGTGGTGGTGGCTGGAGATGCGGATGATCTACTCGTGCTCCTGCGCTAGTTCTAGTTGTAGGATGATCACGAGTCGGTTATCAAAAGGAAAAATCCCCCCTCCCCATATCGAAACCGTATCCGTCTGAAAATTTGTGATGCGCATTTGTGACCTCAAATCCTGTCTGTCTTGCAAGAAGGCAAGTACAGAAAGCGTTCCGCATTTTTCAGGCGGTTTGTGATGCTGTTTGGCTCAGAGCATGCACGTTTGTCATGCTAGGCGCCTACGTCAAAACCTCTCGGCTGAGGCTTGGCATATGCCTGCATTCCTCTACTGCAAGACAAATCTGATTTGTGTATGGAAATCCAGCATCAGAAACTTCGTTTCGATATGGGGAGGGGGCATTTTTCCTCATGATATCGGCGGCAATCCAGTCTGTTGAGAAATATGCTCCACCGCAGACACGAAACTGGGAATCCGGCTGACGGTCAGGTCGTGGTCACTAGCGGTAAAGTCGTCTGTCGTGGTGCGGCGATTATAGGGGTCATTGGCCTGGAGGAATTTTCATTTCTATAATTTCGGAAGTACGTTACGCTTCAGATTTGAACTTGAATTAGTTCAACAAACAGCAGTAATACAATTTCTTCGATTTTTCACTCATCACAAATCATATGCATATGATGCCATCAACACAGGAGCACTCGAGAGAAAACAATTGTCAACAGCATTTCCAGGAAACAGTTTGTCCCGTTTTACCCCCTGGAGCCCCCCATCCGTGTCAATAATTTGAATCCGCACGTCCAGCGCATCCTGCGCGGTTTGGTCTTTCGAAGTGTCGTAAGAGTCCCCTCCCGCGCTGCCGCCCGTTCTCGTCGTACGGGAGTCATTTTTCTCGGCCGACGGCGGTATCAAATGCAAAAGTATCTGGGTCTGGAATGTTGCCGGGTTTGTCATACATATTTTGCATGACCAATGACGCCTGTACTGCACGCCCTAGCATCCCAGATTTTCAGGCTTCCTGATGCTTGTTCCGCATGAGAAATGCCCTCCCCGTGTAGCACAAACTGGACTCCTTTTGCTAGTCATGCAAGACAGATCTTTTTGGAATCCAAAGACAGCATCACAAGTTGCCACCTTCCAGACCCAGACATTTTTACGTTTGATAGGCAGCGACGAGGAGCTACTGTTCGGCTTTTTCCCGCAGCAATTGAAACAAGACATTCTCTGCTTCCTGGTGCAGCAGCAGGCCCTGGTGCTTGTAGCTTCTTTTTCTTCAGCCGTCAAGGTAAAAAACTGGTGCAGGTTTTGATGGTCGCTTTTTCCTTTTGTTCTGAAAAGAAAGGAATGAAGAACGGACCCGTCGCTCCGCGTCCGTAGAAGTCTTTCTGAAATTATAGACGCTGCAAGTTCATCCTCCTGCCCAAGTGCAGCTTCTACTGCGTCCACGTAGATAACACCAACACAAGCAGCAGTAGCAGCTCCAGGCTAAGAAAACGAAAGTGGTTCATCACTTATGTTCTTCCGGTCGTCCCGGACTTTATTCATTTGTTCAACTTGAAAACCGTCTCCATCATGAGCTTGTGCTTCAGAATATGTCGGAAAACCACCTCTGCCTCGTCGTGGTTACGGTATGATAAACTAATTCTAATTTACCTTGTACGTACCATCTTTCCGTCAAAATAACATCGGTAGAAAAGAAGCCGCGCTTTGATGTGAGCTCACTGTCACAGACGGTGAAAGTACCAACCTCTGTACTAGTTTTTTTTCATCATCCGTCGTAAACGTAACTCGTTGTACTAGCGTCGAAAAAGATACATGTGATGTGCGTCCTCTACGTCGTGAGGTGCTACATGACACGGACAAATAAATCAAGAGGCCGCGGCTCGGCGGGCAACAGTGAGCTCCTCTCACTGTTGAAAGCTGCTTGCACATATTTTCGGCTTTCTCCGCCTCGTGCAGTCTCTATCGCTCGAGGATGTCGCTCCAAAAATGAAGCGGGTCGTGATGCAAGTACTTCAAAAAAAAGGCTGGAAGTGGTTTCTGAAGCAACGAACTCAGCTTGTCCTCTTTTTTGTGTCCTTTCCTCGCAGCGGGGCTTTCTTCACGCCACGAGGCCCCCGCCATGGGGTTTCCATGTCCGTGTTTTTTCTTCACCAACTGCAGGCACAAATAGAATTCGTCTACGAAAAAGCCACGAATTGCGTAGGCGGACGCCTGTTGGCATGAAGATGAAAGAAGAAGAACTGAATGGAGTCCTACTCCTTCCAACAAGTGTCGGACAACATGGCTCATCAGACAGCTTCCGTCTTTTTCTCAATCACACAGCAGTTTCAGAAAGTCTTGTAACCAACCGGGTGATACGTGCACGACATGTCCACTAATACTGCACCCCCGGGTCGTCCGCACCCTCCGCATTGAAAGCCACGTACGCGAACACCCCTATCGCCACGGGCACTTATCCCCTGCGAATTATATCGAGCCGCATCCGAATGAAAGAGAAAGTGACACTTGCAAAAATGCTGGTCTTACTTCATCTTAATACCCGTCGAACCCATTTCTGTAGAGCCTGAGGACCAATAAAAGCGATTGTCACCCTGCAAGAGAGAGCAAAATGCTGCAATGCGCACTCTACTATCTACCACGCATGAAGGGTGCAGAGCGAACCTTCTCATGCTGATGCTTGGCCGCTTCAGTACAAGATATCATGCTTTTGCTTTCCTTATCCACAGCTCGACATCACAAATTCTTTTTCTTTTCAGACCCAGATCGATATTTGCATTATACGTAGCACTCCTAACATTGCGATCTTGCTCCCCGTATGGATTGCAAAAATGTCTGGGTCTGGATGATTGCCAGATTTGTCATGCAGGTTCAACATGACGCAGGGGGTCTGAAATGCAGGATCGAGCATGACAGATTCTGTGAGACTGTATCATGCCTATCCTGCATGACAAACTCACTCCCAACTTGGTCAAAAGCGGACAGCTTTTGCCAGTTATGCAACACAAATTTTTTCATAATCCAGATTTAGCATCACAAGTTCCAACCTTCCAGACCCAGACATTTGTGCATTTGATACCCCGCGGCCGTTGCGGCAGCCACCGCAGCGTCCTCCTCGTCTTCTTCCTTTTTTGCTTCCGTATCAAGTGTAAAAATGTCTGGGTCTGGAAGAATGCAAGATTTGTGATGCAGGTTTTCCATGACCCATGAGGTCTGGAATGCGAGACCCAGCATGACATATTTTTTGAGGTCTCTATCATGCCTTTCCTGCATGAGAAACTCCCTCTCAACTTGGTCAATAGCGGACAGCTTTTGGTACTCACGCAACACAGATTTTTGCATCACTCGGATTTAGCATGACAAGTTCTAATCTTCCAGACCCAGACACTTTTACATTTGATATTCCGGAACCGGGTCGCAACAGGCTTCCGCGTCGTCGGTTTTGGTGCAAGTCGCCGCTTTGCAGAGCGCCGTCCCATTTGTGGTGAGCGTCTCCGTGTCCTTGGTACACACGTCATTGACAAACTGCTCCTGCTATGCGGTGCAAAACCGTCCCCGTTGTTCCGTATTTGTCATGTAAATCTGCATGTAATCGTCCCGGACCCAGTCATCTCTCAATCGCAGTTCCGTGAGGAAGATTTTCTAGTCGTGTTTTGGATCTAGTCATGCTCGTAACACAGGATAAGAGCGTTAATTTTTGAAGATGCTAAACCGAAATCTAGAACATAGATGCTGAAAAATAGAAATCCAGGATAAGATGCGGCATAGCCAAGGAGGTCGAGCACGACTTCTGCGGTCAAAGTTTGTCATACCTACGGGGTTCCCAGATGAACTTTTCGACTTGTACTATGAGGAGCTGGGGACGTCGTGCTTACTCCGCTTCCTACCTGCCCAAACACTGCCGCCTCCCCAGCTGCGGGCTCCGCTGCTAGATTCAAATTGTTTCTGCTTTCGCTCTGTAGCTGGTGCGAAGTAGATGTTCCAGCTTGTAGTATTTCGGACGTGCTTGTTGTGTGACTTGCTGTTTTTGCTCTCTTTCTTTTGTGCTGCTCCTCGTAGTCCTTGCGCCGATGCGGATGCCCTTCCTGCACTTGTAGTGCTCCCTTATTTTTGACACCAGAGGACACCCCGCCGAGCTGGCTCGTCGCTGTGGTGCTGTCGTCTAGTACAACTCTAGTCCCGCGAGTATGATCTTGATACTCTTCTTGCTTTTCCGACCTGATTAGCTGCACGGAGGTGCTACTGAAAGAAGAGGATGCACCACTGCCAGCATCGATGGCCTCCTCCTCGTCCTCAGCTCTACCCTCTCCGTCTTCATCTGCCGGCGCGTCTTCATCAGCCGGCCCGGCTAGGATCACGTGTGCGTCGGGGTTTAGAATCATCGACCAAAGAGAAGTCGTGGATGATGTTGATGATTTAACTACAGACTTCGATACTATAGACAGCCACCACGCATAGAAATTTTTTTTCGGGATGGGAACGTTGTCTTACGTTTTCCTCATGACCACGAGAAGTCCCAGGATTCTTGATTTTTTGCAACAGAAACAAGAGCAAGCGGCGCTGTATCGAATTCTAAAGCCATGATGTGCCGTTGCCACTGAAGCATGACCAAACCAGTCTGTGTCAGACCCAGACATACTTTTTTGCATCTGACATAGCAACCAGCGCACTGCACTTGCGTCGGCAGATCATCTCCGTCTCCGAGGGCTCTGCACTTTTTCGGTCGAAGAAAAAAAAGTCTTCCTCGCAACTCGAACAGCTGCTTGCCCCGACGTGCCTGCACTCTGTCCCCTCCGCACCCACGCCGCCCTCGCAGGTGCACACCTTCCAGTCGCACAGCTTCGTGGTCTGGTTAAATTCAAACCCGTTTTTGCACTCACTGCAGCTCCCCGTTCCATGCACCAGACAATCCACGTTTTTCTGTGTCGTTCCCGCTTGGGGCGTATGAAATGCAAAAATGTCTGGGTCTGGAAACTTGTAATGCTAAAAGTGAATGATAGACGCGCCGCAATACGCAGCTATGCATGACAAATTTTGTGGCTGCCATGTCTTACGTATTCCGCATGGCAAACTCCATTTTCGCATGACAGTTAAGAGGGCTCTTTCGTGCCTATGCAACACAGATTCTCGAGTCATGCCAGACAAGCATGACAAACTCGCACTCTTCCAGACCCAGACATTTTTGCATTTGATAGGGCGGGTCCTCGCCCAGTGTTTTCGCCGAATCCGGGGCGTTCGAGGGCCAGGGGCAGGCACTATCATAAGGGAAAGCCCCCCCTGCTCCCCACATCGACGAAAAGGCAAGCCGCAGAAAATTCGCGATACTGATCTGCGGCCACAAATCGTCTCTGTCTTGCAAGAAGGCCAAGAGGGTAACAACTCCACAGGCTCCGCCGCACTATGCAGGCGGTTTGTGATGCTGGTGTTGGGCCTACAGCACAGACGCTTCTCAAGCTAAGTGCCTCGAAGAAACCCTCTCTAGTCACGCTTGGTATGGGCCTACAGTCCTCTACGGCGACACTAACCTAATTTGTCTAAGTACGCAAGTCCAGCGTCAGACGCTTCGTTTTGATATGGGGAGGGGTGGTTTTTCCTTTTGATAGGTGCACTGATTTTCCACACAAGCGAAAGACTGGAACTCCGCACCGCCGCCAGGTATGCGAGTGCACAAGTCTCCCTCGCTCCCATGATACTACATTTATCACGCAAATAAATGCAAAGTCCAGCTGTTGCCTGGTGGCACTGTTTGTACGGCAAATTTCTACTGAACACGTCCAAAGCCAAACGGTACTTGAGTCCGCTCATGAAAACTTGTCATGCACAACAGGCTGCATGCTGGCCAGTGCTTCTATATGCTGTTCATGCTTTTGCTTCAAATGAGGTCCGAGGGGATTTTGCACTATCTGCTACCTTGGTTTGTTGTCACACGCTCCAAATGGTACCCGTCGTGGCAGCTCACGCAGTTCTGTTCTCCCGCGTAGTCGCACGTGGCCTGCGATACCGTGCCGAAGTCGGTGTTGACTTGGGTGGTGACTGTGGCCGGCAGGTTCCCATTCGTGCACTCACACTGCTTCGGTACGCAGTGGACGACTTGATAATCGACCTGTTGGTTGTTGCTGTTCTTACCTTTGTTCTTCGTCTCATACCCGGCGTCACAGGTCCCACACACTTCCGCCTTTGGGCTGGTAATCAGCGTCCCCGTGCTGCAGGCGTTCCCCGTTGCCGCGGCGCCGTTGCTAGGGCACCGGCACTATACGTGGGAAACTTGTTTGGGTCGAACTTGCAACTAAGTATGCCTGTTTAACGTCACTGCAAAATCTGTACGGCTACCCAGCACACAGATGTGCTCCCTTTATGCCGCAATGTAGTTCCCCCCGCTACAAATCATGATACTGCGTCCCAGGAACTTGTCAAGGCTGGCTGCAGCACTGGGACGTGCTACTTCCATCATCCACAATTCAGCAGTACAAGTCTCCCTTCCAGACCCTGAAGACATATTTGCGATGTATAGGCACTGGCAGGGAGAGCAGCACTGCGCAGCGGCGTCGTCGACGTCACGGCAGTCCAGCGACCCGGTGTTTCTGATATCTAGCGGGTAGTCTTTGTTAGCGTTGTTTTTCACGTGTGCGCTACAGTAGTCGAGGTTTTTGCCCCCATCCTTGCACTTGCCGGCACCGCAGCTCGTGTTCGGCACCGTTTGCCACTCGGCGCAGGTCAGCTTGGGAGTGAGGCAGATGGCATAGGGCACCACGCCCAGACTTGTCTCCTTTGGTGTGCAGACGTACTTCCATTTGCCTTGGCTCATCTGTAGTGTAGCTTTGGAAATGTAGTTGCCACTTCCATATCAAATGCACATCTGTCTGGGTCTCAAAGATTGCAAAACTTGCAATTCTGAACTTCCATAATAGCACTTCTGAGCTCCACCGTAATTTGTACTACATGTGGTCGGAAGGGTACCGTTACTTTGTCATGCAAAAATGTTTTTTCGCATTCGCGTTACGTGCCGCAAGGCCGCTGAAATATTTGTCATGCTTGGCCGCGTACTCTACTCAGGTCAGTCGCGTCTCCCATTCTTTCATACATCACAGTACCGTGATATCAACTTGGCAGACCCAGGGATGTTTGGAATGCATATTCCGAGCACTGCGCAGCCACCCCCGACCAGAACGGTATGTCCGGGGCAGCCTATCTTGTGCAGTGCAAATATATCTGGGTCTGGAAATAACCGGCGATGGTGCATTGCGTACTAGGACTTTCACATTACACTCCCGACTGCAGCCAGGCATGACAAATTTTTACCACGCTTCCCTTCTGGTGATGCGTAGTGCGCACTAGACGGCGCGTTCTCACCAGTAGTGCAACACTGATTTTACAGGAATGCAAGACCACAAGCATCACGTCGAGGCGTATCGTTCCATACCCAGACCACACATTTGCAATGCACAAATCTTCTGCACGCCCGACTCATCGGTGGGTCCGCTGTGTTTATGTACCCGCATCTATCCTACAGCTAAAACTATGACACCCATACAAAAAGTATGAAAAACTGTCATGCTTTTTTTTGGTCTTTTGTTGGCTGTTGAGAGAGCAGGATAAATTTTCGGGGCACCTTGAGCTTGACGTTTGTCATACTGGTCTGCATTAAATTCTGCAATTAGAATGACAGATAATTGCCTGTCGTGCGGATTATAAGCATCACAAAGTTTTCTGCGACAGGAAAGCAGCAACGCCAATTTTTTCTTCTGGTATATGCGTTTGCGTCTGGAAAAAGACCGTGAAGCAGGGCAGAGAAAAACAACGACTTGAAGTCAAAGCTGAAAAAGAAGAGGAGGAGGAAACCTTTCTTCTATCTACTAAGACTAAGCTAATACTCTTTTCAAAGTAGACCAGGAAAACTGTAATTTTTTGTAATCATACTACTATGTCGTGCGCAACATCTTGGTTACAAGAGTACTTTAGCTTATATGGGTGTAGCTGTAGTTCTTCTAGGATAGCATCCCGTCTGGATTCTTGGCGACGCAAAGAGCAACCCCCATCAGGTCCTTATTGTTGTATTCATCGCAGTCCATTTTGCACTGCCACTGATTGTGGTTGCCGCGACGCGGGTGGCTGCTGTTTATCTTGCATGAGTCTGTGTCGCCTCCGTCCGACCGCCAGCACGATCGCATCCTTGGCAAAGTTGTATCGTACTTGTACTAATCACAATATTTTTGCGCGGTTGATCTAGATGAAGTAGTTGTTCCTAATCCTATAAATCTTTCGCTTTCCTTACAAACTACTTATTCGGCTTATTGAAAAAGTCTGTGCAGGTTTTTTGGTGGTGTTTCATACTTGTTAGTACGATGATATTAATTTTTGCAGCGCCTACCACCGGCGATTAGGCGAAAGCCGCTGTCGCACGAGGCGTGTAGGATGGAGTTCCCGTTCACCTATGCCTCGTGAGAAAGAAGCTGGATAAAAGAGAACAAATGCAAATCAAAAGTACACGAGAAACCTGTGCATGTTCAATGCTATCCTGAACAGGACGCTGCAAGCTCGCGGTTCTTGCTGAAAAATCACCTAGTTGTTTCATAACCTTAATCATAAAGACGTAGGAGAAATGTTGTATATAAATATGCCAACTTGTTTCTCTTGCATACCACCCCGCTTAACTTTGTCTTGCCTTGAAGTATCGAACGAAAAGAAACAAAAGCACACCCGTAGTATCAAAAAAAGATAGATTCACTGTCTTGCGGTTTCTCCTTATTTTCTTCTCGCCGGGCGTTCAGCATGACAAAGTTTTTTCGTGCCCCTCGTCCCTTGTCCTCGCTGGGTACTAGCCTGAATAAAAATACAAGTTGCAGTCTGCTAGATCATGGTAGAACATTGTCGTGTCTGCATGATGCAACATGGGGATGAGTTCTCTGTTTGGTCTTTGCATTATTTCGTTTTTAGGAATGGATATGGAATGCAGCAACACGAAGCACTGGTATGAGTGTGCTTTTCTGTAGGATAAGAAGTTTGAGGGACGCAGTATTGAGAGGAAAAATCCCCCCTCCCCATATCGAAAAGGTATCTTCCCGAAAATTTCTGTTGCTGATTTGAGGTCACAAATCGCATTTGTCTTGCAAGAAGACAAGGGCAGAAGCTTCCCCCCCATTATGGAAGCGATTTGTCATGCTGTTGGGCCTAAAGGTCAGCCGTTTGCAATGCTGACCAACTAGATCCATACGCCCCTCCCTAGCCTGGGAATCTGGCCGCAATGCCTTCCTGCAATACAAATCTGATTTGTGTACGCAAATCCAGCATCACAGATTTCCTTTTTGATATGGGGAGGGGGGATTTTTCCTTTTCATACGCAGTCCCAGTAACGCAGCTGGTCACCCCGTACGTGAAGTCCGACACTCCTGCATACTGTGTCGCGTAAATGGCATGTGGTTCGCAGTTCTCGTACTCCGAGATCGGTTTGTCCCAGCCGTCAAAGCCATCGGCCCTGTCGGTGTAGCCACCCAGCATTCTGAAGCCTGTTGCGACACCTGTAGCATCCTTCGGGCTTTCCAAGCCCCACCCAGCCGACCGCCCATTGCCGTCGCAGTCGATGTAGTAGAAGTTTGTGCCGCTGAGATGTAGAGTCCCGATCATAGTACTTATGAGAGTGCGCAACCGCCGCTGTCCCTCATGCAAAATGTTGAATCCGGTCTTTACTTCTGGCCACTGTTTGCATGATTTTCTGGCAACCCAAAGAACAGCACTACAGTGCAGTGTCAATTTCGCATGCAAAACAAACTCGCATTCCTGCCGATGCTTGTGTAATATCCATGTAATACTAGTAGTAACATTGCTATTGCTGTTCATGCCCCAGCACAATGACTTACGGGGAGGAGAGGTTGTGCACTCCCATAGTACTGGTGATCGTGCATATTTCCGGAACTCCAAAGCCAGGAAGCGCATCGGTCGCACGGTATCAACACGGAAAAAAAATCCCCCGGGTCGCCACAACCCCCAAAAAAAGAGGCACTTTTTGCGAAATTTTCGTACACATACAAGAAGACGAGGGAACAAATTTCAATTTGCCGGCTCGAAGACGCAAATTAAACAATAAGTATTTTTATCCGAAGTACAGTACCACACAGGTTCTTGTCTGCTTGTTCTGACAGACATGCTAAAAACCTTTCTGGGGTGCGAGGACACAACTACTGGAGGCTTTACTTTTTTCATTTGGATAAAACCTTCTCGCAGCTCCTTTCCGAATTCAGAGGCCTATAGGGAGTTGTAATTGTCGGAGTTCCTTGTACCTCTGCTTCCCGGCGCCGGAAGTTGTTGTTTTCCTGTCCCTTCTTACGACCCTCTATGATCTCCTCAGCTGGAACAATCTGCCGTAGTGAAACAATATCGACGCCAATTTTATTTTGTTGCAAAAAGTGCAATGAAAGCAGAAACAGAACAATCGCTGCAGCAGCTTTGCATGACAAATTGAAATTTCAAGGGAGAAGGAGCTCGACACGGGTTACAGTATAATGCATTTGTCACGTAACAGAGGACGTGGCACTTCTATGGCTGGACAGATCGTGCGCATGATCATATAGCGTCACAAATTGTTCCAGTTCAGACTGTTCATTCATCCGAGAAGGCCATAGTTGTTGTACTTCCAGTACCCTCTAACGAAAAGAGTGACTTCATTCGTCGCTGCTCGGAGTCCTCAGATGAGGCAGCAAACGAAGTGCTCCTTGAAGATGACGACTTAACACTTTTCGCAGCGCTTCTGCGTGTCTTGTTGTTCTTCGCTCGAAAAACCTGACCCAATGAAGCCGCCCCGCTCTTCACCTTGACCTCGGATGATATTGATCTTCTTTTCAGACTCGTCCTATCGTGGTGGCCGTCGTTCTTCTTGTGATTCATCTTTTCTTGTTCCTCGAGTCGTAAAAATTCTTCCTCTTCGCGTGAAAACCCGGCGCTGCTTTCATCTTGACGTGGAAAATCAGATCGGGGTGGAGCTCGAGGCTGTTCGCCGCTGAATAGTAGTTTCTGCGACGCGTCTTCTGAAAGCTCAACCTGTTTATTCTGCAGGGGGTCGTCACTGCTGGTCATTGTAGTTGTTGCACTACCAGGGGTCGCAAAAATTTCTTCGCTCTCAGCGGTCATTGCATCATGATGAAACCCTGCTGCTCCGTTTATGCTTGCCGTCCGCACGTCCGCCGCATACGCTTCTTCCATGCGTGGTGTAGTTCCTTCCTGTGCGGCCAGAACACAGAGGTATAGAAGCCACGTCACCGGTGCGGCTGCAGCAGCTGCTCTCGAAAAGCTCAGCGCAAAGATCGTCATCTGTCGGCAGGCGCGAAGCGGACGAGGCAGTTCTCAACAACATGCGTATTAGCGAAACAAAGTGGAGAAGTGTGGGGCTGCTTTTTTTTGCGTCGGACGAAACAATCTATCTCGCGAGATGTTGGTGCTTAACATGGAGAAAATCTACCATGGCAGGTGGTGCGCAATAATCCATGCAACATCCATTGGGTTCGGGTTTCTCTCGTAGTTCTTGAGAGCTCCTTCCGCAGGAAGAACATATTTTCGACTTCTTTCTCTTTCTCAAACCCCTCATGTCGTGTTTATTGTCACTCGAGGGCTTACTCACTCCAAGAAGAAACTAAAAAAGGATATTGCGTCATTCGTTGATTGAAGCCATAACATGTACATCAAAAAAAAAACAGAACTCAGGCCCGCGCGAATTCGTCGGTATGCGATCTCCTGCGGCAGGCGGGGGAAGTAGAGTGTTTTTTGACATCTTTCCAATGCCTTTTCCTGCTTATGCGATCGGTGTGCGCAAGTTGTGAGGCGGCAAAAAAAATTACTGCTCATATTTGGATTTTGCCACGGGTAAAAACATAGCTCATACCACGCTTTTGTTGTACTCTACTTGTGTTTTTCAAACATTCTATTTCTAACTTTTTCTTCTGTATGTGTGAGAAAATGTGCCTCGTCTCATCGGTGCAACGATCGACTTTGTGCGGAGCGCGCTTGACTGCTAAACACCTGGAGGATATCCAGAGCAGCAGCCTGCTGTGCGTTTTTTTTTTTTCGTGCGTTGCACCCACACAGGAGGCCTCACTCGATTCTTACGAAGTCCTTGTACAATTTCAGCTCTGAAGTTTGTTGATAAAGAGACAAGTAGTTGTACACAACTATTGAGTTTTCAAGTGGAAGTACGGGATCTCCTAAAGCGCCGGTCGTCTCTACTATCATACTTCAGAAGTAAAATCGTATCAGGAATGGTGTTGAATTTTTGATGTTGCTGTGAGGTTTTCAAATAAATTTCTATGCTTCTGAATCCTGGCGCGACTTCTGTAGCATGCCACCATGATGTCAACGAAATACTGACGTTCATGACTGGCAAAAAAGGTACGGCGACATGAATTCAATTCGAGAATCCTCAGAAAAACCGCTTCTGAAGCTCGATCATCGAAATTGATATGAAGGGTGTGAAAGAGTGTGAATGTGTAAGCAAAAAAAAATCGAAAAGGGAAAGCTAAAAAGGAAACAGTTCTTGCGTAAAAAATACATGTTTTTAAAGGTGGTCGAGGCTATCGACGCACCACTTCAAACTACTTGCTAAACTCCGGATTGTTACATCAAAACGCGCAATCAATCTATTCGTTCAAAATTCAAGTTCTTGCAAAAAGCGCAAAAAAAATTTTTGCTACAACTCGCAGTCAAATCATCATATCGTGATCCAAGACCATGACGGAATTGCCCTTCGGATTGTTGTTTCCCCTGCTCCCCGCCCCACCGGAGCCCCCTTTCGCCAGCCCGAAAAACGTGGTGCGCAGGTAGAAGATCATAAAGTCCAGCAGGATCAGAATGTTGAAAAACTCCGTGCCCGTGGCGACGAGCCAGTTGCTGGGGGTCCAACCGTGCGTGACCGGAAACAACAGCCAGAACGTGAACAGCGACAATTTCGCAGCACCCTGATGTAGAAGTTGTTTGGGGATTCAATTTTTTCAGTAGCATCTTCATAGAGTTTAAGTTTTGATTCTCGGTTTGGCCGAGAGAACATCTACTGTACTTCAAAAACGTTCCCAGCAACGCCGGTGAAAAAAATGATAAATTTAAAGTCATGTTGTGCAGCCTCCTGCAGCATGCAAACATTTTTCCTGCTGTCGCGGTGACTTTCGTATTCGATGGAAAAACAAGAGAAACCGAAACGCGAGCATTGATTCCAATGGTGCTAACATTTTTTTCACGAGCAAGGAGGTCCTGATGAGCAGCCGCGGCTGAAAAAAAGACCTCCTTCGTAAAAATCATAGATGAAACAACCAGTACCTGCAGCATCAAAAAGTCGCCCAACAGCGCGGGAATCCTTCGCTCCACGTGCAGAATGTACAACTGCGGCAAGCAGGCCAACAACTGGATGATCTCACAGCAGGAGCAGGCTGCGAACATCAAAAAGCCCCGGCTCCTCGCGTCGTCGTCGTACCGGAAGCAGGACCAGGCCAGCCCGAGAATCAGGCTCATCACGAACAGCCCCCCGTGCTTCACAAAATTCGTGTGGTGCCACTTTTTCGGCGTAAAACACTGTAACAGCCAGCTGCCGCAGATATCGCCGTCAAAGTCCCCGTAGTTGGACTTGGTCCAGAGTTCGTAACTAGCCCTCATCCCCACCACGACGTTGCACATGTCCACCGCGAAGTAGAGGAGGTACGGCAGCGAGGTCGGCTGGTAGTGGACTTGAAGCACGTGGGCAGAGGAATGCAAAACCCGCGCCATGGCGAAGGCCGTGAAGGACTGAATGGAGACTCCCTTGGCGTATCAAATGCAAAAATGTCTGGGTCTGGAAGATTCTGAGACTTGGTTGGTTGGTTGGTTGGTTGGGTAGCGCCTGTCGCCGGTGCAGGTCCCGCCCTCCATCGATTGCGATCCGGAGTAGCCGGAACGCAAGGCCCTAGTGGCGCAATCGATCGACGAAGCCCTTTATAACCAGGTCACAGTCATCCGGCTGCCCTGGAGTCATTCGCGGGCCAGGCAACGTCTAGGAGCTACGGATTAGGGATCTTGATAGGCGAGACAGGTCACGGTCATCCGCCTGCCCATCAAAGACGGGCCAGGTCACAGTCATCCAGACTTGTCACGCACGTTTTGCATGAGCCCTGATGTCTGTGATGCATGCCCTAGCATCACAGATTTTTTGAGAGCTTCTTGATGCCTATTCCGCATGACAGATGCCCCCTCCGCGTAGCAAAAATTGCATTCCTTTTGGTACTCATGCAATACAGATTTCTCTGGAATCCAAATGCAGCATCACAAGTTGCATTCTTCCAGACCCAGACATTTTTACATTTGATATGGCGCCCCGGGAAACGACGCACCGGTAGACGGAGTAGAAGGCGAAGAGGCACATCAGGTCGGCGATCAGAATCAGAATGTCCAGGATACTGTCCGTCAGGAAGCCAAAAATGATGGAGTCCTGTAGTTTTTATTTTGAGTGGAAGCAGTTGGATTTAATCATTCTTTCGTCGTGGCTACTTACTTATTTCCAGACTGAGAAGGTGATGTCAGCTGTTGACTCGTCTTGGACTTAAGAACAGGGTACTGCTCACGTGAAAACAGTTCGTGTTGCATGGTGCCGGTCTAGAAGAATTTTTGTACTCGTATGCACCTGCCACTCCTGCTGGTCAGTGCCACTGGGGCTGCGGCTGGGTATGACAAAGCGGAAGACATGAAAAGACAAATGAAGCGTGCCCGTGCGATGAAAACTAGAAATACATGAACTCTAGAATAAGTATATAACCGATAGAAGATTGATCAAGATACCTTATGCGTGATAAACTTTTCGCCCTTGGAGGCCATGGTTTTTGGTCGCCCAATATCCTGAGTAAAAATGTCCCCACACCATAGTCAAGATGGGGAATCGGCTAGACAAATCCACAAGTTTTGGCTGTTTTGCATCACAAATTTGGAATCGTAGTGTAGTGCTGTTTGAGCTAGCTCAGCAGCATCACAGACCTAGCACACCATGCTGATTGGAGCATGACAAATTGCAAAACACGACTAGAAACTGCTTCTCATGGGGCTCCGCATGGGAAACATTGTCACCATGTAGATTTGCATTACAACTATTGGGTGGGGACGTTTTCAAATAGGATACCCAACCCGGACCACCTCGTCTTCGTCCGAGGTTGCTTCGTATGCATTGCAAAAGTATCGCACTCGTAGTCGTATAAATGCAGGTCTTGCATTACAAATAATTTTCTTAAGGTAAAACCGCATTACAAATTAAAAACCAATTGTACTAAAATATTCCAATTTCTCATGCTGGGAAAATTTGTAATGCATTTATATATACGAGTACGATACTTTTGCACAGGATACGTCGTTTGAGGTCGCAACGGAACCGCTCGCCGCGGCGTTCCCTGCGATGAAATTTTTCTTGCCTTTATTTTGTAAATTTCCCTTCCTATGCTTCTCCTCCTCTCCCGCTCCGGCGGACGCGGTCGCATCCAAGATGGGCGGCGCATCGGTCGTTGATGTCTCTCCCACCTTGCCGAAATTGTTGTCCTGGGTGGTCGAAGACGACGAGCCCTGCTTCTCTAGAAAATCCGTCGGGATGTAGTACGCTAGTTCATGCTCGTAGTTCAGCTCCTCTGCTGCATCATCTCCGCGTAATTCGACACCATTTTGATGGTAATTGCTTGTAGTTTCATCTACAACAGCAGCTGGCGCAGCAAATGTCGCGAAAGGCACGTCAGCCTCGGTAGTTTCCGCCCCTGTGAGTTGTAGAGCTGCGGGCTGTAAATGTAACGCGGAAGCAGGTTTCTTCTCTTCGGCATCATCAAGAACCTGTATTACCGACTGCCCTATTTCTTGTTCATCATCATCTGCTGTGCTGGCACTCGTTTTTACCCGTCCTCGCGCGGAAGCAACCGTAGTTGTACTCTGGTGCTGCAAGATCTTCTTTACGTCGAAGCCTTGAACGAGGGGCACAAGCCTGTCTTGCGTCGTTGTGGTCGCGAGAAAGACAAGAGCGGTTGACGTGGAGACGGTGCGGGAAAAAAGCTGGTTGCTTCGCCTGCCATGCTTCGATGCTGGATGAACCATTTTCGACTTCACAACTTTTGTTTCTCTGGGGGAAGTGAGAAGTTAGATTTGATAAAGAATTTTATCAGCAAGGAAGCTTTGTTCAATAGGAGGAAGTTGCTCGTTGTATACGCTTGCAAAAATCGAAGTGTAGAAGTGTAAAGTTGGGGACTAGAAGAAAAGGGGTTGTAGTTTCTTAAATTGTGAAAATTCTTGACGGGTCGTGCAAGTATGATTTTTATCGTGTTGTGTTAAAACGTCAAACCACGCTCCTGAATACATACGTAAACGAACAGAAAGAGAAACCTGGACGAATCTATCATCTGGGAAAGACAATCTTTACGATGAAACTACAAGCGCACGAAGACGACAAATGCACAGAGGCGGACGAATGCACGAAAAAGGGCATAGCACAGCAACGCAAAACGACCGAATGGACAGCTTTCAGGCAAAATACCGACATCTGTGTGGAACTAGACGTACTCACTTTATCAAAAGTCAGAACCACGAAATGGCAACCTCAACAACGTCGACACGTGTAAGAAAATGACACCGACGACCGCTGACACTGATCGGTTCCAGAAACGCGACACGTGAAGTTCTGAGCATGACACGATCATGCCTACATCAACTTTTGCAACTTCACCGAAATAAGTCTTGTAGCGTCACCGAGAGGTTTCATCGCGAGGGCAAAGGTGCTTAAGACTTAGGTCCAAATACCGCTGCAGACTGCCAGCGGAAAAGCGCCTTTTAATTCCAACGACAGAGACGGACGTCTCTTAATTCGCTAGAAAACTGCACTGTTCAGTTCATCTTTAGTTGCATTCGACTTTATTTTGCATCTTCGGAGTTCAGTTCGGCATAATTTTAGGAGAGAAGTCAAGGCTTTGAAACTTTCGTTATACTACAAACTGCTGCTCGTCCTCCGTCCCATTGTTTCCATCGCCTCGCACAATGTGCTCACTGAGCATCAACAATCGATTTTCTTTATTCTCAACTTCGACGTAGATAGAAGTACTTTTTGAAAAAAATCTCCGCAAGCTCGTTGTCACAATAGAAACAGAATCTTCATTGTGCATATATTTCATTTAGACTTCCAGCCGTTCCGTAGCAATACAGATACTAACTACTACATCACACTGCAGGCCACGGAGTTCTCCCGCGTGACCGGTCGCCGTCGCCCCGGCGCGTTTGGCGGATACTTTTCCAGAAAGGATTTGGTCTGCAGCAGGTTCGCCTCCTTCCGGTCTTGCTCTGCCAAATCGTTTTCCGTTCGCTTTTTCTCGGGGTGGTTTTTCAAAAACGTGTCCACGATCCCGATTAGAGGACAGTTCAGCTGCCGATGCGTCACCTCGACCCGGCAAATCGGGCACTGCTCCTTCGGCGGCTTCATCGTTCGTTTCGCGACGACGGACGTGTGCACCCACTCCAAGTAGCAGCTGGAACAGAAGTTGTGCAGGCAGGGAATCACGCAGATCGGCTTGTACAATATCCTGTGCAAAAGTATCGTACTCGTATAAATGCAAGCCTTGCATTACAAATATTTTTCTTAAGGTAAATCAGCATGAGAAATTTTATTTCTCACGCTGAAGAAATTTGTAATGCATTTATACGAGTACAATACTTTTGCAGTTCATATACAAAACGTCGCAGCAAACACCACAAGTGATGTCTTGCAACAGCTCGTCTCGGAGCTGGGTGGAGGATGTTGCAAGATGACCTGCACTGTCGTTAGTTACTTCTACAGGAGTTGTTGTACTAGTTGCCCCAGCACCCGTCGTGGTGACTCCTGCAAGTTCTGCACTTCTGGAATGATTTTCGACTCGACCTCGAGAATTCTTGTCCGACATCTCAACCGATGATGCGTCTGGAATAATACCAATTTCTTCTGTGCTATTGCCTGCTCTTTCCGTAGTTCCTCGTTCGTCTTGCGGCCCTGTAACCGTGCTACTCGACGATGACGAGGCCGAGGAACTTCTTCTACCATCCGACGACGAAGAAGCTGCTACGGGCACTACCTGCGCCTTCTTGGTCGTCTTCACTCGCACTCGAATGTTTTTTCCTCCCGGGCCTGGCTGCAGCACAGTTTGAAATAATTCTTGCTCCTCTTCTTGCAGCTCCGTAGGACTACTGGATGAGCTGCCTGCCTGAAGATGATCCACTTGCGCCGGTGGAAAGCGACTTGTGAGGCTAGTTGAAGATGTTCGACCGGCAGCACTGGCCAGAAACGCTGGAGGTGGTGCGGTTGGGGGCGGTCTCGGTCTACTCTGACGATCATCCGTTTCGTTGTTTACATTCACTCGTCCACTGGCTGGTGGTGTGGTAGTCGCGCTTGCGGAAGGAGCTACAACCGTAGTTGTGGACGAGACTACAACCCCCGCCACGGCTCCATCTCCCGGTGCGACTGGCTCTTTTGGCAATTCGGAGCTCCTACTGCTCGATGCGGCGGACGAGGACGAGCTGGAGGATGAAGACGGTTCTTCCCCAATTGGCCTACAACTTGATGGGACACGCACAACTTCGCCGTCCCTGCTCGCCTCAACAGGAAAACTGCCCGTCGTGCCTGCACTCTGTCGTCCGACGTTGTTTTCCTTTTGCTTTTCGCCTGCTGCTTGTAGAATTTCCGACGTAGAACAGTTATCCTTTCTTGAAGATGAGGAAGAGGAAGAACTTGATGCCTCCTCGGCGCGCTTGTTCAGATTCTGATTAAGTGTCCCCATCCCGCCCGTGCCTCCGCTGTCGCCAAGCATATCCTCCACTTGCTCTTCTGTTTCATCCAAATCTTCGCTGTCAGGCCCCGCACACACCAAAGCAAGGTTCCGCCGACACGATTCGACCGCGGCGGCTGCGGTGTTTTCTGCGATCGTGATTCTCTGGCCGTAGCCGGTACTGCTCGCTGCTGGAGCATGTGCTTCACGAGGGCCGTTTTTTGTAGCCGTCGTCCCCTCCTCAGCCGGCGCCACGGCTGCCGACGGTGTATGTTCACTAGGAGCTGCAAGTTGCTCCTCTCCCCCGCTTAATAGACCACAACCGGGCTGTTGTTGTACGAGTAGCCCGCTGTTGTTCAGAACTGCCGACCCGTGCTGGCGACTGGGCGTGGCAAAGTTGTACTTTTTCCGTAGCATGGAAGCGGACAGAACGACCGCAGGGTGGTCGTCTTCATTTATTTCATCTTCTCCTATGGCTTCTGCTGCTGGAGGGGGGAAGGGTTTCGCACATTCATCTTCATCTTCATCTCGTCCACGATTCTTCGCTACATCTGCGGCTCTCATCTTCTGTGCGGCCGAAGTAGACAGGCACGACGATGACGCAGGAGCAGACGCTGGAGCTGCCTCAGAGGTCGTAGTTCCAAGCAAGTTGCTCAACACCACGGTTCGGCAGAACTGCAGCTCCCGCATTGTCGTTTGCCCTCCTACTTCCAACTCGCCGCTTTTTCCCTCTTCCACCTCCTCGACGTCTACCTCGATCTGCACCAGAAAGGACATCCGCTCCCTCACCGGAACCTTCGGGTCGTGCAAAAGCGTCACGACGTCGCCGTCGCTCAACTGCGTCTTGTCCTCGACGGGAACGCCGTTCACCCACACGCCGTTTGTCGAACTGTCTACGAGGTGGAACACGGGTGGTGGTAGTGGATCCTTGTTCGAGCTGGTGGTGGGGAACTTGTCGCTTTCTTCTTGCCGAGGTGGAGGCTCCACACGCTCTGGCATCTGTATGTTTAAATGTGGTACAAATTTGAACTTAGGTTTCTTTTTTTCTTCAGCGTACTACCACTTTGATGGCGATAGCAAAAACAGGAATGATAAACGAGGCCGTGCAGGAATGATGAACGATAGCAAAAACAGGAATGATGTTCTGTGCACCCGCCCTTGCCTTGCAGAACACGGCAGCAAACAAAACTCATGTAAAAACAATACCTGTCTCAGCAAGAAGTGAATGCCGCTAATTCGTTGGTCGTCGATCACCAGCTCGTTGCCCGGTCGGCGGCCACACCGGAGCACGATGGGGGCACTGGACGTTGTCCTCGCCGACGTAGAACTACGACTACCCTGACCTCGAGAACTACCCGGCGCACTTGAAGATGAGGATTTCGTTGTGAAAACAACGCGGGTGTACGACCGCGAAATAGACTGATCGTGCAGGAGCGCGATGTCTTTCACCTTAACGGAGCCACGACCTCGAGGACAAGGACCTCCGAGTGAACTGCTAATAGAGGTGGATGTTGCACCAGCTCCCCTGGAAGTCGTCTTCCCACCGCACGACCCTGTCGCAGTTGTCGTCCCATGATCATCTTCTCGCCGAACAGGACAACAACTAGATTTTTCACCGGTTTTCATATTTCTGTGCAGGATTCTTGATGCAGCTCCATCTTGATTTTTCGCCAAGTCCGCCCCAAGTCCTTTCCCGCCGGTGGTCAAAGCGGTGTGTGTTGAAGAGGAAGATGTTGACGAAGAGTTGTTGAATACTTTTTCCAGACCAAGATCTACTTCATCTTCTTTTGGTTGCTCGTTAACATCATGATCTGCAAGATGAACTTTTCTGTCGGATGCGCAAGAGAAAAACACGTCGTGCACCTTTTCCAAGTCCGCGATCCTGGTCAGTTTGATGGTGTACTTGACAAGTTTTCTCAATACAGGCTCGACGCTCTTTCCGGTATTTTCATCCTCGAAGCCAGTCTTCTCCGAGTGGTGGTTGTCGTTACTTCGACTGTGCAGTGCTCCTTCTTCGTCTTCACTCCCAATGGCACCCAGCTCCTCCGCCAACCGAACCGTGCTGTTCGGGACGGGAATCAGGCTGCTCGGGGACAGATCCATGTCGAAGGAGGTCATGTTGTTGAGCTGAGGAAAAGCTGATGAGTATCTTTCTACATGTACAACTGCAGGTCTGGATGTGCGGCACACGGACAGTGTGAATCTACGCTTCAACGGTAGAACACATAGTATCTATGTGTCATACAACTACGAACTGATTCGCTTCTACCTTCTTGAAACGAATCGATGTCGAGGAGCAGATCCTTCTTCGCAGTGCTTTACCGACTCAACTCAGTATTGTTTTGCAGCTGATTCGTCACTCTGCACGTTCTACGTCACACGACGCTGTTTTTTCATCCTCTACCTTCTCGATTTCGCTCTCTTCGAAACACGAGCGCGCCGCGACTAGAGAGGTAGACTCTCGAGCGCAACGATGAATCGGCGCTGGTGATAGACTCTCGACGATAAATTCAGAAGCATGATAGCAAATAAGACGAAAGAAAACTCTGTTGCACAGCGAGCCGCAATCTTCCTATGTCGAAACCAAACCCGTCAACTCCTCCCTACGTAGACAATTTGGTGAAAAAATGAATTGTGATTCTGATTCACGATTTCCACACATCATCCTGATCGCCAGCGACATTCTGCTTCAAAGTCCTCGGTTTGCACTTCTTATTTTTCATATCATGTCGTGATCCATCATGGAATTCTTATCGTAGTTGAACAAATAGCTTCCCCCCTTTCCCCCACCTCCGGCACTGGTACCTACGGTCTGCATCGCCGACCCATCCGCTTTGTTGTTTCCATAATTTCCATTCTGCATGTTCCACATATCAACATCACCCTCTCCCGTCATATAATCCATGTCCGCACTGCTTTCGCTGCTCCGACTCCGTTTTTCCCCGGCGAGAAAATGAAGCAGAAAGCCAAAATTCCGGATGAGAAAAGTCCGAACGCTCTCCCGAACTCGGAGTCGGCCGTAGAGGAAGTCCGAAAGGAGAAGCAAATTGACAAACTCCGCGAACATCTGCACGCCACGGTTCGCGGGGTAGCCGCGCGAGGCCGCGGCTGGTGGACTTACTATTGGCGCGGCTGTCGCACTAGACGCCTGCTGGTCGGCTGCTGCTGCTGCTCCTGTTAGTCCTGGCGATGCTGTTGAGGCCACCGCAGCTGGATCGCTCGGTGAGACTTCTACCCCGGAGGCAGCGAGAGCTGCAGTGCCCGCAGCTGCACTCGCTTCTATCCCAGAAATCGTGTCCGCACTTGACGATATTTTTACCCCACTGATGAGTACGGGGAACAGGATCCAAAACCCGAGGTTCAAAACCTTGCTGAGGCCGAAAAAGAGCAGGAAATCCATTTTCAACAGTAAGTCCACCGACCGGGATTCCGGGGCAGTGGCGGCGAACATGTAGAGTTGGGGCAACAGTGCGAGGAGGGTGAGAATCTCGTGAAAGCAAAAGACGAACGAGCTGAAGCTTGCTCCTGTATGCACAGTGCACAAGAACTCGACTTCCTTGCATCCCCTTTGCCTTTGTAAAAAATTAAAATTGTCTGATACAGGAACAGCAACTACTCAAAAAACAGTACAGTGTATGTACAACAACACGACTTGGAGTTGTGCTGTGATCCTCCTGGTGGTCCGGTCAATCGTATTTCGAAGCTTCAGGTTTGAAGTATGCGCATGCCACTGATATTAAAAGAGAAGCACTGGCTCCACAATACTTAATTGGCCTTCTTTTGCGAAGAAAAATGTTGAGAACGAGGTGTGCACGCGCATATTCTGTTCGGCGGATCGACATGGTCAACAGCGCGATCGTGAGGGCCGCGACGTACAGGCAGGCACACTGCGCATGGTCGTTGGGGTGCAAAAACCGGCCGAATTTGTCCACCGCGAGTCCCTATCAAATGTAAAAATGTCTGGGTCTGGAAGGTTACCAGGTTTGTCATGCAGGTTTTCTATGACTCATGAGGACTGGAATGCAGCGCCTAGCATGACAAACTCTGTGAGATCTCTAGCATGCCGATCCTGCATGAGAAATTGCCTCTCAACTTGGTAAAAAACGACGGCTGTTGGTAATCACGCAACACAGATTTCTTGCATGATTCAGATTCAGCATGACAAGTTCCAACCTTCCAGACCCAGACATTTTTACATTTGATAGTCCCTGGTAGGTCGGGAAAAACTCGAACACCTGGAGGCAGACAAATACCAGGGCCACCACGATCGCCATATCCTGTGCAAAAGCATCGTACTCGTACTAATCGCGTTTATGCATTACAAATTCTATTGTTAAGGTGGATCCGCATGACAAGTTTTATTTCTCATGCTGAGGAAATTTGTATTGCAATTTATACTAGTACGATACTTTTGCAGTTCATACGCCAAGTCCAGCAGCAAAAACCGGGTGGCGTCAAAGTGGAAACCGAGAACACAGGAGGCAAAATGCAGCACCCGCGTGACTATCGAGTGCAAATAAATCTGGGTCTGGAAGATTCCGAGATTTCGATTTGTCATGTTGGAAGGCTAAGGGCAGGGCGTCCCATTTCTTTATAAAAGCTACAAACGGTAAGTCTTCCGAGATTTGTCATGCAGTTTCTCCAAGTTCCACCAAGTCTGGAATGTAGGGCCTAGCATAACAGGTTCTGCAGCCCCTTGGTGAAGGAGAAGGTGATGCCTATACTGCATGAGAAATGCCCTCTCAGCATGGCCAGAAATGGACACCTTTTGCAAGTCACGCAACACAGATTTTTGTATGATCCGCAACACGCATCACAAGCTCGCATCCTTCCAGAGCCAGACAGCTTTGCAGTTGATAGTGACCGTCAGCGCCACGATCGTCTGCAGAGACAGTCCCAGCAACGACTTGGTGCGGCGGAGCTGGGAGATCAGCGCCATATCAAATGTAAAAATGTCTGGGTCTGGAAGAATTCAACTTGTGATGCTGCATTTGGATTCCAAAAAAATCTGTATTGCATGAGTACCAAAGGCAGTGTAATTCTTGCTACGCGGAGAGGGCATTTGTCATGCGAAATAGGCATCAAGAAGCTCTCAAAAAATCTGTGATGCTAGGGCATGCATCACAGACATCAGGGCCCATCCCCATGCAAAACGTGCATGACAAGTGTCTGAATCTTCCAGACCCAGACATTTTTACAGTTGATACGCCAGCAGCCCGAGCAACACGACACAATCCGCGAGGGCCAGCAGCCCGTCGAGGCAAAACTTCGAGAAAAACGAGGGCTCCTGGGCCAGGATCTCGTCGGCGTAGCCTGGGGACGACACAGGAGTTGCGGACATCGTCTTCGTCGGTATGATCTAGTACTAATTTTCTTTTGTTTTCATTTCATACAAGCAACCAGAGTAAAAAGTGCTTCGTACTTTGCATCGGCACAACTCTAACAATTCGCTTTTCCTGGACCACTCCCGAAGATCGAAGAGTGTTTCGTCCACCGATAGTGCCTGCAGATAAGCAGAGCTGATCATGTCGATTAATAGAAAGATCTGGCCGCCAACTTGTTCGTTGAGAATTTTTGCGCGGTTGTCCGCTTTGTAGTCATACTCTGAAACAAATTCAAATACAAACACTGATCCAGCATATTCACTTGTTCCGCGCACGAAATCCAAGCCAGATCTTGCGCGACCACGTAGCTGTCCCGCACCCGGCGGTGAAAGGATCATCCACAAAGCCCCACTTAATTATCCATCTACCTGCGTTGTATCCTTGGTTGGTAGACCCGTCAAGAAGCTGCACACAACACCCGAGAGAAAACATGAGAAAAGGCCAAGAGCACCGAGAACAGGAAAACTTTTCTTGAGCTGTAAAATGAAGGGCCTCCTGCTCTCGCTTGCCACCTTTTTGTTTACCGCAAAGCAGTGTCCTCTTGTCTCATCTGGTGATCTTGATGCCATTAAATTTTCAAATTTTTGTGGTGTACATAAATCCCAAAGGAATTACTTCTTGTGTATCATTTCTGTTGATGTTAGTGGACTTGAGAACACTCGCACACACTTACACACGCTTGCTCCACTGAGCTCGTTTTCAACAGCTTTTCAGTGAGTTCTCTCAATTGCAAGTAAGCAAGCAAGTGACGCAAGTCTCTTGCTGCGTTACATCCTGTAGGTTTGGTTCAATCAGGTTCATCAAGATTCTCGCATCATTCTCACCAGATGTCAACACATTCCAGAGTCTAGATCCGCTTCGTAGTTAGCTATTTCATCAGCATGTCACGGGGTCGATTTGAGTCAGAACCTTCAGTCATTTTCATCATGGAACAGGCTTCATTTGGGGCGATCGTGTTACGTGTGTGCGGGATCGATTTCCATGACCAACACCCCTCCTCAATCGCTGCGGCGGTGGTGCTAATCTGGATAGCGTCCTACCACACTCCCCTCCTGAGCGCGCTGTGGTGAACTAGCTATCCCCTCTAGAAACCAAAATAAATCGAATAAGTATAGCCTACTTTAGCCTTGCCCTTGTGATTCCCCTCTATAAACGTGTCTAAATCATCCTCATCGTCAGAGGAGTCACAAATAAAAGACTTAGGGTCGGGGTTATCAATATGGTGCAAGAGTAAGCGTCTCTGCGGCACACTACACTCGAGCTTCGTGAGACCGTCTGCCTTCATTAGGTAGGTCGGGCAGAACATGATCTGGCTCGCTGCGTCTCTCACGCGGAGATATCGCAGTGCGTAGTGCCTCGATTTCGGTTTGTTGTCTGTGCTCTTAGCTGTAGTTATCGCGGACTGGTTGTCGATCCACAATATGGCATCATCCAGGGAGGGAGATAAGCCATTCTGCTTCTCCACCATGACAGTGGGTAGAGGTTTGAAGAACTCTGTAAAGTCATTCTGCTCGCTCAGCACAATAGTGTCGGAAGCAGCTATATACTCCGCCTCCGCCGTGGAGTACGCCCTCACGGTCTGCCGGTTGCTACGCCAACAGATCGGGAAACCGCGGAAGTACATAATGCTACCACTAGTGCTTCGCATGGTCTTGCAACAGTTCGCAAAACTAGCATCCGAAAACAGACTCACATCAGGCAAGTCTCTCCCTTCGGGCAGTAGCTTGCTGTAGATTCTGTTGAATTCTTCCTCAATCTCCGGACTATACGACAGACCCTGCTCCTTCGTTGTCAGTAGATACTTCAGAATCTTCTTACAGGCGTTTACGACAGGCCGAGTCGCCGGCTTGCCCACATATCTGGCGACAGTGGCAACCGGGACAACAATGTCTACCCTGCAGGTGGTTGCAGCCCACTGCAGAGAGCCAACGACCTCTCGAAGGGGAAAACCTTCAATAACTTTAGCTCCTTCAACTTCTTTAGCGAGTTCAGACTCATCGAAGTTTGGCGAGTGGACCGGCTTGCCCGCTTCTGAGACGTGGAATTTCTTACAAATCTTGGATATGTACTCTGACATCACGATCCTAACGGTTCGTAGATTCCAGTTGTAGTACACTACTGACCCTAGGAAGTCGAACTTCTTGGACACAGAGTTAAACTCCGGAACAAGCTCGACGTCGATCATGCGCCCCTTGACGTGGTGCAAGATCTCCGCAAGTTCTCCAGCCAACTCGGACCCAGTCGGAGGACCTGTGATAAGATTATCGTCGACATACACTGCCAACTTCAGAAACTTCCCAGGGAATTCCAAGCCCGGCTTCTTCCACAGACCTGGCGCAGAGGGACAGGGTTCCCAACCTAGCTTGGTCAGTACTTCCTCATACTTCTTATACCAGAGCCTGGGGGCGTCTTTCAAGCCGTAAAGCGCTTTCTTGAGCTTGACGATCTCCGCGCCGTGCTTCTTCGCCCAGATGGGTGGCAAGCGGCAGAAGACGTCGCGATCAAGTAAGGCATTGAGAAACGCACTATCAAGGTCGAACGGGATCACATCATCACCGTCTGCGGCTGCAGCGGCTAGAAGTAACCTGTTAGCGGCATGGGACACAACAGGAGCGAAAGTGTCCAGCTCGCCCGAACGATCTAGATTACCGAGAACTACTGCCCGCGCTTTCTTCGTACCGTCACGCTTCTCGGTAAGAAGGATAGCAATAGGCAAAACCTGTTTTGCGGTCGCTAGCTCCTCGTCAGTAGCTGGCTCCCACACTTTATAGGCTTCAAGTCTACAATCTTCCTTGTTGGTTGCTGCGTTCCATTCGACTGAGTCTTTGCAACGAGCAGGATCCAACTTGGCCGATGTAGTCAAATAACACTGGACGTCAAGGAATTCCTCACCTTCCTCTCGATCATCCTGTGCGGCTATTGCTGCGGCAAACGCACTCGCGTCTTTTCTCAATTCTGCGAGCTCTTTCTTAGCACGTCTCGCGCGCTTTTTCTTGTCCTTTCTCCCTTTGGGACGACCACGACCTCGCGGCTTGGAGTTGCGGTTGCCAGCCACAATCCTTGCCGGAGACGGGCTCGCCTTTCTTGGACTAGATAAGCTGCTGTGAGTGGGGTGATCGTCCAGATTCCCCTCCTCAGGTTTAACACCTTCAGGCTCGGGATGTATCTGGCCCGGATCATCTTCCCTATCCAGACTTTTAACCACCAACGTCTCTTCTGGACCGTCAGGCTGCCTACCAGTGTGCTCCGAGACATCCACCCCCAGCCGGTGCTCAGCCCTTTTTATCAGACCGACACACGGGAGAGATGGCGCACACGGCGCTCCACTAGGTAGGGCCTCGATTGCGTCACACTCGACATAAATACCTTTCGAGTTAGGAACTAGGTCTTCAATATTCTTCACGAGGTACTCCTCACGGAACTTGACGTCGATGGTAGAATACTCCATCCATCGATGTCCCGCGGCGGCCCGGCCATCCGTGACATACGTCCCAACCCGCCAGCCCGAAGACTTTGGACAAAGGCCGAGAAATACACCACGACGAAATGGCGCGGACAGCTTTGGAGCTACCACATTTACTCCCCCCTCAGGAGCTTCATGAACTTCGCCTTTCTTGACTTGTTCACGAAAATAAACGAGACAACCAAAACGCCTTAGCATCCTTGTGCCAACTTTTGAGCTGTTTCTTCCAGTTCTCTCATCTAGAATCTCTGCAGGAGTCTTCCCGTCGTACTCAGGCATTTTGCTATACTTATGCGGAAGGCGGTCCCAGCATGCTGCAGCGTACTCGACCGAGTAGCACCACAGACGCTTGTCCACGTTCACCAACATCGCACGCACAGCGCCGAATATGGTCCGCATAAAGCGCTCGCAGGTTCCGTTCTGCTCTGGGTTGTAGGGAACCGCAGGAGCATCACCGACCCGCAGCGATTGCATGACCTTGGTCATGGAGTCACTGCCCAGAACTGGCTCACTGTCCCTACGGACGAACCATACCACCTTGTCCTCGAGGGTCAAAGCGTAGTTCTGGCGAATGCCTTTGATCAATTCTTCCAAAACCTCAACGCAGTCACTTTTCAGCTTAAGAGGGACACAGAAACACTTCTTGATGGCTTCACAGATGACCACAAGCACGCAGGTGCGTGACCGAATCGATACAGGTTTAATACCTACCGCGAAATCCATCGCAAGTAGTTTCAATGGCTGAGGCTTGTAATTACTAGTGTCTCGCTCCTTGGCGTGAGAGCTTCTTGCGCCTTTCGCTTTGTCGCATTCAGGACACTGGACATCAAGACCATCTACATGAAAGTGTCCGAATCTTCTATGTTGTTCTAGACGCGTAAGATGACAACTAGCAATACTTTCCTCTATTGTAATGCATGCAATGTCTTCCGTGGTGTCTCTAGTCGCCTGACCCCGTAGGCCCACCACGAAAAGATCACACCCAAGGACTGGGAGGGTCAACCTCTCGTGGTTCTTGATTGGTAGCATCTGACCGGATTCCCTGTTGACGAGAGAACCGCCAGAGCTGTTGTAGTTCAGATCCCACCCGCGATCACTGAGATTGTCCTCACCGAGCCACGGAAGAATACGATCAATATCTCTAGGAAGATGCTTAAAGTAGACGCCGTAGGGTAAACCTAAAGCGTTTTCCTTCAGTTTTCCGACAAAACCATCACGAGCCCCGGCCGTGCCGTTGATGCGACAGACGTTGCTCGAGATGTCAATAAAATCCGACTTGTGTCTAGATAAATACTTGTTTGCACATGAATCGACCAAGGAAGCTCACTTCGTCCTTGGTCTGTGCAATAAAACAGCTAGAATAATTTGAGTCAAATTCTTCTAAATTCTCGAAGTTCAGAAAACAACGACCATACTCCGAGATATAAACATCTCCTTCATCTAGTCAGGCTGGACCTTGCCAGACCCAACCACCCTGCTTTCCACCGGCTCCCGGCCCTTGATTCTGCATGTTCATCTGGTTCTGGTTCACCGGCGGACAAAACTGCGGCTGCTGGTTTCCCCAGACACCACCCCACTGACCTTTCCCTTGATTGTTAGGATTCCAGCGGCAACGGTCAGCCTTATGGTTTTCCTTGCCACAGATCCAACATTTGGGTTTGGTCACAGTGTTGTAGGGAGTGCTCTGGTTCCGACCAGTCTTGCCGCCACCTTTCTGGCCACTTCCACCCTTAGCGTTAGACTTCGGGGGCAGGCCATGGGCAGCCAGGACACTCGCTTCGGTCTGCTTGCGTAATTTGGCTTTCATGCGTTTCAAGGCTTTCGCCGAGAACACCTTGCCAGAAGCAGCATTTTGACCATCATCAGCGGAGTCCGGCTCCTCATCATCATCGTCTCTCTGACGTTTGTTTCCCTTCTTCTTCTTCGACTTCTCCTCGATGACCGGAAAGGCCTTGCCAAAGGACGGACTCTCGATCTTGTAGGAACCTTCCTTGACCAACTGCGCGAGCTTCTTCTCGAGACGGTTCCCGATCTCCTGGAGGGTGATGTGATCGGACTCGTCCACGCAGCGGTCGATGGTCTGGCGGAAGGCCGACGCGAACATCTTGGGCAGCTTGTCCAGAATGTTCTTGACATGACGATCTTCGACCGGACGCCCGGGCTCCGGGACGTAGACACTCGGCGCCATCTCCGTCAGCTCGTGGATCTGGGCCAGGAACGTCGGAGCATCCTTCGGCGCGTCGCGGTTGTCGAAATGCATGGCGTCGATCGAGGAGGTCTATCTTGATGTGCTGCTGGTCACGGGAGGCAACATTGAAGCGACCAACATCCCGAATACGCATGAACAGCTGCGCAGCGTCGTCGTTGATGTAGTGCTGAGTGTTGACCCACGTGGACACGGACCCGGTGCACGACTTGTAGATGGCATCCTTCAGGTCGCGCCACTTCTCCCGGATCGCGTTGTTGCCAGCGATATTCGCCTGCGGAATCCCCGGAGGATTACCAGCAAGACGATTATCCCAGTACTCCTGGAGTCCGAGGCGCGAGACCTCGTTCGTGACTCCGCGATACCAGATGCGCCAGTCCTGCGCACTGGGCAGCTTCTCAACCAGCTTTGCCTCTTGGCCCATTTTGTGAGTACTTATCTGACTAGAAGAGCCAGTTTGAGTCTCAAGGCGTAGCGTAGTGTTAGTGGACTTGAGAACACTCACACACACTTACACACGCTTGCTCCACTGAGCTCGTTATCAACAGCTTTTCAATGAGTTCTCTCAATTGCAAGTAAGCAAGCAAGTGACGCAAGTCTCTTGCTGCGTTACATCCTGTAGGTTTGGTTCAATCAGGTTCATCAAGATTCTCGCATCATTCTCACCAGATGTCAACACATTCCAGAGTCTAGATCCGCTTCGTAGTTAGCTATTTCATCAGCATGTCACGGGGTCGATTTGAGTCAGAACCTTCAGTCATTTTCATCATGGAACAGGCTTCATTTGGGGCGATCGTGTTACGTGTGTGCGGGATCGATTTCCATGACCAACAGTTGAGAAGTTTTAAAGTTAATCTTAATTTTACATTCTACGCGAAGTAGAAGCACAACAACCAAATAGGACAACTGAAATTCGAATCACAATGACAATCGCACAGAAGCTGTAACTGATAAAATAATCAAAAGCAACGATTTTTTTCTGTAAAATCTTCTCGATGATGAAACGACGGTTGCAAAGAGAAACCATAGAAACTTCAGGAAAAACACGCTGCGATGTTGAAAGACAGATATGAGCAAGGTACATCGCAATGAAATGCTTTAGTACAGTTCTTTCTACGCGTAATTTGTCAGATGAGTGTTGAAGTACAAAGAACAGTCTTACACTTCTGTCACATGCAGCGGACCACCAGCGCGGCTAAATCTCGCAAAGTTGATCTTTATCTTGACATTGCATTTATTTTCATAAAGACAGAAACAAAACATACGTACTCCACCCGCAACGACATTCAGGGATCAAAAGGGAGGGGTTCGTGGCATGCATTTCAGCGAGACAACGCCGCCGTCGCCGCAATGCTTGATCATGATGAAAAGAGTCCCCACCACAAAATGAAAACTATCATCATCATCTTTCATTCTAGGCACATGCGCTCTCTGCGCCGCAGCGGTCATGCTCATGATATTGCTCTGTCACGCAGCTGAAATCACGAGATGCTGGTGTCGAACAATGCTCAATAAATTGGCTCACATCGACATGTTGAGGTGGAAACACGTGACAATTGGTACCGCCACAACCGGAAGGGTGGCATACCCAGCAGCAAAACCAAGGACACCGTTTTCGTTTCGCCGATATGACACAACAAAGAGCAAGTAACATATCATGATGAGTAAAAATGCACCGTTCCCTGAACACTGAAACGACGGCGAAGCGCCACGATACACAACACTTTCTAACCTCAACAAAATCAGTCAGCATTCAATTCAACACCACTCAGCCTCAAACATGAACTTTTGGTGTCCCGCATATGGAGGAAACGACCGTACATGCACTTGTATTTATTTTATTCATTCTTTATTGCGATCGCATCACATGTATGATATGCTACATCATACTTCGCTATGCGATAACTGGATCCAGTTGGCCCTGACGTTCTCGTTTTCTTTCAGCGCGCACATAGCGGCAATGGTATCCGGAGTAAAAGCATAGAACCCACCGCCCAAAATTTAATCGAGCTTTACTAGTTACTTTGTTCTAGGTTTCTTCATAAGTTAAGAAGTCCCCCTTCTGTGGCAAGTGAAGGAAACAAGCTTAGAGCAGAGGCGCAGAACCTGCTCTCATCGCCTCCCAAGATCCTTTAGATGAGAACGATTGATTGATTGATAAACAGAAGTGCGGCGCCCTCTGCCTCCCCATGTACGAACGGCCGCAGATGGCGGCCACCCAGGGAAGCCTTTATTTGTACACATGCAAATCTGTCAAAATGCAAATCTACTAGCACTTCTACTGGAAATTACCTAACTCCCTAAACATGCAAATGTAGCATGTTTCGGACATGTCTCACGCGGCTCCCCATCGAAGGCATTTTCTAAATTCTATTGGAATTTGGAAAGCATAAGACAACGGATTTCTGATCGATGCGATCACGACTGCGCAATGGACCATACAACTTTGTCATGCGCGCGTCCCAAATTTCAGATTGACTAAGGGTGGTGGGTACGCTTTCACCCAAGATAAATGGTTACCGGGTCGTGTCCGGGCTCGATAGTGATGATCTGCTTCCAGCTATTCACTGCAAGCACATCTGGGTTTGGAAACTTGCCAGCCTTGTCAAGCTTGGCTGATAAGAGGACCGAAATATCTGTCCAGTGTACGGCGCAACAGTGCAACAGTTCTATTGTACTTGTTTCTCATGCCAAAACGCGATCGGCATCTGGCGTAACTCAAAAACTTGTTATGCGTGTGTTGGAATTGGAGGCTCTTGATCTTGTGTTGCTGTACTGTTGTATCATAAAATTTGCATAACTACAACTTTCCACACCCAGGCATATTTGCACTGCATACCAGCCTCCAAAGTGCCATTCTTCGCTATCAAGCTGAGAAGAGCCCGTGGCACTGGCACAACGCTTGTTGTATTAGATGAATCATACCAATCATACTATGTGACTATGGCTCATGAATGAAATTCGCATAAGATTGAAGTTTTTGAAGCATGCAAATGGCCTTTTTTGCATGAGAACAGAAACAGGAATTTGGACAGCTCAGGTTCACTCGCAACAACAAAACCGCGCACCGAAAATCACTCGGGATTGAAAAAGAGGATAGCACTACAGCCCCTGCCGTCTCACCGAACACAGTCTCGCTGCCCTATGAAGCAGAAGGAAGAGAAAGTGTAAGGGAGTGCTCGCTTGTTTAACGTGACATAGAAATTTATGGCGGACAGGGGTACCGGTTCACCGACCATAAAACCACGAAAACAACGTGCTTAAAGAAAGGAAAATGGGAATAGGAGGGAGAAGGCAAGGAGAAGCTCACTCGGGGCACGAAAGACGATATCGATAGCGACATACAAGGATCGATAATGAAATTCGCATAAGAAGTGGAAGTCCTGCCATCGCAGTACCTCTTTTCAGAAGTATAGTCTATTTCCGTTATTTCGCACTGCAAAGTCTCACTATTTATATTTTCATCGATTCTGGAGCCGGGGCTTTTTTCAGCACTCTTTGATATCCGACATTCTTCGTCCAGTCTTGGCCGCCGACGTACTCCATCTTCGCGGCCGTGACCTCCTCATCTAGCTCGCCTTCGGATTCCTGGCCGTCGGACGCCCTCTTCCGTCCCTTGATCTCGTACGTGGGACGGTCGAGCCCGCTGAACCTCTTCGACAGCTTTCTCCTGTCCGCCAGGCGCCCGGCGACGCGGACACGATAGCGCCAGTCCAACTGCTTGCCCCCCAGGTGCGTCTGGTCGCCACCCGGCGGCGTCGCGCCGCGCAGGTTCGGGTTCGCCATTCCCGGGTTGTGCATCCGCATTTGCTGCTCGACCCGAATGCCCTTCTCTTCTGCTCCCTCGAGCGTGCGCGCATTCATTTTGGCGGTGTAGGGCACAAAAAGACCTTCGTCGGCGGTAAGCTCATGCTGTCCCAATCGCCAGCCTGAAATGGTCTGGAAACCAAATCGGTAAAACGTACTGGCCCCGGGCGGGCGCAGGTCCTCCAGCAGATTGTTACTGGCGATAGCGTCCGCAGAGCGGGCTCCTTTCTGCCCCGCAAATGACGGGTGAAGCGACCAAAAGTCGTAAACGGGCATGCTCTGTGCAAACAGTTGCACCCCCAGGTCAGCAGTAGCCTGGGCAGGTTGTTGCACCTGCGGCTGAGTAGGAGAAGACGAGGGAGTACTTGCGCGGGCCGTATCCCCGCTGGTCAGAGTTTCGGCGTTCTGTGTCGCTGTCGGGTTCGTGGTGGTAGTAAAAGCGGCCGCGCTCTGTTCCGGTGGTTGTAGTTTTAGCCTTTCCTCAACAGCGAGGTCGAGCGCAACGAACGTACGCATTACGAACATCACGATGCCGGCAGTCGGATTTTGTTCGGACGCGAGCGCGGGAATGATCACGTGAAAGTTGAGCTTTGTGGGATCGATACCACCGATGGCGTCCGACCGAATCCGCAACCATTCGCAGGTCGCTTCGTCTTCGGCCGATGGAGAATGTGAGTGATCCGCCAGCTCAGCGAGACAATCAGCCTCGTACAGGGTGTAATCGTTGATGCTCGTACTCGGTGACCAATTCTTCGTCCGCCGCATTTCAAACTTCCGTCGCTTCGTCGGGTCTGGGAGGTAGGACTGCAACTTGCTTGGCTCCAGCGTCGTTTCGCCGCCCTCTCCGAACAACCTTCCCGAGCTCACGACGGCGTCAGTGGTCGCCGCGACGGGTCCTGGTTGTGAAGGAGCCACCGCACTGCTGTCATGTTGATCCGGCTTCGTCGATTCGGATTGCGTCGCCAGTTCCTTCTCGTTTTCCTGCGCATGTTTGTTCTCCACGACCTCCTCTCGCTCTTCTTCCTGCAGTGTGTGCTGCACAACCTCCTTCTCCTCTTTCGTGGCCAACATCGACGCCGTGCCCTTGGCTTCCGACAGATCCATCACAACATTTAGCGCACTTGCGACCTGGATCGTCCCTGGTGTCGTGTTGCTCGTAGTTGTAGCACCTAGGAGCAGCAGGCCAACAAGGACGTGGTGCGGTGGACTGCGCAAGACATCAACCTTGTTTCGAAAGTGGACCATCGAGCTGGAAGCGGGGTGAGGAAAAACGCGACCGCGTCGCTGCGAAAACGGAAAATCGTTGCAGACGCCGCCCATGCTCTTCGCACACGTCTCGTGAGGGAAAGGGGACTGGTGTCAGGTAGTTTTACACAAGCAAATACTAAATCTAAAACTTATTCCAAATTGACAAACAAGGTCGCCCACGACGAAAGGATCAGAATACGTTGAAACATACGAGTACGACTCTCCTTGTCGTTCAACGATAAAAATTCCCAGCGACAGTATCAAGATGAAGACGATGACGATTTCGAAGTTCTTGGATACCGACGAAACACGAAAACCCCCCACTCACGATGACCCTTACATTTTATCGGAACTTGATGACCTGCGTCTTGGCCTCGCTGAAACTGTAACTGTTGGTGCTGACCACGACCCTACGCACGATCTATAGCGATGGCGATCTGGTCCACGAAGATGAGCTGTTCCTGATTTATTTCTATCTCAGTTTATTGTATATGTCCAAGTTGCTTTTAGTACGCACTGCTTAGAGAGAACACACGGCCGGCGCAATGAGCGGACTTACGTCTTCACTGTTGTACGTATTTGCGCCGAAAAAGTGCTGCACGTAGAATTAATACGAGAAGAGGCACTTTATTTGGACAGCTGCGTCGCCATTGTTGCCTTGTGGTGGATTGGCGACCAGAGGAATAAACTAGGTCCTTGATTGACAAAAAACAAAGTGCGTGCGCGTCGCCCTCTATTATTCATCGATGTAAGTACATGAGCGAGTCACGTCTTCACGATTGCGGCATGCAGTAGCTGTGAATGCCCGCGGCGCCGCCTTCTTCGTACTCGGCCTGATTCAAAAACCTACTGTAGTCGTTTCCACAGTAGGCAGTTTCCGCCAGGAAACTGGCGCCTAGAAAGACCGCAAATTTCCGCCGCGCCGGATCCTCGACCTTGAACACCATGCGGCCGCCAACGCGGTCCTTGTAGAGCTGCCGCAATTCCCGGTCCAGGCGGGACTTGAACCCTGGGAAGAGCGTATTGCCCCCGGACAAAAAGATATCGCACGAAAAAACAGTTTCTTCACTGCGATGATAGATTTGCTGCAACACCACTTCTCGCATGCCAAGTTAGTTTGTTTTTCGTGATTTATAGAAAAAAAAAACTGCCAGCATGCCTCCCTACCAATGGGGAAATACAGGGGCAGAAAAACAGCTGCGCTGTTTTGATGGATAATTTGTAGCAAGACAACAAGTCCTCGTGTGCTGTCGTGGCCTTCTCCCTGCTGTAGTTCTTTCCTGTTCATCTTCATCTTTCTCAACAAGTTTACTACAGTGAAGCCGTTTTTTCCTAGGATAGAGAATGGCGCTGAAGTACGTCCGGCGAAGGTCCACGTCGGCGTCCATCACCGTTTGGTACAAAAACTCCGCGACGCCCGCGTTTTGGTGCCCGTAATCGAAGTTCATTTCCTGGATATTGCGAATTGTCATGCACAGTACCCAATATCAGGCTGCTAGTGTAATGCATCTACTTACTATATATAAATACACTGATGCTGATCTGTCCTGCTCCGGGAGGGTGCGTGCATAACACGGAATACAAAAACCACACACAATCTTCATACCTGATACATCCGTGGATTCATCAAAATCTCCGGCGCCAGAAACCTTTCCTCGCCTACGCGCACCCGGGTGAGCTATGGCATAGTCAAACGTTACTACATTGGTCGCTGTTCTTATATGATTTGTCACGCAGAATCAGCATCAGGTTCAGCCCCCAACCCAATCAAGCTGCTTCGCATGACAAGTTGCGCTCGACCCGCTAAACAGCGATAAACCACGCCCAAGCTCTCCCATTTCGCTTTTGCTAGTCTTCTTGCACAATACAAAATAATGCGACAACGATCAATCATTGTAACGTTTGAGCGTCCCAACATATGAGCGCGTTGCTGGTCCGGTGGTCATACAACGCGACGACCTGCTCGATGGCGGTGGTGTTCTGGTGCAGTTGCATTTCCTTCTCGAGGTCGTACGCCATGTAACAGCTGTTTTCCTTCAGCTCCTGCAGCACCGGGCTGGAGAACGCGCCAAACACGTCCAGGTTGTTCCGGGTTAGTAGCTGCTGGAGCTGCTGCGTCACGTGCCGCCCACCAATGTTCATGCGCTGGACCATATCCAAGAAAAAACATTGTGTAACTTTCTTGGAAGATTAGCATGACAAATATCTCTCGCATGACAGCAAAAACCTGTCATGCGCAGATACTACGCGAAAACGCCATTGAATGAGCCCTGCGATGCATGCCAAGCATGACAGACGCAATCAGCTTGAATGTTGCGCATCACAAGTTTACACTATTAACAACGTTTTTTTTCTTGGATAGACCAGTGCCGGCTGCACGAAGCCGTCGTAGACCGGGACAATGTGCGTGCACCCGTCCCCGCTGTCTACGACCACCCCGGTCCGCATGCCCTCGCTGTAGAGCGACAGGACCCCTTGGACGCTGATGTTCACAGCTTTAGTATCCTAAGCAAAAACGTCCCCACCCCATAGTCAAGATGGGAATCTAGCAACACAAACCTCCAAGTTTTGGGAGCTGTGCATGACAAGTTTCCCTCTGCAGTGTAGTGCTGATTGGCAAGATAAGCTGCATGAGAAAGCCATTCTCACATCCTGTTTACAGCATTACAAATTCCAAAACACGACTGGAAATTCCTCTCATGGAGCTGCGCATTACAAATGTTCCTGTCATTGCGCATCTGCATGACAACTCTGGTGTGGGGACGTTTTTACTCAGGATATTTAAACCCGTACCGCTCGAACATCATCTCCACCATGGTTTTATGCATTGCAAATATCCCTGGATGTCTGGAAGGTTGGAACTTGTGATGCAAACTTTGGAATCTAAAGCAATCTGTATTGCATGACCAGCAAGAGGAGCCCAGTTTGTGCTACGCGGGGACGAGGGCGTTTGTCATGCGGGATAGGCATCAGGAAGGGTTCTGAAAATCTGTGATGGTAGGGCATACATCACAAACAATCCTGGGTCATGCAAAATATGCATGACAAACGCAAACCTGGTAACCTTCCAGACCCAGACACTTTTGCACTTGATAGGTTTCGCGCTTTTTGTGGTTGTTCAGCACCGGCTCCGTGAGGACGATGGTGTGCTCGCTGGGGTCGATGCCCAGCTCGTGGAAGCAGTAGTCCCAGAGCTTCTCCTATCAGAAGGAAAAATCCCCCCTCCCCATATCGAAACGAAGTTTCTGATGCTGGATTTCCGTACACAAATCAGATCTGTCTTGCAGTAGAGGACTGCAGGCATATGTCAAGCCTCGGCCGAGAGGTTTTGGCGTAGGCGCCTAGCATGACACAGGTGTATGCTCTAAGCCCAACAGCATCACAAACCGCCTGCAAAATGCAGGGGGCTCTCTGGACTTGCCTTCTTGCAAGACAGACAAGATTTGAGGCCACAAATGTGCATCACAAATTATCAGACGGATGCGTTTTCAATATGGGGAGGGGGGATTTTTCTTTACGATATCTCCAGGTCGTCCCAGTTGTCCACCTGGCCCTCCTTCATATCATATGAAAATATGTCTGGGTCTGGAAGGTCGTAACTTGTGATCCTGTTTGTGGATTCTAAAAAAATTTGTATTGCATGACCAGCAAGAGGGGTCGGGTTTGTGTGTCCTACGTGGAGAGGGCATTTCTCATGCGGTAGAGGTATCGCAAAGCCCCTTCAAAATCTGTGATGCTACGGCATGCATCACAGACATCAAGGCTCATGGAAAATATGCATGACAAATCTAGAAATCTTCCAGACCCAGACATTTTTGCATTTGATACTTCATCGGGTAGCTCAAGTCGTGCGTGTTCAACGAGTGCCACCGGGACGACCACAGCCGCGGACCAATGATGATCTTGCTTGTTTCCTCGTCCGCAGCAGCCTGTAATTGTGGTCCAGCGTTATTTTCCTCTTGCTCGTTCTGATGCTCCACGTCCATGTGGTCCTCGCGGCTACGAAGATCTTCCTGCTCATCATCGCGTCCGCCGTCTTCGCGTCCACCCGCTGCACCGCTCGAAGTCATAGTACCGCCGCCGCTGCCCACATGCACCAGCATATTCTGTGGGTCGTTCAGCTCGGAATCGGGCGTCTTCAAACTCAGTCGATTCATCAAATGAGACACCGACGCAGGGTTATTTGACGTGTTCCTTATTTTCTGCCCGGGTGCCACGCGCGGGTCGCTTTGCTCAGTGTAGTAGTTGTGTGATGTTCCGCTACTTCCGTCGACATTCATCGGCATGGGTGCTGATGGACGTTCTGGCCCTGCTCCACCAAAGACGGCATCGTTGTTCCTCGGTCCCCCAGGACGACCAGGCGCGTCCTCGTGGTCTTCTAGCGGCATCAAATTGTCGTCCTCATCATCGGCACTATGCGACTTCTTCAACTCTTCCAAAAATTCCTGGTTGATCCATGGACAGGCCTGCAGCTTTGCGAAAAGGGCCGTCTTGCTCTCGTACATCACATAATCGGGCGAAGAACTGGAAGACGAGGAGCCGCCACTCGTCGTTGTCCCAACCCGAGGTAGTTGAGACGTCGCACCAGGACCTTGAGGGCCCCCGTTGTGGTTCTGATCCAGCCGTGTTTTCGCCCGCGCGACGCAAGTCGGGAAATAGAGCGCGGGAAATTTGTCGCCTGCAATCCCCGCTTTCACGCCGCCCGTGCCGGTGTCGATGACAATGGGGGGTTTCAGAGTAGAAGCGGAAGACGACATGGTGTTCTGAGAGTTTTTCTTCCAGATAGATTGTGGGTTCTGGGACTTAGTGGTGACAGAAGTACGGAAAAGTTGTTTCGTCCCTTGTTATTTTTTGTCAAGAGGTTACTACAGTCACATGACTGCTCTAGCTCTAAACATCAAGTCGGCAGAAAGAAAAAATCACGGTTGACGTAACTGAAAAAGCACAAAGGACACTACATCAATCTGAGTTAAGTAGATATGCTACTTCATCTTCAACAAACAAGCGGACTGGAAATGAAGAAATAACAGCACAACAGAATCTGAAGATTAATTCACGACTGAAGAAGAGTCCGGGCGAGTTGTACACAGACTGGTGGACGAGTTGAGAGTTGTAACGATGTAAATAGTACAAAAGTCAGTGAAATGATCAAATAAACTGCATTCACAGAGGACGAGGAACGAGCCCTCAGCAATGAAATGTTGAAGATCCTTGTGGTCCATGTCCTCCTACGGTACTTAATCTTCGCCCAGCGCCCTTGCTTGCTTGTTGTATACCAAACCAGGATCATGCGCGGAAAGTTGTACTTAGATCCAGAACACAAGAAGTTCCGCTTCCTCGTGGAAGGCTGCGGAAACAAAAATTCGTCGCGCCCCTGCACAACTGACGGCGTGTTGCATGATGATTGAAGATGGTCGTCTGATTTAGATCGCAGCTCAGGGCCTCTATAAGAGGTCGCACCTGGAACGATGTAGATGGAACTCGAAAAAAAAGCCTTCAAGTCGTTTTCGCGTTGCCGCTGGCAGGATCCCCTTGTGGAAGTGAAGTTTACTCCGACAGCTTTGTGCACCAAAAAGCTTACACCTCCTCAAACCCGATCCTGGCCACCACGTTCATGCACTGCATTTCCTGAAACAGCAGTTTGCAGGCGTAGGGCACGCGGCAGTCCAAGAGTCGTCCCTTGCTGTCCCCGGATTCGTCGCAGTAGCGGCAGAAGTTGGCGTCGGCGAAGAGGCCGCAGTCGCGGCAGATCTTCACGTCCGTCACGTCGGAGGAAAAGTTCAACCGTTCCAGCAGCAAGTTCGACGCCCCGTAGGCGATCAAGCAATCGCGCTCCATCTCCCCCATGCGCAAGCCGCCCTGCTTCGCGCGGCCCTCGGTGGGCTGCCGGGTTAACACGTTGAGCTTGCCGCGGGCGCGGGCCTGTGGAGAGTAAGGTTTGGTGATATCATCGGTATATCAAGAGTTCTTGTGAAGATGCCAATCTTTCTCGTCGGTCCTCCGATTGGTTGCATTGATTCCGCCTAACAAATGCTCACCGGAGCACACCGATATCAAAATAATCCTAAGTCGTGCGAAAAGTATGGCGGAACTGAAACTTGTTCTCCAGTTCGTTGTCCAGTCGCTGAAGAACGAAGAGGACAACGAAAAGAAACGTCTTCGACAATTATGGTTTTAGTTTTTATGATCGAAAAGAACTGCTGTACCTGAACTTTGTCCGCCACCATGTGCTTCAATTTTTGGTAAAAGATCGGTCCGACGAAGACGTAGCACTCCATGGGCTCGCCCGTGATTCCGCTGGTGAGAAACTCCTTCCCGTTCGGCGCGAACCCGTGCTGGATCAGCGTGGAGTAGATTTTCTGCGGCGGCGTCCCGCCGAACGCGGATCCGTCGCAGAACGTGCCCTCCAGCGCCGCGGCTTTCGAGCCCACACACTCCAGCATCTTCCCCACCGTCATGCGACTGGGGAACCCGTGCGGGTTCATGATCAGGTCCGGGCACCACCCGGTTTCGGAGAAGGGCATGTCCTGCTGGGGCACGATGAGCCCGATCACGCCCTTCTGCCCGTGCCGCGACGCAAACTTGTCGCCCAGCTCGGGGCGGCGGGTGTCGTATCCTGAGTAAAAACGTACCCACACCAGAGTTGTAATGCAGACTTGCAAAGACAGGAAGACTTGTAATGCGCATCCCCATGAGAGCCATTTCCCATTGTGTTTTGGAATTTGTGATGCTGTGAACAGGATGAGGAGGTGGATTTGTTATGCGGCTTCCCTTGCTAAACTGCACTACAATACATCCTGCAACTTGTCATGCGTGACTCACAAAACTCCTAGGTTTGTGTTGCAAAATCCCCATCCTGACTCTGGTGTGGGTACGTTTTTAGGCAGGATACGTCGCGGTACATCATCTTGAAAATCCGCAGGTGCTGGTCGTTATGGAATGCAAAAGTGTCTGGATCTGGAAGGTTGCAACTTGTCATGCTAAAGCCGAATCATGCAAAAATCTGTGTTGCATGACTGCCAAAAGCTGCCCACTTTCGGCCAAGTTGGGAGGGAGTTTCTCATGCAGGATAGGCATGACAGAGACCTCACAGACTCTGTCATGCTAGGTCCCGCATGCCAGACCTCATGGGTCATGGAAAACCTGCATGACAAGTTTACACTCTTCCAGACCCAGACATTTTTACATTTGATAGTCGTTGTGGGTGATCAAAACGCGGTCGATGATGTCCTTGCTGTCCACCGGCATCTTGTGACACACCGGGTTGTCGCGCATCACCGCCTGCTCCGGGTTGGTAATGGAACTGGCATTGAAGGGGGTGGTCGCTTTCATGTCGGGGGTCTGCTTGTTCAGAATGATGTCGCCTGGGGTGATACAGTTTTTGTTTTGATTTATTTTTGTGATGACCCTACAACTTCCTCTCTTTTTCCTTCTCGGAAAACAAGCTAGTACACATCTGCAGCACCCATAACATCGAAAAAGAATCGACAAAAAGAAGTTCAGCATTATTTAGAAATACCATCTCCCACTACGCTCCCTGGCCACACGACGCCGTCATCCGGGTCCAAATTTCGGACCCGGTGCTTCTCGCGTTTTTTTCGCTTGTCTTGCAGTAACGCCTTTGGGAGCGGCGCAACCACCTCGCTGTGGCTGCCGACTTGGTCACAAACTCCAACGTGCCGCTTCATGACGATACACCTAAAATGCAGATCATTGGAGTTGAAAGAATTTGAATTAGATAAGTTGTTATAGTAAGTACCTAAAAACAGCGTCGGCATAGTACTAAAAACCTAAAGCGAATTCAAAGTGTCACCTCCTGCAACAAGAACTTCTTACTCATGTAGTGAAGCTGCTTATAGTGAAAATTTACCTCCCGAACCCGCGGTCGATGCTGGCCTTATTCATCACGATGGCGTCTTCAATGTCGTACCCGCTGTAGGAAATGACCGCGACGCTGGCGTTGATGCCCGCGCCAAACCGGTCGTACTGTGCGAAATCTAACGTTTTCGACTTGCACAGCGGTTTCTGCGGGTAGTGCAACAGGTACAACACGTTGTCGCTTCTTTGGAACTGGTTGTAGCCGATGCAGCCCATGGCCTGCTTCCCCATCGCGCACGTGTAGGTGTTCCGCGGGGACTGGTTGTGGTTCGGGTACGCGACTAAACCCGAAATCACCCCGAGGAGCGTCAAGGGTTCGATCTCCAAATGGGTGTGGTCTTTCGTCAGCTCCTCGTGCTTCATGGCGATAAGGAGGTTGTTCTCCTCGTTCACATCGACGAATTCCACCACCCCATTGTTCAAAAAGTCCGTGAAGGTCCACCGCTTCGCTCGGGTCCCGTCCGGGTGCCGCCCAGTCAGCAACGGCACGTGCTTCTTCGGATCGAAGAGGCATTTCCCGTTCTCCACGATCAACAGCGGGCGGCAGAGCCGGCCCTCGTCGCAGGCGATGTTGATGGTTTTCGTGTTCTCGTGGTGGTAGATCGAGGTGAACTGGAAAATCACGCCCCGCCGCCGAAGCTCCTATCCTGATCAAAAACGTCCCCACACCAGAGTCAAGATGGGAAATCTGCTAGACAAATCACACAGCTTTGGTTGTTTGGCATGACAAGTTTGTCCTCGTAGTGTGATCCTGTTTAGCTAGCTCAAAAGCATCACAGATCTAGCACAGCATGCTGATCCTAGCATCACAAATCCCAAAACACGAACAGAAAATGCTTGTGCTTCTCATAGGGCTCCGCATGAGAAACTTTTTTGGCATGCAGAATTGCATGACAACTCTGGGTTGGGGATGTTTTTACACGGGATAGCTCCTTGATGTGCGTCATCAACGTGTTGGGGTCGCGGCAGGACCCGAGGAGAAGCCCGTTGAAGAAAACTAATAATGTATCCGGCGAGTCGGGTGAGAGCTGATCGCTTGCGGACGACTCGTCGGGCATGGTGACACCCTTGGACTCGTATCAAAATGAGAAATCCCCTCTCCCCATATTGAAACGAAAACTTCTGCTGCAGGATTTGTGTACACAAATCAGCCCTGTCTTGCAGCGAGGCACTACAGGCAAAGCCTCAGCCTGCATAGGGGTGTTCTGTTGTAGGCTCTTGGCATAAGAGAGGCCTGCCATGTAGGTGAAACAGCATTACAAATCACCTCCATAAGGCGGCGGATTCTTTGGGTTTGCCTTCTTGCAGGACAGATGTGATTTGTGACCTCAAATCCGCAACACAAATTTTTGGAAACCTACCTTTTCGATATGGGGAGGGGGATTTTTCCTATCAATAACTCGATCAACGCCTTCATTTCTGCCAGGGCCGTGTCTCCTAGACCAGTAGTCACCGTCGCCATGAGGGACAGGTTTTTTATCAACCCACACTGCTCCCCCTCCGGGGTGTCCGCCGGACACAGCATGCCCCACTGCGAGGGCTGCAGCGCGCGGGGCCCCGCGATCTTGTGCGACTTCTCCACGTTGGACTTCACTTTGGTCATCGACCCTAGCGCGATCATATGCATTGCAAAAGTATCGCACTCGTATAATAAATGCGAGTCTAGCATTACAGATCTGCTTTCTTACTAAAAACTGCATGACAAATTTCATTTTTCTTCTAGGAAAAATCTGTCATGCAATTCATACTAGTACGATGCTTTTGCATTGCATAGATCATGTACGAGAACCGGGACAAGACCTGCGACACCCCACTCCGGTCCACTATCAAATGCAAAAATGTCTGGGTCTGGGAGAATGCAAGATCTGTCATGCATATTTCGCATGACCCATGATGCCTGTAATGCATGACCTAGCATCGCATACTTTTAGAGGGCTTCCAGATGCACCTTCCGCATGAGAAATGCCCTGTCCGTGTAGCACAAATCGCACCACTCTTGCTGGTCATGCAACACAATTTTTTTTCGAGTCCAAAAACAGCATGACAACTTACCACCTTCCAGACCCAGACATATTTGCAATGCATATCCACGCGGAACCGCTGAATCTTCCAGTTTCCGCTCTTCAGCGCGTACTTGAAGGTCTGCGTCACCTTCCCCGACTCCAGCACCGTGCGTTTCAAGACGTCGCAGTCGGTGTAGTTCTGCTTCTGGACCAGCTTGCCGATCTCCCCGTCCGCGCGCTTGCGCACCTCGGAGTTCAGGGTTTTGAACACGTCCTCGAAAAGCATGGACATCATGGAACTGGCCTGCTCGATGCGCTTGTTCCCGTAGTAATCCTTGTCGTCCACCAGCATGGGGTTGTCCTCCGCGTCGAAAATCCGCCGGATCATCACACAAAGATACCGCACCTTCGCCAGGAAGGGCGTGTGCTCGGACCGGGGCTCCATGGCGACGTGGGACAGGACGATTTCCAGGGCCTGGAAGGCTTGCAAGGCCTTGTTCGAGGGGTGCGGGGTATTGGGGTTGCCGGAGTTCTGCTGCTGGTTCTGTGCGCTCCGGGAGGAGACGAACCTGTTTGGAGTTTATGGGAAGGGCACGTCAACAATTTGCAACTACCGTATTGATAAAATTCACTTTTGGACAATTCATGCATACGCTTCGCATTTGGCCGCATCAAAAATGCAACCGTTGCATTGATGAACATGAACAGCACGAGGAAAATCTCATTGAAGCTTTTTACATCTCTACCTGTCCTTCATGTGCCTCCCGAGATACTCAAGCGCTTCCCGCTTGGTGAATACGCCCAAATCCTTTGCCTCCTGGAAGGTCGGCAGCAGTGCCCCGAGAATCCGACTTCTCGCCTGGCTCTCCGTTCGCCCGTGATCCTTTCCACCTGAGTTGTTTTGGTCCGCGTTACTTCGCTTCCCTGAATTCCCGCCTCCTCCTCCGGAGCCGCCGCTGCTAGCACAACTTGCAGCTCCACCACTGCTACCGAACCGGCTCATGCCGCCGCTCCCGATCATTTGCACGATCTCCTGCTCATCGGTTACGCCCATCGCTTTGATCAAACACACAATGTTCACCGACGACTGAAACTTCGAATGCTTCATGTGCAGGCAGTTCCGCGCGTTGTAGCAGACGATGACGCGAGATTTGTTGTCATTCGTGGAGGAAGTCACCGCCGCTTGCAGCCGGTGCGTCTTCTTGTCCGCTTTTTCCACGATGATTCTGTTGTTGCTCATGTTCTCCTGCATCATCAGCACTTTTTCTGTCCCGTCGATGATAAAATACCCCCCGGGATCTAAAGGACACTCCCCCATCTTCATCAGGTCGTGCTCGGTTTTCTTGCTCAAGTGACACCTGTCCGACCGCAGCATGATCGGCAAATAGCCAAGCAGCAGCGGTTGCGGGGACACCGTCGGGTTGGTCGCGGTCTTTCCCGCGTAATAGTAATAGGAGACGTAAATCGGCGCGGAGTACGTCAGGTCCCGTAATCGGCACTGCTGCGGGTACACGTCCATATACATTGCAAAAGTGTCTGGGTCTGGAAGAATGCAAGTTTGTCATGCTTGTCTGGCATGACTCATAAATCTGCGATGCAGGAGCAGGAAAAGGACCTCTTGTCTGTCATGCAGAAACGCAGTTTGCCATGCGGAAAACGAAACACCAGAGCAGCTCAAAAATTTGTCATGCTTGGCTGCGTATTGGAGTGCGCCCACCAGTCACATTTTAGCATTACAAGTTTCCAGACCCAGACACTTTTGCATTTGATAGTCCAGATCCTGTAGCGACCGCTCGTCCATCATCTGGGGCCGGCCGATCTGGATGTCGGTGAAGCGCACGTACCAGTTTGGGTCCACGTCGCACCGAATTTCCACGTTAGACCGAGACATGACGATGTCTTTAATGCCCTGGTTGACGAAGCTGTTGAAGGACTCCAGTTGGCAGCTGATCAGCCCCCGAGCTTCTAGAAAGGAACCGACTAAACGTATCCTGAGTAAAAATGTCCCCACACCATAGTCAAGATGGGGAATCGGCTAGATAAATCCACAAGTTTTGGCTGTTTTGCATCACAAATTTGGATTCGTAGTGTAGTGCTGTTTGAGCTAGCTCAGCAGCATAACAGACCTAGCATACGATGCTGATTGGAGCATGACAAATTGCAAAACACGACTAGAAACTGCTCATCGGGCTCCGCATGAGAAACATTTTCAGCATGCAGATTTGCATTACAACTATGGGGTGGGGACGTTTTTAAATAGGATAAAACGCCACTTCTCGCTCATTTCCGGCACCCGTTTCGTGACCCTTGGGTCCAACCTTTTCCACTCGTCCGGGGGCGATTCGTGCAGCTTCTGGCCGACGAAAAACCGCTTTTTGTAGGACGACAGCTCGTGCCAGTTGGGGGAGGGCTTGGTCCGCTCCAGCTCCATCAGGTGGTCGTAGTGCTTGAAATTTTTGTTGTACCCGACGTAGTGCGGCTGGTTCCGCTCGCTGTCGCCCAAGAGGTAGTTCCGCCGGGTAGCAGAACTCGAGTTATAATTGGGGTCCTTGTGGTTGGAGAAGTTGTGATTTATCCGCGTCGCGGTGGAGCTTGAGGACCCACCGATCTGCTCCTTCAGCATCATCTTGTTGCCTACACCTGCGGAGGTCCCGGGAACCATATTCGGCTGCTTTTTGGCGTTGCTGGGTCCTGCTCCGTTATTCTGCTGCAAACCCGCTCGGAAAAGCGACCGCTGCCGCTCCGCTGCAGTTCTCGGGGAAATAAATGCGCCGTCGCTCATGGTTTGATGTCGCTGAAATTTACCAAACTTTGACTCCTGTAGTTTTATGCTAGCTCCACGAGTGGTACAGGCAGAGGAAAACCACGGACGACATTGGCGATGTCTTCACGGGTATAAAGTGCTAAAAAATCTACGTCGTGCTAGCCGAATCTCAGCAGACGACGGCTTTGCATACTGTACCACGACTGGACATCTAAATGAGTCAAGGTGAAACTAGTACACTGTAGAGCCTGTAATAACAAGGAAGAAAGAGCGATGACGCTTGCGATTCCATGATCACAGAAACTATCCAAGTACAGTATTATAAAGGACCACGGTTCTTATTTATCCAGCAGATCTAATTTAAGCAGAAGAAGATCGGCGGAACCACGAAGTCGATCTTCAATCCATAACTGTGCAGATCCTTCGGCGATCAGGGTCTTGTACCAGTGCATGCCAGTAAAGCTTTCAAATTCGTTATCAGTGGAGCTGCGGTACTAGATCATCGAAGATCGGAAGTGGAGCCAGCTGTTATATCCAGCGCAGTCTTAGTTTCTTCTTTGTCGCTATTTGCAGTGATCTTTCTATTACTTAAAACTCGCAAGGCACTGCTTGTCTGCTAACGTTGCCTCGGCGATCCTCTACTTCTATTTGATCACAATCACTGTTGAGCACGCAGATCTACTTCTGGGTGTGGTCACCTTTTGGTCTGGTCGGATCCATGATCGTAGCACGTTCTCAAACATCGCGCTGCACCTCCTTCGGTTGTGAACAATCAATAGAGTTTGATGAATTTCTTCGCCCCTCCGCTGTTCGTTCCCATGTAGAACCTCCGGCGTGCTGCAAACCGCGCTGCACCTTCCTGAAATGCTCCGGCGTAACTTTCAACAACTTTTTTTGTTTGGAAAAGATGATCTCTACTGGTGTTGTAGTCTTCACTCGCATACTTTGAAACTGTTCCGCTACCAGTGGTTCCAACGACATCGGCAATTCTGAGCAGGTCACTGGCCAATTCCAGTGCGCTGCAGATGGTCGTGCGGATTGAAGAGTCGAAGAGAGAAATTGTTGTAGCCGTCTCTGAGGAACTAGAAAGGATTGCACTTTTTGCATTTTCATGTTTTTCTTCCGAGTTATTTCCAGCTTGATTTGGTGTTCCAGGTCCATCACTGCAGTGTAGTGCACGGTCCTTGTCCACCTGGTGAAAGCCCCGATTAGCTTCGTGCAAAAGGCAGTCTATTACCAAAGAAAAAACGTCGTTTCTTTTCCGCGTACAATCTTTCGAGTCGCTCGAGGCTAAATTCTCCCCGGTTTCTCTGGTGGCCGGTGTGCCGAGTTTGTTGTCCCTGCACAAGCTAGAAACTCTTATTGAGACTTTTTTCAGCTCCTGCCTCGTTTCCGCGGCGAGTAAGCGCAGCACCCGGAGGCAGCACTGCTCTACGTGACGCGTGTCAGACAGAAAACTTCTCGGGGCAAGGAGCCAGGTTCTGGTCCAGTAGAACTCCTTGCCTTGGTCTTCGTTCTGTCCCACTTCCACGGTTTCATCTTCTGGGACTCCGAGCCACAAGTACGCCTGATTCTCGCTTTCGCATCCAAAAAAGAAAAACGAGGAGAGTGCGCCCAAGACACTGTCATTCCTTACACAAGACCTTCTGGTTCTGGTGCCCATGTGTTGAGGAGGACAAAGGTCCTCTGCTTCCAAGCACATCCTCGCACACAGCTCGTCGGTAAAAGTCTCTTTCCTGCAGCTGGCAAGCCTCGCAATGGCATCTGTGTGCTTCTCACCAAGACAATCCAGAAAAGCGAACTGCGATTTTCCCCTTTGCACCCGTTCCCGCAACGCGGTTCGGAGAGTTTGTTCGATGGTCTTCTGGCAACAGAGCAGCAGCGCGTTTCCAGGACTAGTTTGCAGCCTGCGAGGCGGCAGAAGCTTGTCAATGGCAGCTAGGAACTTCTCACACTTCTGCTTCCACTTTTCGCATTGCCCGTCGGCGTAGAACAGGGAGTCGAGGACTAGCACGGACAGACTAATACTCGGCATTTTCCAATTCTCAAGGTCGGGAACCGCTACTTCCATCCGGGCGCAAATACAGGAATTGCCGTCGTCCAGCGTCCCCTCCAGATCCTCCACGAGGCTGTCCTGTAGGAAGTAGGGAATCAGCCAACCCGAGCGGACTAGGGAAAAGCAAGAATTGCTCCTCCCTTGCGAACGAACTTCGCGAGCTGTTGCAGAACTCTTCGGGCAAGAGCTTCTGCCAACCGGATCCGGCACTTCACGTCCTTCCGTGGCTTCGTCTGATGCGCTTGTTCCTCCCCCGGCGACGTCAACCCGCAGCGTTTCCAAGATTACTCTCGTCAAGCGACTGTACTGCGGCAGCACTTTCACCTTGACCCGGTCGACTAGAAGTGCCATCTGGGCTTCGTCCTCGCACTCGTCAATCATCATTTTCCAAACTTCCACTGCAGCATCCGCGATAGTTTCGAGCGGGTCGTGTTCGACGTATTGCTGCGAGCTACAGGTGTGGTCTACTGATCTCCTGTGCAGTGTCGTACTGCCCGAACCTCCTTCAAGTAACACAGGTGAAAAAATCACGTCCATCTCAGCCCGTTGCAGCTCTTCCAGCACCATCTTCCTCAATTCTGCGAAGTCAGTCTCTGCAGAAATGTCGGATGTGGCGACCTCGAAAAGTGGCCGCTGTCTAGTGGAACTACTCCAATGAGGAGCACGAGGGGGTTTATTTTCGAGCAAAGCCGGCAGTGACGAAGATTTTCTTGATGAAAAAGCCTGTGAAATCTTCTCACAAGCCTCCGAGAGAAGCGCAACCGCGGTCCAATTATTCGCCGGTCTGTCATGCGGCAGAACGCCTAAATGTTCTTCTTCGGTTTCCGCCCGGAGTCGCAGAGTCGACGAGCAATGATTTTGTCCACCAGGAGAACGGTTTTCGTCAGTAGCTCTTGTTCTTTTGAACATCACACTGGTACCAACCTTACCAGTCTTCGCGTATTCGAGTATCCGGAGTACGATGTGGCAAAGCAGCAAGCCGCCTGCGAAGTGAGTGGTATCTTGGTGTTTTGCGGCCTGGCGGATGAGGGTCCGCACTTGCTCCGGAAGATTATCGTGATAAGTGCGCGCATTGGTGTGCGAACTAAATGCCATTCCTGCGGTCTCCCTGTAGGGCAGTGGGGATAAAACGCGCTCGACGGTGTATGGGCAAAAACTCCCATCGTCGTAAAGATAAAAAAGGCTTTTTCTCATGGTAGGTGTAGCTTCGTGCAGATCAGCACTAGTGCAAGACGAATAATCGCCCATCTTTCCTATGTTTTTGCGAATGGGTAGGTTTGTCCTATGTCATGTGATTTTGTGTTTGTGTGTGACAATACAGCCGCTTCCCCAAACGTTGCGTCGAGCGGCGCTTCAAAAAAAGGAAAAAAATCAGCGGAGCAGAACAAACAACGGCTCGTCCGATTATCCTTCCACCATTCAACAAGCTAGTCCACCAGCTGCGCAGTACAGCGCGAGGGTTTATTTGCAATGAATACTCGAGCGCTCATGCTCATCTGACAATCAGTATCATACAGCCATCTCCGATCAAGATACAACAATTAAGTACCCCCCTCCACTTGTGACGCCAAGTCGTGAAAAATGAAACAAGTGTCGTCTTGCATTGCGTGCTACCGGGCGTGCGCTTGCTCCAAGTGAGGACAACTTTCTTATCTTGCATTTGATGATAAAGTAAAAAGTCAAGAGAAGGTTGTGAAGCTACTGAACAAGTGAACTTCACCCTTAGGTGCATTTGTGTTCGAAGTAGATGAAGAATAGTCAAGACAGCTATTTAACTGTCGTGTGCATTTTGAATTGTAGCCCTCTTTCTTATCCCCGATGCGGATGTGCAGAGCCGAGTTTTTGCGTTTCCCAATTTTCCAAATCTCGCACCAGTGTTTTGCTCCACCTGTCACCCGGCATCGTCCGCTCACTCAGCGGAAGAACCGTTTCGGACCTGACAATTTCATATTCATTTTCTTTGACCATGCATGCCAAATTCATATGACAATCAATTTCATCAGGATCAGGGTGTAATCCAAATCGCACACATAAACAATGCCTGTAAAAATCGTTTTACTGTGTCCGCGCCATTTTCACGAGTTTCCGGTCTGGCCCGTATCCGGTCGGCCCGACGAAACCCGGTTTTTTTGTCCATTTCACGCCTTCTAGAAGCTCCTTCTTTATTATGTGCGGAGGTTTTACCTGATAAAATGTTTGATCATGGATGCGCGGCGTACGCGTTAGAGGATGTAATCAATCCAAGTGTGCGATGAAATGAATCAAGATCAACTTAGTATTCAATCGGCCTGCAGACTCAACTCACGACAAGTCACAGGAACAGAATCAGCACGATGCTAACAAATACCGTCTTCCGACACCGTTTCCACTCGCCCTCCACCCCGTCGGGCACCCAGGATCCTATCATTTTCCTGCTTTCCCCGTTGACGTACGGCAGACACGAGTAGCTCCACCCATTCCGCGCCAAGCTGTCCACGGGCCCGTTCCGGGCCGCGGTGAGGACGATGTGTCGACTGTTGTTGCGTCCGGTGTTGCGGTCCATCCACTTATCGGGCACGGACCCCGCCCACTCAGGGTGGCTAGACCAACCGGTCGGGGGAAACCTGGGTCGTGAAGAATGTTGACAATTGTGCGACCACTCGCTTTTCATGTCGTCAGTTAGAACTGAGCACGTTCTTTGTTGTGCTGCTCGACGTGTATGCAACTATTATGACGTCGTCGTGACAGTAGAGTACTGACACCAGACACACAGCAGCACCAGAAAAAAAATCAATCTTTGTAGTCGTTCTTTGTGTACCTTGCATTGAAGCTCGGGTCGTAGTCTATCGGCACGACCGACGCTTGCCTGTCCGGGTACACGCCGGGGTAACTGGGCGCACCGGCGGGCGGGAGGTGTTTATTCGCGACAATGCGGTCGACATTTAAGCGGGAGACGGTGGTGTGGTTGTCAATGGGGTGGTACTGGATGTTGTAGGTCACGTCTTTGTACCCCGGGCCCGCCGGCATCGAGCTGGATGAGGAGGCAGCCATTGTGCCCGCTGTCACTGCGGCGGTCATCTTAATAGAGTCCTACTTGGTGCTTGCCTGTAGAGCTGCAGTAACTGTTTGTGTTCCAGTATCCTCCTGGTAGAACTGCGCTCAAAGCAATTGGTGGGCTCTCGCTTCTTTCCACGCAGGTGAAAACTTTATTTCCTAATTGTAATTCTAAATTCAACGCTCCTTGCCGATGCGCATACAGTATATCGATGTGCGTCCGCGTCGGAGCAAACACCACAAGAGAATACCGTACTGATCTTCTCATCACACACCGGGAATCGAGGCGGAATCATGCGCTTCTTCACTCCGGCACCTTCTGCAGTTGTGCGTTCTATGTATGTGAGACCGAAACTTTTTTCTCGAGCGAAAAACGAGATCGAGAGAAGTAGACGCGATTCGAACGAAACAAATAACGAGTTTTAGTTTACTAATGGAGAAAGCGCGACGAGCCCAGACCAACAAGCGACCGAGGCAGCTGGCTCTTTGGAAGGGACGGGATAAAGATCGGATGTAGTCACACCAGAAAGATTGCTTTCTTCAAACATGCCAGGAGTGATCGCTTTGTCAAAGGTTTTTTTGTGCAGAATCCCTTTCAAACAAAATTTCCAGGGTAATGCTAGACACCAGCAGAGAAACAGATCCGCGCAGTTCGGCATTTCCTCCTCCATTTCGACCTGATTCGTAAAAACCTCCATCGCAGCGTCTTCCAGCCGTTTTTGCTTCACTTCCTTGTCTCTGATCCGATCATTCGCGGCTTTTCTATTGTTGTTCCGCTTTTTTGCAACGGCCGCTGGTGCAACTACATTCTCCCTGCTCCCATGATCCCTTGTGCTTTCCTGGTTCAGGGAGCTGCTACCGGCAAGTGCAAGGTCATTTGCGTTTGATCCAGCATTATAATCCTTGCTCCTTTTCATCTCGTTGTACACCCGGGCCTGGAACGCCTGACTTCCGACCACCTGCCGTATCGCGCGCTGGTATCTTCCGACACGGTGAATGTACTGCACGGCAGAGATTAGTACAAGCAGTAAACAGAAGCCAAGACACGCAAACTGTGTCTCCGACAGTTTCGCCAGCCATGACTGCTGCAAGTGCGCGAACACCCACAGCGCCACCCGCTGGTCCCAGGTCGCGTCAGGGTGGGAATAAAATGCTGAACTGAAGTCGCCTTCCGCATCGTCTGTGTCATCTTCAATATCAGCTCCCGTGCTAGTACTCGTTTTGTACTGGTAAAACCTCGCGTGCTCCCTGGCGAAACTTCGGTCGACGTAGTAGGCTTCGAGGAAGACCTGCTCATCGTCCGGGTTCGCTTGAAAGTAATCGTAGGCCATGCGCACTTTCGGCGTGGTGAGGACCTGAAACGCGGATTTCAGAACGTGGAAATTTTTGTGCTGTTCTTCATGTTGACCAGTTCCTTCTTGTTCTGATGTTTCGTGTCTTGATGTACTAGTTCGCTCCTTGTTTGATGAAGCACCTCTACTAGTAGCAGCCGCAGTGTCTGGATGCGCTTGCAAACTCGCGGCCCGGAATTTCCTCCTCAAAAACTTCCGCAACACATGCGATTCTTTGTTAATCTCCGTCGCAGCTTGCAACGCCAACTCGTCGACTTCAGTCTTTGTAGTGCTGAGGATGGCGTAGCAGTCCATATTTTCCCCACAATAGAATGCTTCCCCCGGATTGGGGTAATAGCCGGTTGCGGAAACGAGAATCAGAGTGGGCGAAAACAGACGGAAAAGTCTGGCAAGCGAAGACAAAACTACCGACGTGGCCACCATCTTTTCTTCCACTTTAGGAACGTCTTCTATGCAGGGCGGGCACTATTCAACTTTTTACATACTTCTCAGGTCGACCATTCCTTACATTTGAATCTGCCAGCAGCAGCACATGGATGGTTCCTTTCTCAGAAAGGCTGCTGCTACACCGACACAGTTTGGGCTTTGATGCCGGAAGAAAAACGAGAGCGCGAACATCGTGTAAGTTGTGAATCAACAACCAGAGGATATGAACGTGCAAAATGCAAAAGGGGTCAACCCAAACAGAGAAGTTTTTTCGTTGTTTGGGCAAAAAAACTTTTCATTTTCGGGCGCATTTGCCGGCACCAGCTGCCCCTTCTCCGCGCGATATTGGATCGAGTTGCGCGCGTTAGGTTGCGCAAAAACAAGACTGACTGTCGTGCTAGAGGTGGTCGCAGGCCTTGCGCAGTGCCACAGCTGGCGCGATCCTGCAGCGCGCATCTGCGTGTGATGCGGGAACTTAAAGACGCAACTCGCTGGGCGGTTGGGATGACGCATCCCACTCGTGGCGCGCCAGCTTTGCCTCTCAAGCAAGTCAAGCGTGACGGCCGCTGCAGTTGCATCAGCCTCCTGATCTGATGTTCGAAGCGCCCTCTCGCAGAGACCGGCCAGCCCAATCTACCGCAAAGCAACTCCAGCGAGCTCCCTTGCGGAGTTGCTCCGTGGGTCGCCCGGGAAATGTCCAGAGCTATTCTCGGACGCGAGCCAGAGTGCATCCACATGCGGAAAAGGGTTAATCCTGGCCCGGGGTTCGGACATCCTGGAGCTTGCCCGACACGATGTAGCAGAGGTCTCACCTCTCCCTTCCCCGTTCGCCGAATGCCGCTCAATGAGAAGAATCTCCTCACTCTGGCGATTTTTTTGCCGGATTTTGCCAAAACTTCGCCAAAATCCGGGTTTTTGGCGAAGTTTTGGCAAAATCCGGCAAAAAAATCCCCAAAGTCAGAAGTTTCTTCTCATCGAGCGGCATTCGGCGAAGAAGGATAGGAGACGAGAAATGTCGGCTCCAATGTGTCGCGCAAGCTCCGTGATCGGCGTGAGCCCCTGTCCAGGATAAGCGTCTTCCCACATGCGGATGCGATCTGTATTGCGTCCGGAGATGATCCTGGACACTCTCAAGAAGCTATTTCGCGCGGGTGCTTTCTGGAGTTGTTTTGCGGCAGACTTGGCGGCGCGGTCTCTGCGCAGAGGATTTTCGAGTGTTAGCAAACGTTGGCGCGCCTCCAGCTGCCAGCTCCTTGAGAAACACAGTTGGCGTGCCTCGGCGGAGGTGTGTCGCCTCAACCTCCCAAGCAGCTGCGCCGGTAAAAAGGTTCGCGCACCACCTGTTGAGACACCTTCTAGGAGCGCTTCATCTGCAGCACCGCGCAAGGCCAAAGCCGGCGGCAACCTAGATAGAGCGCGGCAGTCAGATTCATTTTTCGGCGCCTTAATACGTTCGCAGCATTCAATATTGCACGGAGGAGGGGCACCTGGCGAGAGCAAATACGGCCGGAAGAAAAACGAGAGCGCGAACATCGTGTAAATTTGAATTTTGTCGAGCATGCAAATGACCTTTTTGCATGAGAACAGAGGCAGAAATTTGGACAGCTCGGATTCACTCGCAACAACAAAATACGCACCGAACTCTCTCGGGACCGAGGGAGGAGAGGAAAGCACTACAGCCCCTGCCGTCTCACCGAACACTGACTCGCTGCCCTGTGAAGCAGATGAAAGAGAAAGTGTAAGGGAGTGCTCGCTTGTTATGCGTGTCACCGATTTTTATGGCGGACAGGGGTACCGGTTCACCGACCACAAAACCACGATAACAACGTGCTTGAAAGCAAGAAATGAAATGAAGAAGCATGAAGGGATCGGAAGGAAAAAAGATCGCTCGGGGCCCAGAGATCGATACGATACGAACGAGCAATACAGAATGATCGACATACACCAAATCGAGAGCATCGAGGACGTCGAGATCGAGAAAAATCGATAGCAAAAGATCGAGTCAGACGAGATCGAGAGGAGCATTAACGAGCAAAAAATACGAAATTCTACAGCAGAAATACAAAAACAAAAATAATTACGATTTATGACATGAAACCGAGGATAGCATGACGACATACAGAAAAAGACATAGACATGATAAATCGCTCGACAGAGGAGGAGAAGAAAGACCGACTCATGAAGTGAAAACCGAACGAGGAAGAATACGAAAGCGATATCAGGTGCACATGCAATAATAGAAAACCGAAGTAGGGGCATGTAAAAACATATCACAGAACAACACATAACAAAGAACAACACGAAGAGATCCAGGGCGCGGAGCAAGAGAGACTTTATATCCAAAAAAGTCATGAGATGATGACATAAAGTGAATCAACGCGAACATCGTGTAAATTTTTTTATTTTTTTTGACTAGAACCCTAAATCCCTGAAACCCTGAAACCCATCGTCGCCGCGTTCCGGGACGGTAGGCGGGAAGAAGATGACTCGTCGCAGGAGCGGTGGGTGGTCGGGACAGCGGCCGCGGCGGACGACATATGATGGATCTATACCTAAACCTAAACCTCGACCGAGATCGATGTGTCCGGATGGGGACACGCAAAAAGAAAAACTGCTTGGTGCCAGTTGGGCCCGGGGAAAGGAAAAAAGGGGGGCAGCAGAGTAAGCGAATTATGAAGCCATTTGGAAAAAGGCGCTATCAAAAAGCCTTGTGCTCTGATCCGTCCGGGCGTGCACTCCCATCTGGTTCTAAAGCTTCAGCAGTGCTGAGAGCGCTCCGACCCTAAACCTCGAGACGGATGTCAAGAGATCTACGTACGTATGCGCACGAGCAAGGCAGGAATTGCGTCTGATGTGGACGCAAATTCCTCACTAAAACAAAAAAGCGACTCTCATTCCGGAGGTACACCTCAACGGAGGGCCAATTTGCGAAAACGAAAATCGATCCTCACACGAGATCGAAAGCGAGGTCGATGGCGGGCGAGAAGGTCTCAGGACAGAGGCGACATAAAGTGAATCAACGCGAACATCGTGTAAGTTGTGAATCACTAAAAAAAACGAAAAACGAAAAACGAAAGACGCTTCTGTAGTGATGGTGGGATGAGAAGATGAGTTGGCTTGAGGACCGAATCTCCAGAAGAAGCAACTACTTTCACATCAACAGCTGTGGCGGTTGTAGCGAGATCAGGAACAACAACAGGGGTAACAGATGCAGCATCAGCAATATGGGTGCGCGAGGTAATACATCCGATCTGCATCCCCGATGTTGACGATACACTGCCGCCGGCGCCATTGACTGACTCGCTACCGCTTCCAGTCACGCCGACACTCTTGCTGCTGTTCACGTCTACACTCTTGCTGCTATTCGGCCCGGAAGCGTATGGCCCCGGTCTGGATTGCTGGAGGAACAGGTCGAAGCTGCCCGATCGCCCCTTGCTGGCCGCCCCTTTGCCTAAGGCCTCGACGTGCGTAGTCATCTGTGGGAGCACCGTAGTGTTAAACGCTTGATGACCCGCTCGCAGCTAGAGTTCGCTGACCCGCGTGGCTGCTCAATGACCCGCGCGAAGAGCAACCGCAGTCGCTGCTTGCCATCCTTAGGCTGGTCTTCGTATCGGCGGCCGCTGATCACGTAACCCGTAGACCACTCCATGTGGCGCATTCCTTCGCACTGAAATGTGTGGGCGTAGATGTCCGGGCCCTCGTACGCAACAGCCGCTGCCTCCATTGCTAATTTGGAGCTCTTGTCCACATTCTTCGCGGCGCAATACTCGGAAAACGTCTGTTGCTGCTGCACATTCCCCCACGCCATGGTGGTCCTGCCCTTCTTGTCTTTCGCCACCGCATGAAGCTTTATCGTAATTTCGTTCGCATCCATCATAGCGTCTGGCAACAGGAATTGACGAAACCGCGGAAGAAGAGAGAACAGGTCCAAGCAGAAGAAACACGGGTGCCGGAAGAAAAAGAAAGAAAAACGAGAACGCGAACATCGTGTAAGTTGTGAATCAACAGCTACAGGAGTAGAAGCAGTACTGAAAAATCAGGATTTTGCATTAATTGTCGCTTTTGCACTTGTGTGCCAACATCCGTGACAAAGTGCTGCGTAAGAACCAAAATTGGAGTTGATATTCTCAAAAGGGGGAGTCATGTCGCTAAAATCTTATCTAGAGCTACATGCGCGGCGTCGTCGTGGGCTTAAAAAAAGCTGGACCAATCTAGACCGGCGGCTCAGGGTGGGTGGTCGTGAGTGCTTTCTAGTTGCGGGTTTATCATTTGGAGTACTCGTCTGTCGGAGGCCAGCAACACGTCTATTGGGTCTCTGCGTACAGGGTCAAGACGCTACACATGACGGCCATCAGGACCGTGAAGCCGTAAATTCCCCAGCGCCACCACGTGTACTGGTTTTTTATCAGAATGCGCTTCATCTCCAATTTGAAAGCTTCCTCCTCGTCGAGTTCATCTCTTTCATCTACGCCTGCTGGTAGTTCTTCCAACATCCCAGTTTCGCCTAAAATCTCGACGTCTTCCTGACCTTTTTCGCCCGGAAGATGAATAATTGCTGTGGACGCTATTCTCTTCTCACCGTCGACGACGTTTGCTTTATTTCTCGAGGAATTTTTGCTCTTTTGTTCCATCAAACTCGAGCTTAGCTCCTCAATTCTCTCCGCCTGCTGTAAAAAGCCTTTTACCTTCTGCGGGTATCGCGTCCACCACCTCGCATAGAAGATGCAGTGGATGATAAAAGGCAAGTACACGCAAGTGTACATTGCTGTCACCGCACCGATTAGGCCCATGAAGGTGGACAACTCAAAAGCCACGCCCAGAATCACGGTCACGCCAATCAAGAGTGAGCGGATAAAAATTCGCACGGACAACTCCGCGCACCCAGTCAATTCGTATGAAGCTTCGTGCTCTATTGGGTCGCCATTGATGTCATCTTTGTCGGGGCTGGTTGTTGTCGGGGCCAAGAGCCGAACCTGCTCATCCTTATTTTCCCCTTCTGCGATAAACTCAGGCTGCACTGCGTTTGACGTCGGCTGGGGCTGCGTGGCCGGGCTGCTGGTGTTTCTGTTGCTCTTACATTTATGTACCAATTTCGCAATCCCGTGCTCGATGGTGATCGCGACTGGGTTCAGGAACAGCGGGTAAGTGACCACCACGTTTGCAAGAATACCGATTTCCACAATCACCTGGGAGATGGCTTTGGTCTGCAAACACCAATTAGATCCCGGGAAAGTGCGGTCGCTACGCAGAGAGGCGGGCACCTGAGATAATTTAATGTTTGTTCATACTTGATTGCAGTGTATTTCAATGATCAATCTCGCAAAAAAACTAAAATACTTACGGAAAGGACACGTGCGGCCGCAAATGTTTTTATATTTGGATTATTTTGGTATGTCCGGGCTAGTTTGGAAAAGAAAAGTCATTCTAAACACTGGATGTAGTACCAGCACGTGATGCAGCCCCTCGCCCAACTTCGTATTCCCGAAAGCCAAGTAGCCGAAGAACGCCACGATCAAGTAAATCACAAAAATCAGATAGTGCGAATATTCCGCGGCCCGCGCGAACCTGTACTGTTTTGTCATGTCCGACTTGACCGTCGGCGTGATGACCGGCACGGCGAAGGAGAACCAGATGGTGCTAAACCCCGTCGCGATTTGCTCCAGTTTCGACGTTTCCGGGTACCCGTAGTAGATGTTCGGGCCCAGCTGCCCCCCGTTGTACGCTATTTCCACGCAGGAGGCGAGCACGACGAAAAAGGCCGCGGCGGCGGAGCCGACGACCCCGACGACGGACAGTTTGGAGAGAGCCGTCATGTCCTTGAAGAAAGCCGTGGAGATTAACAACAGAATGACAATCCCCAGCGCTATCCACTGACACCGCATCACGGTTTCAAATTCGGTTTCCAAATCCCAGCCGAGCCTTTGTGACACACCTGTCGGGATGGCTTGTTGTCCTGGGGGAAGAAGCGGATCGTTCCATTCCAGGTTCACGACGTATTTTTTGAATGCGCCGGTTGCGGTGTCCGTTTGCTTCGTCAGGTAACAAGAAGTTAGTTCGTTTTTCAGTCCGCTCACCTCGGTTTTCTTGAACAGCACGTCCGTGCAAAAGGACATGTTGCTCGGATCATTGGTTCCGTGCCGCAAAATCTCCGGGTCGGACTCGTTAGAAAAGTTGATACCCTGGGCGGAGTCCTTCATGCTGCGCAACATCAACCTGTTGGTGTTGGATTGATTCCTTATTCAAATCATGTGCTCAAGGTTTTTCACTTTTAAATTCAGCACCTCCAGGCATCTTCACTTGAAATTTTTTATTTCACGAACCAGGGTAGTTGCACGAAAAAAAAATGAAGTACGTGCACACCGATTGGTATCCTCGAATACTTAGTAAAAATCATGAGAGCATCAAAGAAAACTTTTTGTGTTCGCCTCTACTCGAGATCGAGCACGAGCTACAGAAACAAATCCAACATAGCTTTTCTCAGAAAAGCAACTTAAAAGTACATGTAGGCCCCCTGCATGATTCCGAACTGGCACTGGTAGAGCAGCTTCTGCAGCATTGGGTAACTGGCGCACAGGAACAGCACGCAGGTCATCAGTAGATCTGCGTTGTCCACCAAAATGCAGAACCACACGAAGTAGCCCTTGTGCGGAAAGCCGTGCAGCGCGCACCCGGCGACACCGTCCATGGTGTCCACGTGGTTCAGCACGGCGTCGCGGATCCGAAATTTTCGCGCAAAATCCATTTCCGATCCGACCAATTTGCACATGATCATTGAGCAAAAAAAGGCGGCGATCAACAGCGCCGTGCCCGCGATGATGCCCACATCGGCGAAGACCGTGGGCAGCAAGAAAATTCCCACGCCGATCGCGGCGGTTATGTAATTCATGGTCGCGCCGGTGGTGGTGCATTTCCCGAACTTCACGTCCTTGATCAGGACCGGTTTCTTGTCGCAGTCCAAGATCGCGCCGTTTGTTAGCTCGTAACTGGGGTCGTCGACGGAATCGCTTATTCTGTAGCGGGAAGAAGTTCTCGTCGCTTCTGCACTTGTGACTCGCTGCACCGCTTGCAATTCGATCCTCTCATCTTCATAATCTGTAGGCTCGTTTTCCGGGCCGGCCGAGACAAAATACTCGCCGGCTGCAGCGACTTTACCCGCGCGGGCGTCCGGCATGATGGAATAGAGTGTGTGTGTTTTTTTTCGGATGTGCTGTCGGTTGAACCGATTCGTTCTCCACCTTTGAATTGTTTTTCTTAAACGAAAATGACGATCATACTAAAAGCGCAATATCGAGGAAGTATACTTGTTTGCCTGCCTCGAGGTACTTACTCAGTGGAAAAAAGTTATGTATGGAAGACAACAACTGCTGTGCAAAAATCCTGCGGTACTACTCTAACTTCTTGGAGGCAAAGGGGTTACGATCTAATGCCAAAAGTATCAGAAAAGATCTACTTCCAAATCATGTACAGATCGCAGCTTGCGAAACTCAGTAAAAGGTAACTTCAAAACGACAAATTCAGACCAGCATTCCTAAAAAAGTAAAGCGCGTAACTAAATAAAATGCGTAAAATACATACTCAAAATGTGTGTGCCAAAATATGCTCGGTCCTGTGCGAAAAAAAAAAATGCCATTCAATTTCAAACCTTCGCTCCGGTTCTATGCACTATAATGCTTCGGTCGTGAATGAAAAATAGCATCTCGTAAAAACTCAAAAACAAAGGATCGATCGTCATTGTTACAACCGAGGAACTTTTTTCATCTAGATCTCGTCCACAGATCATGGTGCTTGAAAAGTTGATCGTTGCTTCGAGGTACGTGGATCACCACGTTCTGGGGAGCAATAGCGGACCAGTGCACATGCTTGCAACCGTAACTCACTTCGTCGAAAAAGTTTGTCATCACTCAAGAACCGAAGTAGGTATTCACCTTGCGATCGTACAGATGGTAGAGACCATAGCGTCGTCGTGGAGTGTGGCCTTGTCAAAAATATTCTTCTCTCTTTTGTATTGTACATGATTGCGTTGCGAGGACGTTTTTTGAATCCAGCAGACGGTAAATATTCTTCAGGTTCTCTGGAGAAACAGATATACAGGTACATTTGCGCACCGACTACCTCCTTAACCGACACGAAAATTGGATCAGACTCACATAACCACAGGTTCTTGGGTGGAAGGGGGACGGATAAATCAAAATTAATACCACTACAGCATCGAAGATCAAAACCGACATCGACAACTTGTCATGCTATTGAATGCACCGCACCCGCTTCGAGGCGGTACAAAAACTCGTCATCGCGAAAATGCCCTCGAGGATCAGTGTCGGACGAGCTTGCTGCGTTCATCCGTGAAAGTGTTGCAAGCAGCGAGGCGCGAGGGCGACCTCCTCCCGGCGTCGCGTCCGACTCCGAGCTAGCTGCTGCTAGTTCTCGTGGCGAATCAGCAACAGGGAACGATGGCACGCCCTGTGGTCGCCCTCCCTGATGTTGCGCCTGACACTCCTCGAGCCTCCTCCGGAGTTCCTGACACTGCTTTTCCAGCTTCGCCGCACGTGTCCTCCAGAATTGTTCCGTTTGGTGCGCCTGCGAATCGTGACGACTCACTTCAAGTGCAGCTTCTCCATCGGGATTGATTTCCACACCACAGCACCAACGCAACCCGACCCCGCAAGCCGCAAGCCGCAAGTAGCACCCCGCTTCCAAACGAGGCAGCACCAGTCTGAATCTCCGCACCATACTCCGCGGACGCTGCGATCGCGATGCCAGCTACCCCAGCCAGACAGCCCAGTGATGTCAAACATGTCGCCGCTGTAGCTGCACAGGAAGTCTTATCCCATACGTATCGGCGGACTATCTGCGAGGGGCACTTTTGACAGCAACTACATCTTTGCTCGTTTATTTCATCGACATTATCATCTCGCGGTACACAAAGCGAGCGCGCAGCTAAAAGTTCCCGCTCGGTCGCTTCGAGTTGGTAGGACAACGCTTCTGCGGAAAGGCTCAAATCCTCATCTCCAGCTGAATCAGGGCGCGCTCGTCCTAGTTTGAGTTCTTTATGCGGGAAGTAATACCGTTCCGGAACGATCGCAAAACCTTGATTGCCACATTGCGTGCAGAGATTTTCCCAGCTACGGTTCCTTCCATTAATCCGCCAATCTTCCAAGCAATACTGGTGGGCTAGGTGCATCCGGGTTGCGGTGTTGGCGTGGCCTTGTGCTTCCGCCGTGGGTGCTAAGTGGAAAAGGCCGCAGGCTTCGTTTGGGGTGCCTGCTTCCCCAAATGGCCCCAAGCAGATCCAGCACTCCTGCGGAGAGGTTCTTGTGGGAAGCGGGGAAGGAGGAGCTTCTGGTCGGTGTCGCGCTCCTTCTGGTGCATCTTCATCTGCATTGGCTCCTGCTTCAACTGTCTTGAGGTTCGCATCCGACTTGCTACTGGAGGCACTGCTTGTACTTCCAGCACGCAGGTCACCAGGGTCGCGAATAAAAACAGCAGGTAAGGGATGCTGTGCTCCCGCGCGCGCTGCACCGATACGCTTCCACAGAACAACCGGCCAAAAAAAGAAAATTGCCGAACTAGTTCGGCCGCAGGGGCTGCGAGCTATCATTTTTCTTTTTCAAATACAAGGTTTCTAGATTGTGGTGCTCGTGCTAGTAACAACGCCAAAACTTCTGAAGAAAGCTACCGAAAAACCTTGTTCATCCAAGTATCATGATTCTTGTGCGACTACGATAGCAACTACCCAAGTCAAACAAATGAAAATAAGTTTCGCAATCAAACTTTTCCAGAACAGCCATGAAGAATGTCCGAGGACCAAAAAGCGGCGATTCGCTGCTTCATCCCCACAGAAAAGGGACTTCTGGCGGTTGTTTTTATTTTCTGTATTCTCTTTTGTATCTTTTTCCATTGCACAGAACCTGCACCGTGCATCGAAGAGCAGCAAGTAGTTGTTTTTTCAACTCGTCTTGCCACTACGATTCGACACACGAACGCAGGGTCGAATGACCAGGACACAGTCGCGTTAAGAACTCAGTGTGCAGAGCGCAAGTGCGGCGGGCTGTATTCTCAACAACGTCAATGGGAAGAACGGGCACTATGGAATCCGAATTGTAGCATGACAAATCATCAATCGTCGTCGTCATCGTCTCCCCCTTTCCCGTAAATGATTTTCCGTGCCATCTCCAACTCTTCTTCGTCCATATCATCGGGATCGAAGCCCTTATCGCGCATCAACTGCTTTTCCATCTCGAGTCGCTCTTGCTCCAGCTGTCTCTGCCGCTCCTCCTCCTCTTTCTTCTCTTTTTCTATCCTCGCGATCTCCTGTTGACGGAGAAATTCCTCGTACTCTGCCTGCAACCGCGCTTCTTCTAGCCTTTGCAACCGAAGCTTCTCCCGCTCTTCCCTTTCTTTCTGTTGCTCCTCTTCATCGAATACCACCCACTCGTCCCCGTCTGACCAGACAATCGACCCGTCGACTTTCACCTCGTCAATGCAGATCAAGTCGCCCTCCGGGGCGACGATGCCGATGATCGGGCGGAAAACCTTCAGCGTTTGCCAGTTCTCCGCGGCGTTTTCGGTGCCGACCTGGGTATCGGCGGTTTCTTGTTGCTCTTTCGTGAAGAGGAGATCTCTGGGCTTTTTCGCCTTTGTTTTTTCCACCGAAATCTTCGCTTTGAGTTTGAAAATCTCCTTCCCGTTGAAAATGACGGAGGCGCCTTGGATCACGTACAGCTCTTTCTCGACTTTGTACTGCTTGCCCTGAATTTTCGCGAGCATCTTCGCGGCGGTCAACTGGTCCTCCTCCGTGATTCTCCCGAGCCAGCAGCTCATCAGCGACTCCACCTGCTTGGCACAGGGCGCGCAAAGCGTGTAGTCGTTGACCGGCGATATGCATACCTGCACGCGCGTACCCTTCTTGGTTCTGATCGCCGTGTTGCAGCTGACGCAGACTTTGTCACTCTGCCTCGGGTTGTCGACGCGGGCGGTGAGTAAAGCGTTGCCCAGATTGTCGGTCATCAAGATCTGTCTGCCCGCGTGCATCACCCCGCTGGCAACGGAGCTGTGGGGCGTGCGGGGAACTCCGTCTGCGAAGGAGGCGTCGAGTGAGGACTGGGCCTGTAGCAATCGTTCGTTTTGAATTTAAGAAAAAATGTAGTTTTCGTGCAACCATCGGTGTAAGTAGTCGGTGCTAGTACAACTCGTCCGGCAAGCGTGGAGGTGGAGAGGATAGGACTTAAGATATTTAGGCATGCGCCGCATACTCACACTTTCAGGCCAAAGTTAGCTTCTACAGTGTGCCCTTCATTCGATCCGGCGTGACCACAACAGATCACGTCGGCGGAGAGATGGGTTTCAATTTTGGTCTGCGTAAAAAGCTAGTTGTGATGCGGAAGACACAACCAGCGGAACGGAGCGACCATAGGTTTAACTGAGACGCGCACGCGCAGAAGCACGTCGCCGCGATAAACTGTTTTGTGCTCTTCGAAAGGCATCACACAACTTACCATCGATTCCTGCGCTTCCTTCGTTTCTCGCTGGCGATCCAGCATGTGACTTACCGGCGCTAATCGTATCCCCGGTGCCTCCTTCGGTTTCAAATCTGGCGGTCTCCCCTTCGGCGGCCGCGGAAGGACCGGGCCTGTAGATGGCAATTGAGACCCGGGCGGGCCCTCATACACCATCATCGCGGAGTCAAAATCCCCGGCCACGTCCTTTTCCACCTGCGACATGAGGTATTGCGCCGGCCGGGACAACTCCCCGCCCGCGGGCGTTTCGGAGACCTGCTGCCCGGGGGAGAGCGGCTGGATCATGGACTTCGGGGTGGCAAATTCTTTTATCGGGGGCACGATGGAGAGCTCTAGAGGGTCTTGCTGTTCCGCGCCGGAGGTGGAGCCGGGGGGTCCACCTTTTCGGGACGATTTCTGCGACTGGGACCTGCTTTGGTCGAGGTTGTCTTGACTTCTTGCTCCTGATTTCCGCGACCCAATGGACTTCTCCAGATCCGCATCGGTTAGCACCGGTAGCAGCCCGTCCCCGATCGCCCGGCTCGCTAAGCCTCCGCCAGACCTTCCAGATCTACTCGACCGTGCGGTCGGCCTATCCTCCGGAAATGCGTCTTCTATTGCTTCGGGGTACACCTTCCGTCTCTTCCCACCAGCATCCGTCAATGCGAGAAAGGACTTCGTCGGACTAAACGTGCTTGTCGACCCCGGAAAGTCCTTTTCGTCTTCCCACTCGCGGAACGCCGGCGGCAAATAGTCCTCCCCTGGCCGGTAGATCGGGAACTCCTCCTCCGGGGGCGGCGTGGGCGCCGTGTCCACTAAGACCATTTTGAACGTCCCCGTCGCGAGGTCGCGCTCCAGCGCCGGCTGCATCCGGGCGGTCCCCTGGGATTTTCGCCTTCTGTCCACCTGCGTGAAGGACGCTTTCAGATTGTTGTGCAACCGGTCTTCCAACATCCTGTCCAGCCGCTCCCGGTCCGCTTCACTCATGCTGGCCAGGTACTCCCGTCGCCGCATCCGCTCCTCGTGCCGCTTCTTCGCAAACCGCTCGTGCTGGCTCCTCAGATTCTGAAACTCCTCTGGCAAATCCTCCTCCTCCATGTACCTTTTCCCTGATTCGTTTAAAACCCTTCCAAGCCGCTCCTTGTGCCCGTCTTCATGGAACTCTTCGGAGGAGGAGGATAAGACTTGCAGGTGCCCGGAGAATCCCTCATCGGTTAACTGGGAAAACAGCTTCCCCTGCTCCCCGTACCCTAACGCCACCATCTTCTCCTCCGTGGTCATCATGGCGATCGACTTGTGTCCGGAGTGCAGGATCTCCTGTCCGTCGCGGATGTCCGCGTGGATCACGGTTTTCCGTGGCACCACCTTCGCCGACTCCATCTCCAGCTTCTGCAGCCGCTCCACGTAGAGGAAGTAGGCCCGGATCACGACCTGCAGAATCGCGACCAGACCGAGAATGAGCTTGAACACCGGCCCGGAGCTCTCCTGGTCGGGGCAGGGCGCTTTTACGGCTGTTTCTAATAGCCCAGCCACGTAGGGAACGAAGAGGTACGGGTAGCAGTCGTCCAGCAGGGCAAAGCCTACCTTTTCGGTCTCGTCTTCTTTCAGCATCTCTGCCCGCTCCGCGTCCACCTCGGACTTTGGGCGGTACCGCTTGGTCAGCGGATCGTACACCTGTACCTCCAGGCCGAGGTACTTGATCCTGAGAAAATTTTAAAACGGCGATGCACGTGTTGACACATGATCACATGGGGTAGGCGAGTACACCAAGGAACCAACCTCGCAAGAAACAGACCGAGTTGAACTTGAAGCATATGTTGCTCGTCCCTTCCGACATCTCGTTCTACTTTATCACGAGGGAACAAAATGCATGCACAGGTTCTGAAACATCAAAACTGTATAAAGACAGCAGTGAAAAAATGACCAAGTATACTCTGGATTCACCGTAGTCGTGGCCGTGTACGCTGCGACAGCGAAATTCACGTATGGCTCACGACTCAAGGGGCAGTCCGGTTCCGTTTGCGGTCCGATGATCTGATTCGGAAACATGAATTCCACCGGGCAGGACTCGCCAAAGTGCGGCGTGACGTGGACCAGAGATTCTTCCAAATACGTCCACTTCACCCCGTTCCGCTCGATGTCGACAAACCGGAGACAGAAGTTTCCCGGCTCCGTCATGCGCAGGCGGAATCCCACGACGGTTGCACGTTGGTTCGGGAGGAGAAACCCCTTCTCGTCCGAATACACGTCCAGCATGACCGTGTGGCCGATGCGGAGACGCCGGAGACAGGCGTACCCTGCGAAAATAGGAAATCAACGCAATAAAAATGCTGGTGTGTTGTAGCATTCGGAATAAACAACGCTACCATTTGCAAAAAAGCAGGCGAAAACGTTGCTTATAGGAACGAATGCTGGATTTGGTATAGCAAACATGGAAATTGCATCTCCGGTACAGGGGTTGAAACGCGGAGCACAGAGTGTTGTCTGCCAGGCATACGAAATCGCGCTAGTAATCTTCTTTGGGATCGATCAAGGATCATTTTGATGCATTTCCAAGCAACTCAATTTAGAATTTCGTCTCAGAGTATATTAAAGTTGTGTTGAAAAAGCCCCACCACACGATACCAATCGCTTGGCAACGTTGTCGGCAATTTCGAAAAAAGGTTTCATCACGACAAAATTCATGTTCTAAACTTCTAGATTTCCATAGCAATCTTGCAGCACCACGTGTCAATTTCTGATATCAAACAACCACCATAATTTCCACACAAATCGATCAATACCACTCTCACACTGGTACTCCATTCGGTTATCTTCGCAGCTCAAGTCGAGCGACACCCTCTCTATCGTGGCCACGCAGGGCACGTCCCGATTGCAGGGTCGCATTTCGTTTTCCTGCGCCGCCGCGCAGAACGTGCCGGAGGGCACACTCGGATCCGCCTTGCGCACGCGAAACTCCAGTCCGTTGCAGCAGCACTTGGCCGAGCACGCCCCCCAGCCGCCCCACGGGCCGAACAAGCACCCGGTGTAGTCCGGCGGCTCGTACTTGGGCTCCGCGGTGACGGAGCTGGTGTCTATCGTCACGGGCGGCACGTAGAAATCCGTCGTGACGGTCGACGCGCTGGGCCACTGGTCCGGGTTTGCGACCCCGGACCGGCACTCCGGCGGGACGCGGGAATTGTACTCGTCCTCCGAACCGTAGAAACAGATCATGCCGACACACGACCGGCGCATGTAGCGCAACGAGCACTGCGCCGGGAAGTCCACGGGGTTGAAGGGCGCGGCGGTGGTCGATGCACTGGCGGCTGCCAGCGCCGCCTGGTGCGCGAGCGCCTCCAGCCGAAAGGTTTCGTTTTGCACAAACACGCGGGAGCCGTCCTCGCGGAAGTAGAGAATGGTGCCGTTCTTCGCCGCGAGGCTGATTTCCCGCTCCTGTTGCAACCGGAGCTTCTCGGCGTCGTAGCGTTTCTGGATTTCCGACTCGTAACAGGGGCAGTTCGGGTTGATCGCAAGGCTTTCCCGTCCGTAGACGTAGGGGCAGTACACCCCCGGGCACTCGCAGCACGTAAGTTCCTTCTCCGGGTCGTACGGGTTCCCGATCGGGGGAAACTGGCTCGATTGGCTGTCAAACCGGCCACGGTCGGTGCCGAAAATTCCCGCGTAGATATCTTCGTCCTCGCCCTCGTTGCGCACCACGGAACGGCCGAAAACCTAGTTTTTGCGAGAAATGGGAGCTGCACTTGCAATAATTTTTCGGAACTTTCGACAAGAGGGGGTTCACTATGATCTCGACCTGCCATACTGTGCCATACACAAAAGAACAATTTTGTTTTTCTATCAGAGGCATTGGGTGAAATAAATTTCGTCTTCAGCCTGGTAGTTTCAGGAAATTGAAGCGAATGAAAAAAGGTTCTCATCACAGAAATAAACGTCGAGATTCTGTATGTCTGTCGATACACAAGAATTGTGGGGCAAAAATCAGATGGCATTGGGTAGAGACAAATAGCGTCTTCAAGGAACGGATCCTCCAGAAGATGCGAATGAATTTGTGGTTTTTCCTCATTTCGGATCTTCGACGTGCGCGAACCCGATATGATAAGAAAGAAGTAGGCGAAAATGATAGCAAGTCAGCATGTAGCATAAGATTTGACTCGTCAAAGCGCAAACACTCGCCTGCGCTCCGATTGAGCGATAAGATTGATGCTCATCATGAAAAAGAAATCGCAGGCCAACTTCCATAGCTGTGTTTTGTGTAGAAGTAGACTGGAGCGACGTTTTTACTTACCGACGAAACGATGCAATGATCAGATGGCATTGGGAAAGACAAACATGTCTTCAGAGAAAGTAATTTCTCCAGAAGATTTGCGAATGAATTTGTATGCTTTCATCACGAGTGGGTCGTACTGCTAAGTATTACCCAAGAAAAGTATCGCAACTCAGAGGCATTGGGTGAAAATTTTCGTCTTCAATCTGAATTCAGCAGTATGAAGCGAATGAATTTCAAGTTTGTCATCACGGAGGCAGCGATAGTACGAGCACGTGTCAGCTTACGAGTCGATAGGTAATATCAGCTCGGCAACATTGAAAACCCGCAAGTTCCAAAAAAACACAAAACCATTTAAGTAAATGGATACCCCGCAGTGGCTCCAGGTTGCGAACGCTAGGATGAGGATGGCAATCACCTCGTAGATCCACAGGAAGTGCAAGAAGTACCTCGTCTGCTGACTTACCATGTGTGCAGACCGCGCGAAAAGCTTGGAAAGCTTCCCCCTTGCTTCCGCGCCGGGAATTTTTTGCGCTAACGCAGCGAACTTCCCGGTTGCTTTCGTCGTTCCCAAGCCCGGGATGGAAATTTTCCTCTTTTCCCGTTCGAAATGCATCCTCTGTCTCCGCTCCTCCTCCTGCTTATCCAAGTCGATCCCCGTTTCCTCGAAGTGACGCAGGCGGTAGTGCTTCCGGTAGAGGGAATACTGCAGTTTGTGCACGAACTTGATGAAGAGCACGTGGAGGAGAAAGGGTAAAATGTGTCGGCAGCTCACCCCGTTGCTCGGCGGGTACGCGTTCATCGCGATGAAGCCGAGGAAGGCGAGCGCTATGGAGAAGAAGACGTTGGTCCAGAGGAGCCGGTACAGCCTTTCTACTAGATGGGAGCGGAAGGTTTTGTCGGCGTTGTCCGCCTTCTCGTCCTCTTCGATTAGAACCATGGTGGCGGGCTGGGACGGTCAGGCAGAACCAGAAGTCGTGCAGGAACGAGCAAAATAACGGGGTAGAAGGTCAAGTCATGTCAGACTCGTCCCGAACGAGACGAGCAGGACTACACGTCGTACGAGCGAAAATAGGATTCGTTGCCCCTCCGCCGGAAGATAGCTTTCTGTATTCTCGAGCATATTGTCTATCTTCTACTGTATTCTCAAGCATAAAGGTCGCAGAAAACAAGCACACTTTAAGATGAGAGGTCCTGTAGAGCGAAAGATGCGATGTGGCGCAACATTGGGCTATTCCCCATTTCTACAAGGCGAATCAACCGACCATACACAACTAGATTCTCACAACACTCAGTAGCGGAGTTCTGGAATCTCCGTCTCTCTTCAAAGTACAGCACATATCCGATGCAGCGCCCGTGTCCCATGGGGACCGCTTTGTCGCGGGACTCTCTCACGACTCACACAGGCTGTATTCATCCTCACAGGCACTGGCAAAAGATTTTCTTTCATTGTGCTCGAAAAGAAATAGCGAGAACGATAAAGTACGCCAATGATTCGTGCTGTGCGAAAAAGTTGATACAACCACGAGCTCTCATTTCCGTTTCCAAAGCGAACACATTGTATCCTCCAATCCAGAGCCCCACTTCTTCGCGGACACGCAGCGTCGTCTACTTTTTTTTGTTTCGTTGAGATGCAAATCGTGCCTACAGAGCTTTGTTCTGATGTTTGTCTTGAAGTTTCATGTGTTCCTCTCTACTCAGCAACGATTTTCCCGCTTCACTCGATGTCGTACAATAATGCGTATGCAAGTAGTAGTGCATTCTGTTGTTCACACATCATGTAGTGGTAATTAGGTACATTACGTCATAAGTCGACACGTGGAAGAGCAGCAGCACTCTCCCACGTTATCTGGCTTGTAAAGCTGGTGCGCATTACGAACAGAGATCCAGCCCAGTTTACTCTTCCGGGACGGCCCATTCGTCGTTGTCGATGGCCTCCTGGAGGTCCTTCGGGTTGGACCCGTCGACCTGGCAGCCGATGGAGAAAGCCGTTCCCAAAACCTCCTTGACCGTTCCCTTGAAGGTACGGGCCTGGGACTTGTAACGCATGGTGCGCGCGACGGCGAACAGACGGTCCTTGGAGATGTTACCTGTTTGATGGAGGAATTTTTTGCATTTTCTTCAAGTCGGATATTAGGCAGAATCAGAGCCGCGGGACGAGTTATCTATTTCATTGTTCCAAGTACAACGAAGAACGACGAGCGCAGTGTTCAATGCTCATGGGAAATTCAAAGACTCCATATTATGTTCCCAAGTCGCAGATCCAGTAGCTGTAGCTAAAGTGCATGCCAAAAAAATTCAAAGACGCTTTCTATACCAGAGTGCTTGATGTTCTTGGTCTTCTTGCGGTCGCGGATGGGTTCCTTGAGTTCCTTGATCAACAAGGACGACGCATTCGGCTCGATGTCGACCTTGGCCTGACGGTTGGCAATGGTCAGCTTCACCGTGATACGGATGCCCTTCCACTGGGTGGAGTTCTTGATGATGTCATCACCGATCTTCTTCGGGGACATACCTGTTGTTTTTCAGAGAAGGGGATTTAGATTTCTGTGAGTTTTCATGCGTGGAGAAGAAGCACAGAAGGAACTGCTCTCTACGCGAAAGCAGCGCTTTAGATTGCGTCGTAGTACTCCTCAAAAATTGGCCCATGCAACAACCAAAATGACGGGAATGCAAAAATGCAAAAAGCGTTAAGTACCGAGCGGTCCGATTTTCGGCGCCAACACGGAGGACGGGGCGGCCTCACCACCATACTGACGCAGGTACACGTACGTGACTGCGTTCGGGTCGAATTTCGGAGCCATTTTTTTGGTTTTTTGTAATGCCTAATACCTATGACAGTAGACGACGATCTTCCCTCAACGATTGATCGAGTCAGACGATCCCCTGTGAGTGTTTTAAAATGGCGCAAATAAATGAAGGCGTTGTCAGCGCAAAAATCACGATGTAGCGTATAGATTTGGGGTAGCATTTAGAAGACAATTTTGTCAAGTCGGTTGGGCGTCGTGCAGATCGAGGTTCAGATCAGGTGCATTTCAGGATCTCAGTCTCTCCCTTCGGACCAGAAACAGATCGAGAGGAATGCGTTCAAAAGATCTCGACCGAGGGGATCTTTCAATTTATCCTTCACATCACGTTCAATATCTTTGTAAGCTCCTCTTCGTTGATTTCACGATCAATGGTTCAGGCACTGAAAGAAGCGATGATCTTGCTCTTGAAAATCCGCGATGAAGTTGTTGATCGATTTAGATTGCTTCTATGCTTCTGTTTTTGTTTTTCTCGGAACTCACATAATTCGATTCCAAGAGAGAGCTATCCAGTGTGATCATCATTCTGTAGATCATGTGACAAACTCATTAGAGTCATCTTTGGATTTCCGTGGGGGCGCAAGAACTTAAGAAGGTGCGCTCGCTGATCCACTTTGCACCTCCGAGAACAAGTGACACACATTTTAAAGCTCACGAGTATAGCACCGACTTAGTTGGAAAGATTTATGGGGGAAGGAACGACACACAGCACAAAAATTAAGACGACTTGCGTTCATTTCTGGATGCTCCAGACTTATCTTGTTCCACCAAAGATACTTTTTATACTGCGGCATCACTCATCCATGAACTCCCTCGTTTGCGGCGAGAGAATTTTCTTCTCTTGCTCATCCATCGAAGGATAGAAAAACAGAAACCGACCAAGAACTGGATTCGCCGTATCATTCAAATAGTTAACACGGACTTAGTTTGATATGCTGGAACGACGACAATGTCAATGTGTAGTACTACACCTCCACAAAAAAAAAAACCCTTCACTCATTCTAAATTCGCTGGAAATTTTCATCCAGATACATCACCTCCCCGGTTTCCGGGTCCGGCATAAAGAACGTCTTCGAACTTGATTTTGTGACCCGTTTTTTGTAATACAGCAACGTGTGCGTCGCCAAGTACGCGTTTTGCGTGCGCCAGTGCGGGCAGACCGGATTCAGCTCCCCCTCCTGCAGTTCCACGTGGCCGGAATCTAAAGTCGACGGCACCCACACGTACCAGCACTTCGGTTCGATCGCGTTCTTTTGCATCTGGGCTACTAGATTTAGATCAAAGTTCATCAAGAAGTGCGCCAGCTCCTTCCCGACTTCCCGCATGGGCCAGCGGACATACCAGTTATCTTTGTTGTCGAAGAGAGACGTGAAGGGAACCTGGACAAACGATAACGACGGGGTTTAGATTTTCGGTTTTAGAACTTTGCTCTACTGGTCTGTCGACACTTTGGCGTTTGTATTGTCACCGCCATCCCTAAGCTCTGAACTTCCACCCGCATGATTCTTTTCATGCGAAAACCAAAGCCAAACCATCAATCGCTCATTCTGCATCACAAACAGCGGCCAATCTCTTGTTGTCCTTCTGGCCGACTACACTTCCAGATTTAAAAATCCAATACCTCGTAGTCGTCATTTAGAATGACCGGCACGCACTGTCCGTAGAGCACCCGAAACAGCCGACTACTCCACGCGGATTTCCCTCGTGGCACGAAACAGAAGCGAGAGGAGATAGAACCTGAATTTAGAAAAAACGTGGCCTGTGTCGCGGCTTTCTCGTCCAGTGTGGAACAAGCTATCTAAATTTCTTCGCGAACCACGACAAATTTGCTCTTCTTTCGGTCGCGCGTTGTCTGTGCGACTGCAACTAGAACTACATCCTACCTCCGACATTAGATTAGTGTCTATACCTCGCAACGCCTCCGAATACGGAACGTCCTGCCGGATGTGCATTTCCGATGGATACCGCTTCGCCCACCGTAAGAGTGCTTGCCTTGGCGAAGTCGTTTCGTTTCCCTGCGCAGCGTGCAGCGGCCGGTTCCACCCCACGAAATCGCCTACCCACGGCCGGTCGGGCATAGCCATCTGAGCGGTATATCATGAATTGACCGGACTTCTAAATTTTGATTTTGATCACGTATAGCTAGTACTACAGTCCGATCTACAACCCTCGTGCGAGGCTAAGGAAAAGAAAATCATTCCTGAAGAACAGAGTCCTAATAAAAATACCGCGTGCTCGTGGTGCTGCGCGATTTCCTTGATGGCGATCCGCCCCGGCAGAACGATGTCCTTTGCGAAGTTAAACGGCTTTTCCGTTTGCCAGTGGTAGGGGTTCCAATATTCTGTCTCCGCCATCAGAAAGATGCTGTCTTTCACGTACTCCTTCCACTGCCGGAAGGGTCCGTCCACACTGAACCCCGCGCCCCAGATGAACACGTGGTCCCGGCCCTGCGTTCTTTTGAAATGCGGGAGGGAGTCAACTAAACTCACAAACATCGCGTTGGATTCCTCTTCGGTGAAGGTTTCTAAATTTAGGTGACACGCGGTGTACTGTGGGACGAAGAAAAAATCCGCTTCTTCCGGGTCGTCCGTGCGGCAGTCGCAGGCTAGAAACCAGTAGTGGAGTTGCACCTTTTTGAAAAAGGGTTTGGGTTTTTCTCAAACCTTTTAAATTTAACCCGGCCTCATGCTGTGATGCAGCGGCACTAAGCATTTTGTTGGACATGAAAATATCGTCAAGACTTCTCCATACACAACAGTACGCGCACTCATGGTCCACCAGATAGCCTCTACTATTACCTCAAACCCCCACTGATTGTCTTTGCAGAACGACGCTCCGCTCGCCAGCGCCTTGAACTCCTTGTGCGAGTCCAGCGGGTAGACGTAGATTTTGAACGCGTTCGCCAGAGTCTTGTTCGCGTCCCGGTCGATCATGTCATTTGCCATTGCGCCGTACATATTGCCGTGGTACGGCTTCTGGTCCTTTTGCTTCGGCCCGTGGTCCCAGCCTCTGCCGCTCGACCTCTTCGCGATATTTTCCCGCAATAAGCCCACCAGATAATCCGAGATCGGCCACAAAGGTTTGGAGTCCTTCGGGATAACTCTCGGCTCGATGTAGTCTTCGCTCTCCCGCTGCTCCTTTCGCTTCTCTGCCACAGACGGTGAGTCGATTTCTTTAAAATCCAAAGCTTCCGGCACCACGGGAGGGACTTCGTTTTGCTCGTCGAATTTCCCCGGGTGCAAGGAAGACAAGTAGTGGTCCAAGGATCGAAAGAGATACGCCGCGGAGGTGTAGACCCCCTCCACCATCATGCGGTGCCGGGACAAGTGGTACAGCATGGTGCACACGCCGATGAAGCACCGGTTCGCCTGCTCATCCATGAACGTCGTGTTCATCATGCCGCTATCGACCAGGAAATTCATGCTCGTCTCCGCCTTCCGGTCTTCGTCTTCCTCGACGGAATCGTAGGTCACCGCCATCGCTTTCCGGTAGTCCGTCCACATTTCCCCCGCCTCCTCGCACGCCGGGTCGTTGTAGAACTTTTCCGCGAACTTCGGCGGCTCGAAGCTCTGGTCGTCGGCTAAGCCGCCCTTCGAATCGCCGCGGATCGGCGACTTGTCAATGCCGTTCTCGAAAAAGACCTCGTCGCCGTCGCCCAGCGCTTCCCCGTTTTCCCCGCCGCCGACCACAGATGCGGGGACCTTGGTGAAAGGAGTTGATTTTTCGGATCTGAGCTCTCAATCGAAGGCGATAATTGACGCACAGAGGACACACAAGTGCGGCTGCTCAGAAGTTTACTGCTAGTACACGCATGCCGCACGAACGCGATTATCGCTGTCTGCAAGAAAAAACACGCAGCCGGAGCGGTGTGCGTTCTGTGAATCACAAGTACTTTACAATACCTCTGCCGCCTCTGCAAATACGATTCCCCCTCCGAGCCATCCGGGCGTCGAAGCTGGCGCACTGCGCTGCTTCACCACGGGTACTACTTCCAGGTCCCTTTCTACCTTCATCCGCTCCTTCTCCTGCGCCACGTATTTCTCCAATTCGTCAACCGCAAATTTGATCTCCATCACGTCATCGGTAGTCCGCAGCTCGTCGGTGTCCACTTCTGACGTTTCATCGTCGTCTTCGCTTTTTTTAGTTCTTGAGGAAGACGAAGTTCTGGAGGTTCTCTCGCGTTCATCTTCACTCGTTAACGTAGTCGTTGCCGTAGTCCGGCTTCCAGTACTATCTGCAGTCGAAGCAGTAGCAGTAGTTGCGGAAGACGAAGACCCTGAAAATGCGCGCTTCACGTACTTCTGCACGTTCTCCTTGACGCTCTCTTCTAACTTCTTCTTCAAATTCTTTTGGAAACTTTCCTTGAAGCCCTTCTCGAACTCCCTCATGAAGATGGAGTACAGGTCGGCATTTTCTGTTTCGTCCTGGTTATTTTCATCCCCATGATTGTTTGCATTTTCGGTCGTGGATGAAGTAGACTGCTGTTGCTTCTCCTTAGCTTTGGCTTTATCGTCCTCAGATTTCTTTTCAGATTCGCTATTTTGATTTTCTTCTGTCTGTCCGGCCGTAGAATCCTCTTTCTCGTCACGGCCTTCATGTTCATCGTCTGGTGTACTACTACTTCCCGACGCAGGTTCTTGCGACCTACTTGCAGCTCCGGCCTTCTTATCTGCAGCGGGCCTCGTGCCGGTTTTCTTCTGATTTCCCGCTGTCCTCGATGACTCAGAAGAATAGTCGTCGGACAAAACGCCGAACCCCTTCAGCAGAGCCGTCGCCAGCTCCCCGACGGCTTCCTCCAGCTCAGCGAAGGCTTCTTCCTGACTGGTGTTCGTCGTCTTCTTCTTCGCGTCACTGCTTCCTGTTGCGGTTGGCGTTGGCTGGGTTTCATAATTCCGTGTGGAAGAGGGTGACGTAGAAGATGCCGATGATTCGTGCGACGAGGGGGAAGTAGGGGAAGGAGTCTCCGAAGGGGTTGAGGAAGAAGTAGACGGAGAGTCTGTAGTATGAGTTTGTCTTTGTTCCGCTTCACTCGGTGCATGAGGAGAATTATTTTCTGTTGTGACACTAGCTCTTTCTCTTGTTGTTCGTACGCCGTCCCCCGATCTACTTTGACCCGAAGGCGGTGGCACGGGAGGACGAGGATGGGAAGATGACAGAGGCGCTGCTGTAGTTTTCATCCCCTCCGGTTTTGTCCTTTCCACGGGCGGCCCAGAGCTATCCGTGTCTTGTTCGTTTGCGGCTTTTAAAGCGCGTTCCAAGTGGGCCAAGGATCCCGGTGCGGGGTCCTTCTCCGCAAGGCCGTTGATTTCGCCTGAAATGCTGTCCAGCTGTTGCAGGGTCTTGTGCACGTCCGCCATTACCTCCGCGTGCGTCCAGCTGTGCAAGTGGAAACAGAGCGAGAGGTCTTGTCTCCCTTTGCGACTGTGTGTTTATTAGATGCAGTGTTACTGCCTATCAAAGGTGGTTGAAGAGTATGACCTGCTGTACAACCCAAAAATATAAATAATTTTGCTACTTGGGTACTATAGCCACACGTCGTGTCCATGGCGAAGTTCCACTTGCCCTTGTGTTGCCGCGTAACTGCATCTGATTTAGACGTGTACAACGAACAATCAGGAGCGATCTCAAAGATTTAGACCGTCTTGCCCTACAAGCACTTTGATACACACTGTCGTCCGCTGTGGCGAGAATCCTCTGCTTTCTTCCTTCCAAGTTCTCTCTGATTTCGGATATCTTCCTCCGCCATGCCGCTACGGTTTCGTCCCGTTTCTGGAGATAAAGTTTGTTTTGAAATTAATCGTTGAAAATGACATTGGCATACTAAATGACATTCACATGCTGTCCAATTTCGACCTGCAAACCGGTGTGAAGATTTTCATGCAATAGATGTCATACCACTATGAACTATCACACCTTTTCCAGAGCCCTGTCCTCCGCTTCTCGTTTTTGCAGAACCCGGAAAACTTTCAGGCCAAAGTAACCAAGTAGCAGCCCCATGAGGAATAGAAAGACGACCAACTTCCGACTCCCGCGATCGCAACCCAGCCTTCGTCGACGAAGCTTTATCACCGTCGCTGGTGCGGAGCTTTTTTTACTGGGCAACTGCCTCGAAGAAGTTCTTGTAGACGCCGCGGAATGGCGATCACGATCATGCGCATTGGTGGAAGTGGAAGAACAGCAAGATTCATCGCGCCGCCGTTCTCGGAAACACATATTGACCGGTCGTGCGGAGCCAGTGTAGTTGCCGCTGTGCTGCTCCTCGCTCCGAGCAAACACATTTTCGCCATGAGGGCTTCTTAGTCGAGTGCCAAATCGGTTGTCACCCGGGAAGTCCTCTTCGGCAACAACACGCGGAGGCTGCACCAGTGGGCCAACATCGTAGGATGAGGTTGAAGCAGCTTCTGAAGATGCGTCGTAGAACGGCAGAGAAAATTCATCGCTGAAACGCCTGGAGGAGTAAAGTGGAAGTGCAGAGCCCGAGCGACCTCTTTGGCCAGCATGATGCAGGTTTATTCCTGCATTGTAGCCAACAGAGTGCCCCCGCGAGACGGCATTGGTACTATGGCGTGCGCACCCACTGGAACTAGGATTGCACGATGCCATTATTTTCAAATCGTATGAAGGAGGTAAGACTAACAAGCCATTAGCGCAAGCATAGACATGTTCTTGGTGACCGGATTTTTGTTAGAATGAAAACGAAGTGAATTTTAGTGAGAATACGAGCTGCCAAGCGACCTGAAAAACGGCACGCAAAGTTTCATCCTACCTTTACTTAGTAAGTAGAGACGGAAAGCAAAAGAATGTGAACCAGAGATGAGCTCGAAGAATGTTTTGTTTCTTGCAGATGAGTCGCTGACCCCGACATACACAAGAGGGACGAAAATTCGGAATCAAATCGTCAAGATCCTTCCTGCTCCGTGGAAAACAAAAATCCACCTCCTCCGGCTGAAGATCTTGGAGGGTTTTGTTGAAAAAAAATCCGCACTCAGTTTGCCGGCCAGGAAATAAGAAAACTCCGCTCCGGTGAAAATACAAGTGGTGTACAGTATGGCACGAAAATGAAAAACGACAAACAGAATAAGTACCCTATTGCGAAAAGCGGGTAGACACTCTCCAAAACTCAGATCTTCCTGATCTTCGTGTTGATCGTCGGAATGGAATTACGATGGTAGCGTCGGATGAACAGCGAAGGTCTCAATGCGGAGAAAGCATTGGTCGTTCTTTCAGAAGTATTTATTTATTTCTTGGTTGGGTTCGTTAACAGTTTACGATACACATTTAGGACCTTGAGCCCGCGGCGGAGCAAACGAATTGTTTGGGAAAGATTCCATTCATGATTGTTTTTGGAAGAAAACAAAACAAGTGTTCAAAAGCAATTTGTGATGCGACAAAACAAGCAAAGAGTTAAGAAACGATTTGAAGCTTGTCACTCAGAAAAGATGAAGGCACGAATAAACGAAATCCGATTTGTGGTCAAATAAACGACTTCCGATTTGCTTATCTTTTCTCTCGAGTCTCTCAATCACTTTTACCCTTGACACGAAGATTACGTTCTAGAGAACAAATCAACAGTGCCCGGGGGGTGGAAGAAGTGATTGAGGACCCGACTCGTAAACATTCCGTTTTCTCCGTCGCGGTTCTTTTCCGGAAAAAGACTCAGCAGTTCCCTCACGTACCGCTAGCTAACAAAGCAAATCCGTAATTCCATCGCTGAAAAGGATTTATCTCCGACCGCGAAAAGCTCGCCAACACTGCTGGACGAATTTTTTTTGGTTGACGGGGCACCGGCTAGGTTCCTCTCCACGGAGACCACTCCTTTCGGAATTCTGTCCTGGTGATGGTGCGATCCTAACACCCGCGTCGGTTCAGGAGAAGCGTGTTCATTTCTAAAACCAAAATTTTGAAACTGCGGATTCGTATCTGTAGAACCAGCCGTAATCGTCGTGGAGTAAAACACGTGGATTCGGACTGGAGCAGAGGCAGAAACTTGAACGGTCCGCATAAAACAATCGCACAAAACTTCTTGAAGAAAGAGTAGTTCTCGTAGGATAGAATCCGCCGATGGAATAGGACTCTGGTCGTGCTCTTCGGTCGGAAGCAAAAGTGGTTGAAACAAAAACAAGTTCTCGATTGGAATTCGTAGCTCGATCACAACGTTCGGAAATTTTCGGGATCGATCTAGATTTCCTTGGTGGAGGGACATAACGGTCGCTCCCATGTGTACACCCTCTTGTACATGAACAGCTGGCCGAGTGGTACATTGAAAGTACCCTGCAGGACTTCCAGCAGCTCGTCCATCTTGAAACCGGAGGAGATCTTGGTGAACGAATCGCCCGGATTCACCCGATCGGTGCACGATCCGATTTCCCACTCCGACTTCATGTACATGTCCTTCAACTTCGCCAAAGGTTTGAAGACATCAGCATCCTGTGCCGAAATCACAGATTTGCTGATGATCCTCGCCACTGCCGATTTGGAGTCACTGAAGACCACGCTGCCTGCTCGTAGTCCCCATGCTTTGTACTTCTCCAAGCACATTTCAAGCACTGGACAGGCTTCAGCGAGTGCTTCAATTTCGGCGGCGTAGCTGGAGTTGCGCGCGCTGGCAAAGAAAACAGTATCACTGCCGAGATACGAGCAGCGAATCTTGAATTTCTCCAGGTCGTCATATTCACGGAGCGTCATGACGCGTTGAATTGTTTTCTGCCTCTGGAGATAGATCTCAAGATCGTCTTCGGACAAGGAGAGCAGGATATGTCCAATTACTGGTCGCAGTTGTTTGGCCAGTTTCTCGACGTTGTCCACGACGCCGGTCGGGACAGTGACGCTGCTGTGCCGCTTCTTTTTCCGTCTTTCTGTTTCGGATTTCTGCGACAGCACCATGGCCTTCTCAAAGTCGGTCTTGCTGCAGAAGAGGGCTCCGGTGGCCTGGTCGTACTCTTCGCGACGGTTCCGGAGTTCTTCGTCATCGAGGACAAAGATCGGGCGTGCATCAAACTCTTCCTCGACTGCATTGACCTTTTCTTCGGGCGTAGCTGGCGTCTGGTAGCTCGCGTCCGGAAACAGAGCAAAAACTTCCCGTTCGTACGATAAGTCAATTCGAACACCGACGGTGGAGGATTTCAACCTGCGGATGATGTTGTTGTGCGCGTCTACCCATCGTCCGTCCTTCTCCTCGTCGTTTCCGAGCGCCAGGGCTCGAGTCGGGAATTTGACTTCGACGTGCCGACGGGAAATGAACAGCAGACTGCCACGGGCTGCTTTCAGCGTTGTTATTTGCGAAGGTGTCAAAGTTTCGGAGTAGTCGGTGGTGATCACGCTTTCTTGCAGTTCTTCCACCTTCTGCATCATGTGGGTGTCGATGGTTTCAGTCTCGGGCGTGTGCTGCACATGAATCCCGGTATAGACGAATCCGGTTTCGGCAGAAGACCAGTCGTTGAGGCCGAACTTCTCTTTCATTTCTTTCTCGAAACGAGCGAAGCCGTCGACCGTGCCCGCGAACAAAATATCGCGGAGAGCCAGCCCCGGCGGGCGACTGCCTAAGTTCCCGCTATTTTTTGAACCGCCCAAGCCCTAGCCTGGGCGAGCAAGCCCGCCCCGGGCAATAGGCCGAGGCGGGCCGCCTTTGCTGGGGACACAGGCGGGGCGCGGGCGACTTGCAGAACGCAGACGCTTGAGCCCATCGCCGGCGACCCGCCTGAAAGGCGCAGTGACGAAGCAATTGCGCCGCCGGCCCTTTCAACCGTTCTTGACCACGTCCCGAAATTTTCTAAGTTTGCGCCTAAATTTCAGAGCAACGGCCGACATAGGCAAAATCGCACGCAAATTGCAAAGCTGGGCAAATTAGACAAAAAATAGACAGCATCCGAAGCTGCCAAGGCCGCTTTTTGGACAGAAATTAGACAGGAAAATAAAAAGAAAAATAGACAGGAAAATAGACAGAAAAATAGACAGGAAAATAGACAGGAAAATAGACAAAAAGTTAGACAAAAACTGAGACAGGAAATTAGACACGAACTTAGACAAAAACTGAAACAGGAAACACACGCCCCCGCAAGAGCGCCGACTGTAGGAAAAATAGCGGGAAAATAAAAAGCCTGGCGCCGGGGGCGGCTCTCAGTGAAAAATATCATCGACATGTAGTCCGATGCGGTCTTTACCCCGACAGAAAACGCATGGAGAATGTGGAGAAACCCTAAATCCTATACTGATCAAGTATTGGGATATGGTTCTGTACCACATCAGAGCTGCCTCTTTGAGGCCGTACAAACTTATATTCATAAGTAGTACGGTTCCTCTCTCGATCCCGAATCGACTCTTCAGCTCCTTCAAAGCGTCCGGCTGGTTGACGTTCGAAGGAAAGTAGAGTCGTGGCCTGTTCTCAGCTTTGAACTTCACGTTCTTGAGAAACGCCCGGGGGACGTCGCCACTTTTGATGCGTCTACTCTTGTTTCTGATATGTCGCAGCGCGTTCAGAATCAAGTTCAGGCCATGCTCTCCCATGGTCGGTGATTCTGCCGTGGTGGTGATGGTGGAACGGTGCCCGCCGGGTACGACCCTAATGGCGACCTTGTAGTGCCAAGGTGACACCATCTTTAAGTCGCATAGTGCTCGTCCCGGAAGGATGCGCTCGGGTGAGCACAATTTTCCTTCCGACCACACCTCCACCAGTTTGTCATTGAGCATTTGCGTCCACTCTTTCACGTGGGCCTTGACCAACAATTTCGGTGCAGCCAAGCCAGAGCTGCTCTCGACGAAGCTGTGGTCCGTGTCCGGGTACTTCAAAGCCCCGAGCAAGCGCCGCACGACTTCAGGGTGACGACTGGTATTCGGATCGAAGATAGAAATCAAACCGAGGCCGTCGTGCGAAATGTTCGGCAGAAGAAACCACATTGCAATGCGGACGCACTTGCCACCACCCGCTGCACGATGTTCTCCTTCGGAGTGGACAAACTTGACCCTCGACTTGTTCCACACAACAATGAACTCCTTCTGTAGTTCTGGTTTGTCGAGTGGGGTTCGCTTCTCGTCAGGAACCCAACCGTCAAGCACTTCGAGAGAAGCAGGGCAAATCTGCACTCCCTCGACACGGTTGAACATCGTGTGCGTGATCAATTGTCCAAGCATGTCGTCCTCCTTCAGCACACCAGCTGCAGTCTGAGAGATGACTTTCTCAACAGCCCGGCGGTTTCCTCTCTTCGGGAGGGACATGAACTCAAACATCTCTTGGAGTTCCGGTGGTGGTTCATCAACAGCAGGATCTTCAGGCGCTTCGTTTTCCTTTTCGGCTTCTTTCAGGATGTGAAGCGTGCTTCCTTTCAGTCCTGCGTCACCGTCATGCACCGCGTTGACGAACTCAGTGACGTTGACAAAACCGGCCGACTCGACTGCTTCTACCTCGTCCATCAGAACATCATCCTCTTTGTTGATGTTTGCTTCTCCGTTGTCGTCCTGAAGGAATTCTGGTGCCATTTCGAGGCTTTCGCTCAGCTCGGGCTGGTTCCTGTTCAGCACATTCAGGTCATCATCATCGAGGTCGAGGCTAATTTCATCATCACCAGCAGCAACAGATTTTCGTTTTTTGCTGGTACCCACTCCCCGGGGGTCAGAAAGAACGAAAAAAGGTCCGCGCTCATGCGTAGCCGCTTTTTCTCGATGAATAAGCTCGTCCTCGTATTCGTCTCGCAACATTTGGCTCCTCCGTTGTGCCTCGTAGAGTTTTCCACCTCGCTTAAAATCCAACTCCGTCAATGGTTGCAGGTCAGTTGGAACATCACAAAACGCATCAAGATTGTGTTGCGGACTGATCATGTTCTCTTTTACAACCTGAAGCCCTCTCTTCGTTTTGATCGTGTAGTCAAAGCCCGAGGCTCCTTTATTAACCTGACGGCCAAAAACAGGATTGACCGTGTCCACGCCGTGCATGTGCGGGCTGTGAACATTTACAGTTTCCCCAATGCTGAGACCTTCTTTGTTTGCAGCACGTAATCTTGCTCTGCAGTTTGCCATGATCTTGGCGACCGCGTCGATGTACGAAGTTTCTCCCTGCATCGTCATCAGTTCGCCGTAAACTCTCGCACGACACTCACTCAGATGCTGGATGGTGTACTCCGTACTTCCGCCGGCGAAGTTGCAGACTGCCTTGTCGTCCGGGTGCGTAGTCATCGTGTTGTTGGATTCTTCTACGCCCCACCACATCTCGTTGGAACTTCTTCCATTTGATCCTGTCGAAGAGATGTTAGCCAAAGCTTCGCAGGCTTCATTGAAGAGAATGAAGAGCGGCATCCGGTTGAAATTTGGGAGACGGCGCAGACGCTTCACAATCGTCTTGAGCGATAAGATTCGCCTTTCCATCGGATAGACCGGTGTGCCGGTAGGAAGAAGATAGATTTCTCTACCGCTGTTGTGCAGTGGAAGCCAGTCCTCGAGCGCGATGCTTTCCACGCCACTGTCTGCATAGCACTTGCGTCGCAGCACCTTTTTGTCGAGAAAGCAGCACAGGGCGCGAACAACGTCGACTTTGGTAGGAGAGGCGTGTCCCTGGAACAGTTTCTCGCCGAATTCTGTGTACATGTTCATCAGAATTCCTTCCTCGATGGAATTAGCTTCGTCGGTGGTGAGCTTGGACTTGGCGACAAGCGCGGACAGTTTGAACTTAGTCCCGCAGACGAAACACGCGGAGCGCTTATCCGGCAGAGACATGCAGCAGATCACCACATACACCACTCCGTTTTCCGTGAGGAAACAGGTGTCGAGAAGCGTTACCCCACCTCGCATGGCGGCTGTGCAAGGGTCCCATCCGGTGAGCGACTTGCTTCGCTTGCTGAGCCCGAATTTCAGGCCCGCCATCGTGTCCCGCCGAACAACAGCAACAAGTTCTTCCAACTCTTGGAGGTTGATGGTAGAGAGGCGTTTCTTGCAGAGGTCATAGCACTCTTTTTCACTCGCTACTTTCCCTGTCAGGAAGAGGATTTCCTGAACAGCACGGAGCTTCGCGCGATGTTCCTTTTTGACAAAACGGAAACAAGAAATCACAGCGTCGACCCGTAGTCGTTCCTCGTCGCTGTACCGCATGGCAGTTCCATCATTCAGTAGCGTGTACTCGTGTACGAAGAGTTCTTTCGCTACAGACCCGTGAAACACCACGTTGGATCGTCCTGCTCGACGGATTCGTTCGCCGACCGCAACAGATAGACCTACACCGGTGGCATCCAGAAGGAGAGTTCGCCGCTTCGGGTGTTCTCGTAACATCCCGATCAATTTCGCGATGTACTTGTCGTCGATGGCTGTAAGGACTTCTTCGCTGAATCCGGTTCGGATTTTCTTGGCTGTCATGTCGCGCGCGAGATCCGGAAACTGAAGCTGCACTGGTTCGAGCTCCGCCTCTTCGTCCACTCGCACCCGATATCCCATCGCACGAACAGGATCGGGTAAATCGTCGATATGACGAGCGGTAAAGATGCGGACACCATCGAGATGTCGAGGCTGCTTTAGTCGCAGGGAACCGCTCTCTTCGTCTTCGGCCTTGATCTGGCGGACATTTCCGGTCTGGTTACCAGGTCCAGTTTCTCCATAGTCGATGCTCCCATCGAAGGAAACTGCAAGCTCGTGTGACTGTCCCGACAATTTGCCGCGGAGTCGGGTCGCCTTTTCTCTTGCTTTTCCTTGGAGAATACCAGCGTCGTCGGCGAGATGATAATAATAATCGATGGAGACATATTTTTGTTTTCCACCGGGAATCATCATCTGCGAGTTGATCAGATCTGCACGAGACCAATCGTTCACGATGTCCCGCACCGCGCGCTCCTGCCGTTGGACGTCCACCACCCTCCTAAGCCTGACTCTCTCCGTGAGCCAGTCTGGGGTGAGCGGGGTTTTGGTAAGACCAAAATCCACGACGCGATAAACAGCGTAGCCACCTCGGTCGCCGTTTCGTCGCAGCTGTTCGGTGGTGACACGGAACAGACCGTCTTGAACATCCTGAACAACCGGCGCTGGCTCCAGATTTTGTGCTGGTGGAGGATTACGCCAACTACGACTTCCTCCTTCGCCTGCAGCTCCAACCTCTTCGCACTGCAGAAATTCCAAAAGACTGTCGCCGTGGCATGCTGCTGGCGAACAGAAGCATCCGAGGATTTTTCCCGGTAGCTCCTCTCGGGCATCACGGTCGAGTCCCCGAGCAACACAGTGGTCTCTGTATTTGCGACATACCTCTGCACGAGTGTCACCGTTCACCCCAATGCGGTATGGGTTTCC